GCCCCCTCCCGCCCCCCCGCCAGGTGGCGGGGGGGGGGGGAGGGGGGAACCCCGCCCCCAAGAGCGACCGACCACCCGCCCGCCCCCCCACCTCGCCCCAGCAGTATTTAAAGGAAGTATTTAAACACGGCTGGGGAGAAGCAGGGGCCGCGCGGGCTCCCGACTTGCAAGAGGAGAGTTCCCCTTGTGTAAGGCAGGAGCGCCTGGTGCCCGCTGTTTTCAAACGGGTGCTGCTGGCTCCTGCCTTGCAAGAGGAAAGTCCCCCCCCCCCACCAACTATTTAAAGGGAAGGCGGGGGCAAGGGCGAGCTGTGTCCAGGATGTGATGGCGTCACACCCTCCTGGAACGCTCCCTAATCCCCCCACCAGGGAGACAATTGGACCTGGCAACCCTGTCTCCTGCACACAGTTCAAAATCTTCATATTAGGACCAGCAGAGTAAAAATGTTTTCTAGTCAAATAATGTAAAGAATCAAGCTTTAGTTGAGGATTTCGTTGGAGGGAAAGGAGCCAGAAGGAAGAACGTGTGTCCGGGTTTTGATTCAAGAAACACGTGTAACAAAAAATCCGAGCACCTGGATTCTTGGTTCTTGAATGCATGTACAAGAGACTAAAAATATCACATTACTAATTTACTGTAGCGGGAGTTTTGTATAGAAGCGTCACATTCGCCATACCGATCACGGCCTTTTGGCCCCACTGTTTACATGTCTACTAGGGATTGATATGCTTGGTTGCATACCTCAGTAAAGGCAATGGAGTTAAAGTGCCACAAGACTCATCTTTTGTTTTGGAACAAGGGACTAGCAGGGCTACCAGTTTTTATTTTAATGAGTTGGCAATTGGCTTATTAAAAGCTAGAGAGTGCCTTTGAGCCCATGGGGAGTGAATTTCCCTCAACAAGTGACTTCAAAACAACTTTCACATAGTGGAATGAGGGAAAGGAGCTTTTAATGGCAAAGTCTCCTGTGGACTACTTGAACCCTGAGACCTCTCCTTTTTATAAACTAGGCAGTATAAGTTGTTAGTGTTTTGAAATATAACATCAAGAAGTATTCAGGCATTACAAGTAAATGCCATTGTTGATTTGTGCTGTTTTATAAAAAGAGTGAGTTATCACTCCTGAAATTTGTGAGGCTAGTGAGGAAAACAGAGAATGATTCTCTACATGATTACTCAGAATTGAGTTCAATAGAATTTGTAAGTAAGTATTGAACTGCAGCTTAACATTCCACTTTTAAACATGTCTACTTGGGAGAAAACCTAATTTACTGAAAAAGAAATATATCCAAATAAATGGACTTAAAACTGTAGCATAAATAATTTTGTAAACGTTCTAACCATAAGATCCAGCTATGGCTATAATTTTGGTGGATGCATTATTTTCACAGAAACTCAAAATACTCTGAGATCTACTTTTACATTTTTGTTTAATAGAACTGCACTGCTTCTCTAACCACAGAAAAGCATTTTGAATAAAACTTTAACTCAGTTGTATTTATTCAGTTCTCTGCTAACTCTCTTTTCCTGTTTATGCCCTGTAGCATGCTCTCTCTTTTCTCGCTGCGCCAGAATGACTGTCCATAGGCTTCTCTGAATGCCCACTTAAATATATATATATATACTCCTAACACACATTATCTTCTTTCTGTACCACCAAAGGTCTGCGTTCCCCTTAGTTACAGAAAAGGAGTGGAGCTATCTGCTTAACTGGTTTCTCAGCATCTCTCCACCTTTTCTTCTGTTTCCTGACTCTGCAGTTCTCTCTGCATCTTGTGTGATCCCCCTTTTCCTTTATGCAGCCCTTAATAAAGCAAAAGCAAGGAAAGTTATTGTAGAACTGGGGAGAGGAACATCTCTACTAGCAAGTGAGGTCGGGGCTTGTCTTCTGTTTCCTTCCATGTTACAGGCATTTAAGCGTAGGGTGACCAGAGCCTTTAGTGAGCCAGCCCTGTTGTTATATATTGAACCAGACTCATCCCTGAACTAGTACCTGGATCTGGTTGAGCTTGTTTCCCCGGAACAATAGATGGCTAGGATCCTGGAGTAGACCAATAGAGAAACAGTGTTATGTAAATAGCCTATCGTTGGGAGTGGGGTGTGTTTGGGTTGTGGTGTTTGCATACTTAAAACAGGGCAGCGGCCCTGTAGTTTGTCTTGTAGTGTTCCTGAAATCACTTAATGAAGTGGAGCTGTTTCACTGCAATGCGTCCAGAACCCAGTATTTAATACCTGTGGACCCAGGACCAGCCCAGAATGTTGGAGTTGTGTTGGTGTAATGTATTCAGCCTGACATGCCCGGACTTGCCCGGGCTGGCCAGGCTCAATCCTCAATAGCTTCATGCCAAAAGACAATGGGCCACTAGGATCCTAGCCAGGCCCAATGAAAGGGCTAGGTCCCTAGCCGGGAGGCCAATAGGTCTCTCGGTTACTGTAAATAGCCTATCGGGAGTGGGGTGTGTGTTTAGGTGAGCTTGGTGGCGGGTTTTCTGAAAGAATATAAGCCGGCCTGTGAGCCGGTCAGTTGTCTTTGTTCTCAACTAAATAAAGGTATGCTTAGCTGAAATCACTCTCCGTCTGCATACTTTTCAGTTGTATATTTTTGTTTAGTTGTCTAAATTATGGCCCCGGTCACACGGGCAGGATATCACGGGGAAGGGGAGGCGTGGCTAATTGCCCCGGCGCAGTTTGATCCACAATTATGCAATCAGACTCGCCGGCGGCACACCACGGGTCCTTCCCTCGGCGCCGGCAGGTAAATGAGGGACCGGAGGGGAATGCCGTGTGCCGGCGCGATCACACCACGGGAGTCTGGAGGCAGCCCGTGGCAAACGTTTACTAGTACCTTGGAGGTACTAGTTTTTTAACTCGCATTGTCAGCGGTAAACCGCGGGTGCGCTCCACTTCCCAGATGTTGGGGTGTGATCGTTCCCGGATAATCTGCCCACCATCTGTGCCTCTCCCGCGGCAACTTTGCCGTGTGACCAGGGCCTATGTTCCTTTGCAAGCTGCTGTGAGTCCCCTGTGGGGAGAAAAGTAGGGAAGAAATATTAAATAAAGATTTTAAAAGGAGTGCTGAGCTTTATACAGAAAAGAGAGAGATTGAGAGAAAATAGGTTGGATTTATACCCTGTCCTTCACTACCTGAAGGAGTCTCAGAGTGGCTTACAATCTGATTTCCCTTCCCCTCCCCACAACAGACATCCTGTGAGGTAGGTGGGGCTGAGAGAGCTCTCTCGAGAACTGCCCTCGACCCAAGGTCACACCAGCAGCTGCATGTGGAGGAGTGGGGAATCAAACCCGGTTCTCCCAGGTCAGAGTCCGCACTCCTAATCACTACATCAAACTGTAAATATGATTGTAAATATGATCATAAGAGATTGTAAATATTATCATGTATCCCAAAATGACACTTTTATTTCTCAGTGTAAGTACATTGTATGCCTCTAAAGTGAGTTCAAAGTAGGGGAGAAATCCAGAATTTAAAATAATCTAGAACACCAGAGTAAATGACAATTATGTTTATGTTTCCATCATTGCCTATACCCTGAGCATACATGGGCAAGATATGAAGTGCCTGCAGGTCCAAAGAAAGACATGTGCAGGGAGTGTTCGTGTGCCTGCTTGATGGGAAGAGGTCTATAATATTTTGGATGAGGAGTGGAAGCTGTTCTTCCAGGGTTAAAGCAGCAGGGACAATGGAGCCCTGAACATATTTCACAAGACCCTGTCCTTTCCAATGTGTTTTGGGCTTCTTCCTGCCATTGCATATGAAGAGGGCAGAACTAAAGGATCATATATATCTCCCTTGCATACCCACCTGCCTTTTGCAGTACACTGTTCCTTTTGGGATGTAATGTTGGAATTGTAAATTCTGATAGACAGTACTACTGATTATACTGTGCATAGTTTGCAAATATCATAACATTAAATTATAATAAAGCTATAGAGAAAGAGAAGGGGAAAGGGCCAATGTAAAACAGTCTGGTTCCAACTTGTGTAATGTGATCCTCTTTCTAGGGTAGGCGTGGAGGTGGAGCTGTGTAAAAGGACAGCTTGAGCCTATAACAATTGTGCTGTGCCAGAGTGTGAATGTAGTGGGAAATGGAATGTAAAGTATGTTTATTTGCTCAGCTTCTTCATGTTGTGATAGAATGTGACTTTTTGCGGATTGGAGTGAGGCTGAAAGACATATGTCTATCAGTTTTTCAGCACTTTTGTTTAAGTGACATACAGAACAGTAGATAGAACAGGACTATGGTGGAACTGGTGGAAGAAGATGGACACAGAGGAGTCTGTTTCTGCAAGTAGCCTGTAGTGTTGTTGTTGTTTGTTTATTATTACTAAAGTGCCTAAAATATATTACTAAAGGGGTTTGGTCATTTTTCTAGAGATGCCCACTTATTTTCACTGTTTTTGTGAGTTAGGTTACCTAAAGAATAAGATTTTAACATTCAGTTCTTCTTCAAATGTCTCAGGAAAAGTGGCACTAATTCCAAATTAACATTATTATTAATAACAAGGTACAGCAAAGAAAAAAGTGTATATGTTTGGAATAGCTACAAAACAAAAAGTTCTGCATGAGAAGGGTTGACTTCATTCTAATCTGTGTTTCAGAACAGTACAATTCTCCAGAAGAAACTGAGTCTTTGGAACGTAGCATTGTTTGTGAAAAGCTCTTTGATTATCCTCATATAGTTGTATTTCCAGAGGTAATAAGGTCCATGGCTGGTGTGAGACTTCGGGGACTGACTTCTTCTAAACTTTATCAGCGCCGGCAAGATCGTCTGAGTGGCACAGGGTCACTATGGAATGATGGGAAAGAGAGGGCAGCTGGGATATTTGGGTAGGTCATTTGGATAGCAGATTCATGATCAAGGATTAATGGTGAGTTTTCCTAAGCTACTTTTGAAGCAGGAAGTAAAGAAAACTAGACAGACTGAAACAGCTATGTTTTAATTTCCACTCTTTGTTTGAGGAAAAAGGTTTCCTTTAATTTCTACACAATAGCAGGAAAACAGCCATGGAAACTTTTATCATTAATGATCCTGAGCTGACAAATACAGAGTTGTAAGCACTGTATTAACAAAAACTGGTATTATAAATTCATAGTTTTGTTATATCCTACTTAAACCTTGATAAGCATCTGGAACTGACCAGTGGAGACTTAAAATAAGGTTATTGTAATATGCATCATTTTCTAAGCAAGTTATTTTTTAGCCATGTCCTTTTCAGAATCTGGTCATCTACAATTTCGATTAATCATACTCATGCCCAATGTTCCCTCTAAGCTGTGGAGTCCTGTGAGCAAAAATTCTACTTTGTGAGCTACTGGCATTGAAGTTGTGAGCAAGCGATTTGGATACTGCTTAAATTAGTTTGCTCTGGAGCCATCCTTCCTGAGCTGAGACTAAAATGTGCGAGCTGGAGGCTAAAAAACTGTGAGCTAGCTCACACTAACTCAGCTTAGAGGGAACACTGCATGCCTATCTAGAGAACTCCTTATAGGATACCGAGCCATATAGCAAAACTTTTAAAATCTATCACCTGATAGTAGTACCCCCGGCCTTACATGTTGTTGTTTTCAGCCTAAACAGGTTTTTAAAACAGCTTGTGTGCTGTTTGCTAAGTGAATTTAAAAGCACACGATTTGGAAAACAGCTCTTTATACTCATGTACAAAGGGGCTCAGTAAACTTGGTCATTATAGTTAACAGCATTTGCACTGAAGTAAGTATAAAGACAGACGAAGTACTAATGTAGAAATTGGTCACCGGGTGTTGGGAGACCTAAAGCGGTCCGTTTCAGAGGGTCGCCATGTTGGTCTGCAGCAGAACAGCTCAGAAGGGAGCTGATGAAGGAAGCAGTGGGGAAAGTTCTACCGCCCAAATCTTCTTGGTCTCTAAAGTGCTACTGGACTAAAATCTTGGCGGTTCTAAAGCTATCAAGACTAGGCTCCTGTACTTTGATAGCTTTATGGAAAGGGACATTTTGGCTAGTGTAGCACATCCCTGAGAAGGATGGGAAAAGCTGACCCTGACAGAATTATTTGCTCTGTAATTGGCCAAGGAGCACACTAAGACAAATCCTTCAACTTCTTCCATTTAAAAGAAAAATTCCTAGATAACATGGATGTGAGGGTAACTAAGGCCTGTGTGACGTGTTTTCACCAAGCTAAAAATATGTAACACCCTTATATCGGGGCCTTCCAAGTATTCGACAATCCTCCTGTTTTGCAGTATCAGGCAGGCAGCAAAATGTGATTTGTTGAACCCCTGGTGGCTGAATTTAGGTCATAAGATATGCAAGTCTGATGTAAATCGAAAAGCTGCTGTCTTCCTAATCGTCTGGTCCGCGCCTGCTTAAGGCTTCACATTGTGGATTTTAGGAAGTATCACTTAATGAGGAAAGTTATACAGTAGAAACCCTGAGATAGTTGAGAAAGGCAAGAATAGCAGGTAAAGTGAAAGGTGCAGAGCAGTGGTTTTTAAACTGTGTTTCAAGAAATTGCCTGAGGAATTGGTATAAATTCTCAAATGTAACAGAGTCAATTTTCTACAATTCCTTGGCAGATAGATGTAGGCCATATAGCAAGGTTTGCCAGTCTCCAGGTGGTGGCTGGAAATCTCCTGGGATTACAACTGATCTTCAGGTGATCGAGATCAGCTCACCTGGAGAAAATGGCTGCTTTGGATGTTGGACTCTCTACCCCACTGAAGTCCCTCCCTTCCCCAAACCCTGCCCTCTTCAGGCTCCACTCCCAACATTTCCAGGTATTTCCCAACCCAGATCTGGCAACCCTGCACCTAGCCATCTTCAGAGGTTCCTTTCTGTACACCTTTAACACCTGAAGTAATACAAGGGAGATGGTCTTTCTAAGAGTGGCACCATTTCTTTGAAACTCCCTGCCAAGAGAGGTCTGCCTAGCCCTTTCTTTATCAGTGTTTCGGCATCTGTTGAACACTTTGCTTTTTAAGAAAGCATTTAGATTTTAATTGCTGGTTTTATTTCTATTTTTTTGGTCTGGAAGTAGTTATTGCATGCGGATGAGAGCCAGTTTGGTGTAATGGTTAAGTACGCGGAACCGGGTTTGATTCCCCACTCCTCCACTTGCACATGGCTGGATGACCTTGGGCAAGCCGTAGTTCTGATAAGAGCTGTCCTTGAAAAAGAGCCGTTTCTGTCAGAGCTCTCTCAGCTCCACCTACCTTACAGGGTGTCTGTTGTGGGGAGGGGAAGGGAAAGGAGTTTGTAAGCCGCTCTGAGACACCTTTGGGTAGTGAAGGGCAGGGTATAAATCCAATCTCTTCTTCTCTTCTTCTTCTTCTTAAGCTCTTGTCTTTGTTGTGTAGTTGTACTGGTTCTCTTGGTGTTTGTTTCTGTAATTTGTTTTAGCATCTGTTACAAGTGCTTGCCTTGACCTGGATAGTCCAGGCTAGCAGCCCAAAATCTTGGAAGCTAAACAAGGTGGGCCCTTATTAGTCGTTGGATGGAAAACCAAGAAATACAAGGGTTACTATGCAGAGGCAGGCAACCGCAAACCACCTCTGAACATCTCTTGCCTTGATAAATGTGCAAGGTCACCATAAGTTGGCTGCAATGTGATGGCAAAAAAACGGGGGGGGGGGGTTGGTGGTATAGGCTAGAAGGACCAGGTAGAAATGTTTCCTTGAATAAAAACAAATCCATGTCAAAAGTTTCTTGAAATAAGGAAGTTTGGGAGCCACTGATACGGAGGACAAAGTAATGAGAAGTACAACTCTCTAAGGAATTAGAAATATTTGGGGGGAGGAAATAAGCACTGAATAGAGCAGGAACAAACATACTGTTGTCTACAATGATCGGAAAGGAAGGGAAGTGAACCCAAGCCATGAAGGTCAGAAATATGGAACAAGAAAGCATGGGACAATATACATTTTGAACATTTGGGATGCCAAGGTTATTAAACAAGAAGTTACAGCTGAATGCTGGATATAATAGTTACTATTCTCATAACCATAGAACTCTCTTAAGTTAATTCTCAATTTCTTTTTGTTCTGTATAAATTCAAAATGAATCTGACTGAAACAACAATAACGTATGGTGAAAGCTTGGGAGCTTGATGCCTCTCTTTCAAATATATTGAGATGTGCAAGCATATAAATAACAATAGCAATGTTACATCTGGAACACAGAAATTGTTGCCATGCAAAAGTTCAACGAATGCACTGGGATAGTGAGCAAGTATGTATGGTTGGAAGGCTGCCAAATTTACTTATCAAAGGGGTTCCTTTTTTGTTTCTTTCTCAAGATCTAAGACCCTTCTGTGTTATTAAGAATTAATGTTAATTGATATAACTCTACCGTCTTTATAATTTTTTCTTCATTCTGATAGGGTTGCTTGGATAGTAGGGCTTCTGTAACTTTAGTGTTAAATATGGTAAATCTTTTCACATTTGACATTTTTTGCCTGTTGTATGTGGGTAGATGGGTGGAATGAATGCATTTAAGACCTGTAAGAATCCAGAAATATTTCTGCGGTCAAAAGGAATTAATTTTTTTTTAAATGACCTCACAAAGAAGCAGATAATTTGACTGTGGGTGGGAGTTCTAATTTCTCTGGGTTGAATCCTATGGTAACTTTAATGGAAAGAACAAATATAAGTAGATCTTTCCCCACCTTCTCTCCCTCCAAATGCTCCCAAAAAACTATTGTTGAACTATGGGGGATCCTTGTAAACAAAATGTACCATTGCATAGGGGACTGTCATAAGAAAACTGATGAGTTTGTTTTCTCTCTGTTCCTAATAGGGGACTGTCATAAGAAAACTGATGAGTTTGTTTTCTCTCTGTTCCTAATTTTGCTGAATATTTAAAGTTATGATACTGCAAGTGGGCAACAGTTAACATCTTAATGTAATTAAGTGGTACCACTAGTTCAATCACACATTGTAGTTAATTTTTGTAAAGATTGTTTTTTGCTGCAAAACATGTTATTTTGAGAGAAGGGGGAGCAAACCTGTTCACAACATCCCTACCTTTCACTTGTATAATAAATACTTGGTAGTGTGTCAGGACATAAATAAATCCATAAACATGGGCTTGATTATGATTTGGTTATCCAAAGTCATTTTGTTCTCAGGAACTTATTGAAAGCTATCATTGTAATATAAGTAATGCTGATATTTTCAAGAAAATGATATTCACGTTTTCTTAAGCCATAAAACAAACTACATAATTATTTCTTACCTTCGGCCTCTCTTCTGCTTCTTATGATATGTCATTATTCTATAACTATATATATTTTAATATGTAAATTGAATCAACATAAATAAAAAATTTAAATGTGAGAAAACGTTCTCTTAATTTTGTTGATTGTCTGCAAAGGAATTGAAAACGAGGGCAAACTTATTATTTACTGTGTGGTGATTATGGTGATGTTTTTGTTTCGATTCCTAGTAACATGTCAGATGCTCTTGCAAACGCTGTTTGTGAGCGCTGTCACTCTCGCTTTGATCCCACGGAGCGAATTGTGAACAGCAATGGGGAGCTGTATCATGAAAACTGCTTTGTCTGTGCTCAGTGCTTCCGTCAGTTTCCAGAGGGACTTTTTTATGAGGTAAGATTCCTATGAGGTAAGATTCCTACACTTATAATAAAGATGAAAGTTACTTGGCATTTTCCTCCACAGACCTGGTCCTGTGAGGATTAATGGAACTGGATTTTTTCTATGGAGCTTTTGATGGGCTTGGATTCTTCAGGAACTGCTTTCCTAAACAAGGGAACAGAGTAGTTTAGCTGTAAAAGCCATAAATAAAGACTAGACCACCAAAAACAATGTCCCCCTGTCTTAATTTGCTTTCACATAGTCATTGATTTCATGGAAGCGTAGCTCAGAAGCATACTTTAGGTCATCACCTGGCTCCTCTGTGTTGAAACAATTCCCCAACACTCTAAACATATTAGCCAATATTATTCAGATTAGAGAGAGTTGAAAGGCAAGCATCAGTGTAACAGTTGCTCATAGGATGAGGCATAATGGTACTAAAACAAAGTCACCCACCCCGAGTTGTGTTAGGGTTACTATGTTCCCTATTAGGTACAGTAACATAGAGTAACGTAACACTAAAAATAACAGGAACTGGAAAATGTTGTGTAATACAGCTTGCAAAAGCAGAGAAAGAGTTGTATGAGCCTCCCACGTACAGGTAAGAATGGTGTTGTATTGCACCTGCATATACTATACAGCAGTGTATTTTAGTAGTGTATATTTTATAAGGCTATGTTCTCCTACATCTGTCTTACAGTTTGAAGGGAGGAAGTATTGCGAACATGACTTCCAGATGCTCTTTGCACCCTGTTGTGGGGAATGTGGTAAGGCCCCTGATTGTAAATAGTTATGCCTTGTCTTTTGGTGGTGGGGGGAGATACTGAGATAAAGCAGAGTGGGGTTGGTGATAGAGGCTTTTTTCTCTGGGGTCCTGGATGAGAGTAGAAAAAATGTAATGAAGAAACATAGTATTGGTTACACTCCATAATTCAGCCTTGTGTTTCTAAGTCATGGTTCCTGAGATTGAGAAAGCTTTTGTGGTTTAGTGGTTTAGTGGCACTGATGTTGGTCTTAAACCCAGCAAACCTGGCTTTGATTGCCTGGGTTGCCTTAGTCTGTCATCCATAAAATGGGAATAACATCAGTTGCATGGTGGTTTTGAGACTGAACAAGGTAGTTGTAAAGCACTATGAACATTAAAAGTGCTCCATAAATAATATAAATCTATTAGCGATGAGATTCTGAGAGAATCTTGATGGGGACAGAAAAGATTCTCCTACAGTAAATAGCCTTTAAATCATGTTTCTTTTCCAAGGTGAGTTCATCATTGGCCGTGTTATCAAGGCAATGAACAACAACTGGCACCCAGAATGCTTTCGTTGTGAGATTTGTGATGTGGCTCTTGCTGATTTGGGCTTTGTGAAGAATGCTGGCAGGTAAAAAGGGGCAGAAGGCATGAACATGAGAGAATTTGTGGGGTGGTGAAGAATGGCGTGATACAATTTGAGTCTGCAGTACAATGTTAATTAGCTGCAAGAGCTGCTTCAGTCACTGTAAGATGACATGAGGGAAGGGATCAGCAATGAAATTTCCTAAAGATATGTGTGCACTGACAAGAAGGTCTGAAAATCACTGGCACAAACACATTCCCTTTTATGGCACTTAATATTTCTTTCAAAACAAACCATCTTCCTTACAAATGATGGAGTTTGTATGGGTTAAATATATAATGTCTGGAGGATTTAGAGAGGAACAGCAGAGTGTGTATAGACTCAAAGTGGCTGATACATGCCATATGTAGAGCAGAAGGAATGGGATAGGGGAGATATTGACAAAACACAAATAGTAGTATGCAGGTAAAGTCAGGGAACCACCCTCAAAATTGTGGGCAAATTCCTTTAGACAAAGGAGGATGCTTTGGATCCTCTGAACTGGATACTTACCAACAGCAAGTTGAAGGACAGAGTATTGCTCAATGTAAGACCTTCTTTTCTCTTTGAATTTTAACATTTTTTCACGTTTAACAAGTATAAACAAGTTTATAAAAGAAGATACACAATATGAAGATAAAGAAATAAAAATAGACCTACCCAGAATACTTCCAAGGTTCATACCCATCTCCACCTAGTAATTAATGCATTACACAGCAATTAAATGAGAACTTCAGGTTTTTCTGCATCTGATATCTTGGAAGATTCACTAGAATTGACAGTCTCTCTTCCTCTAGTGGAACTGAGAACAGCGATGGAAAAGTGTGTGCATAGCATTACAGCCCCACCTTGATATGCCAGGTGCAGTGCTTTAACATCACAGCAGGTAGATGAACTGGTATAGTGCTGCTTAAGTGGATATGCTAGGTAATAGGATGTGATAGTAATGGCAACTGCATCAGCAAGGGTAGCATCACTTACTGTTAAAATGAACTAGATTAGCAATTTGTATCAAGTTACCAGAAATCTTTTAGCTCCTATGCAATTCATTAACCATGCACATTCAGATAGGAGCCATATAAAGCTGCACAGCGTTGTTCTAATTCTGTTTCGCTAAACAGTACTCTGCAAAAAAGGCCCAGTCAAATACTATTTAGTGCTAGTGTGGAATTTATAACCTGTTCAACATTCTGCACAGCCAAAAGGTGAGCAGTGAGTAATTGTTTGAGCTCTCTAAAGAATCCAAATGTTCTTCCTTTATCGTGAATTGTGGTTAAGTTGTAGATTTGCTTTAGTACATAAAAATCCATATTCACAATCTTCCCAAAGCTCCTATACAGAACACCTTAATGAATTTTCCCAGTTTTGAACTTGATTGCTGGCTTTTCTGAGATCCTTTGGAGAATATCGCCAGCATGCACAGCATGACATTGCAAGAAAAGCTGTGCATGTCAGGCTTCTTGAAATTTAGCTGATATCTGAGACAATCTGTATTTGCTTCAGTTGTCTTTCAGTGCCATTGTTTTTTCTAATGGAGCCACTATGCTTATTAAGCACTTGCTTCTTTCCCAAATCCTCAGTTATTCAGGAAGTATAGTTACATGCTGTAACACAGATTATATTTTGATAGATTGAAATTGCATAGGGAATTAGCTCTGGCTGGTGACAGCTATGTGACATTGCTAGGTTTTATTCCATGGTATTCAAGAGTGAAGCATAAGCTCTGGCTGTGATCTTGGAGTAGCGCCGCTGTGATAGCTAGGCAATGGTTAGGAAAGTATGTTTAAAAAGTTGTTTTGTTATATTTACAGTTCAGATTTAGCACTTAAGGAGCTGTCATTTGTTTTCCCATCACAACTTGAAGGTAGCTTGGCAGACTTTTTGCTGCAAAACAAACCACATAAAGCTTCTCGGAACTTCTCTGCTACAAAGAAATACATTACTGGATCTAGGGCACCATTTAGGCTGGTGAGGCAGGAAGTAATGCGATTGCCAAGTGCCAGGATCCGCTGCATTTCACAGGAAGTCTTCACACCATCATAACTGAGGATATAAATGTAACGGTTTACGTGATAGGGCACAAAGCAGATCAGGAAGATCATAAGAACCATGATAATCATTTTGATGGCTTTGTCCTTGAGATGTTTCTCAACTCTGTTCCCGCTCTTCAGGCTGCGTATAATCAATAAGTAACAAGTAACTGTGGTAAAAAACGGAAGCGTAAATGCCACAGCCAGGGACACAAGAGCATGGCGTGATGCCTTCTCTCTGTAAAGCTGCAGGCAGACAGTAGTATTGTTCAACTCAGCAGTCTGCACACTGACCAAGAGAGGTGCCATTGCCACAGCAACTATAACCCACAGGAAGGCACAGGCCAAATGGGCATAGAGTGACTTGCGGAGTTTGATGGACTTTACAGGGTGCACAATAGCTAGGAAGCGATCTATACTGATGCACATAAGGAAGTAGATGCTGGCATACATGTTGAGGTAGAAAAGGAAGCCTGTGAGTCGGCATGGGATCTCTCCAAACGGCCAGTGATTGCCTGAAAAGTGATACACCAATCGAGTTGGTAAGACCAGCACAAAAGAAAGGTCGGCTACAGCGAGGTGCATCAGAAAAATGTTGGCTGGGGTGTCTGACTTTTGGTGCCGGATAAAAAGCCAGAGAGCCAGAGCATTGCCAACAAAGGCTAGGATGAAATCCAGTAAATAGAAAGTAGCAAAAAGGAGGTTCTCCGTGTGGGTCTCTTTGCCACATTGTTCTGAACTTTTCAGAGAAGTGTTGAATAGCACATCCAAAGAGTCTGCTAGGCTGGTCATTCCTCACTGTAGGTCTTGATGTAAACCTGAAATAATCAAAAAGAAAAGAAAACACTAGAGACTCGTCTTTATAATCTGAGGAAGCAATATAGAAGTCAAACATGCCTGCTGTTTGCTTAAGTTTGTACCAGCCACAGGCCAGGTTCTACAGGGGCTTTTCAGATGCCTGCTGCCTACAGTAGTAGCCCTTCACACCCTCTAAACAGGCCCCCAAACAGAGCAGGGTCCTCTGGAGCACAAGTGCAAGTGGATGCTTGTGGAAGTAAGATTGAGCTGGCTCCTGTGCACATACAGAAGCACTTTATGGCTTTGTGCACAAACATGGTCCTCTCTAGAGCCTGGCCACTCTTCTTATGCCCTGTACATGACTTTGATTAAAAGTATACATGCCCTTACTCTGTTTTACAATATCTATTTTAAACATTGTTTGCAGTATAATAAACTGAACACTGCAGATTTCATTTCTACGGTACAATATTCTTCCCTCATTGCTAGTTCCCCTCAAGGTAATGTTATTGAGGACCTATGCCGTATATCATCCATTTTTCTTGATAGTTTCACTTTCTGATCAATAATTATAATATCTGCACACAGTTATTTGTTTATGTTAATTATAGTCCATCTTTCTCACTGAGACTTGACGGATTGCATAGAATAATTCAATGCAGTCAATAGGATGAGACATATAGTAAGACAAGTAATAGGATTAGAATTGCTCAAATCTGAAACCATGCAGAAATCTGAATTTAACATTACTATTAAACATGGAATGTTAAGCAAGTATGAAGCAAGTATGAAGCAAGTATGAAGTAAAAATGCCAATGTCGATCCATTTAAGAAATCCAAACAGCAACAAGAGACAATACTTTTTATTAGGAATAGCTAAAAAGTCACAAAATAATGAGCAACCTTTCAAGTTCGTTAGAATTTTTTTTACAGCTGACAAACATTGAGAGGTAAAGAAAGGTAAGGTGAAGGAAAATGTTACTGGGTGTAATGAAAAGTTCAACTTGCAGTAGACTTTACATGGAATGGAGGAAACTTAATTAAATGATACCACAACTGGTCCCAAAATATTTCTGGTTATAACAAATCATTTCAATAAAATAAAGTGCAATTCCTCCATATGGCCACAGAGTGGTTCCTTGTACACCATTGTACTAAAAGAAAAACTAAGAGCTTTTTGATCCTGAGTCATTACCTTTTATTTATCTCCTATTCATTCCAAAGGAACTTGAGCAGTCAAAACATTTTATTAATTGTCTGTTTATACTTAAAGAGAACAATGCAACGGGCTGGACAGAATCACAAAGATCAGTATGTCAAAGTTCTACAAACAAAATCCATTTTTTGACAGATGAGAGCTCCTTTTTCCTCTTATAAGAAATTATTTTTTAAAGAGAATGCTATGCTCTGGATTTTCTTATACCAGTCCATTAGTAATGTTGGAGCACTTGATTTCTGTGAGACTGCAGCACATATTTTTGAAGCAGGCAAATTTTCTGGTGGATTGCAGAATCTGCGGATGCACAAAATGGTTTAATATTTTTTTAATTCTGTTCTCAGGTTTGCTTAAGAGTAAAGACCTTGCAGTGAGTATAGGACAGTGGAATGTCTATATCAGATACAGTTTTAGAAATCCAAGCTTCTGGTTTTTCTCAGAATTGCTTCTGTAGGTCCACCATGTTTCATAGGGTAAACCACACATGACATTGGCCATCTGTGATTGCATCTTCCAGTGTGCATTATAGCTACAAAAAGCAACTGTTGAGGGTGAGCTATAGTGCTGAGAAGAGAAGGTTTAACTACTTGTCTCTGGGCTGTTCCCCAGTCAGAAACTGCTAAGCCCCAGAAGAAAAAGGGAAAGTACATATACTGAGCGGTCTTTTTTCCTTCCTGGGGCTCAAAACACCTGTGGGGTGAGGACAGGGGAAATTGCATAGTAGTAAAATTTACTTCTCCCTTTCCAGCGCCTTGACCCTGATCTATACTAGGGACCCACCACCACTACTTTTTGCAACTAAAATATACATATTTTGCTCCAGTCACAAGTCTTCATTGTCATCACATTCGACTAGTTGGTTTGAAAATTAAGGAACAAAGTATGCAAACAAGTATGTTGTTTTAACTCAATCACATGTAATTGATTAACATTAAAGTTTGGAATAGGATTGCTGCCTTCAAGGTGTTAATATTTATTTATTTTTAATTTTATTGGATTTTTCAGCTACCCTCCCCTGGCAAGCTGGGCTTCGAGTGGTGTACAACATATATAAAGTATAGATTTATATGGAATGACTTCTGGGTAATTCACCTGTAAATATTGCTATTGTACAGGTTCTGAATTAATACGTAGGTAATTTACTTAGCACTTTTGTATGGATTACGTTGCTATAGACTGTTTTGAAAGAACTAGATCTGGTTTATTCTGTGTCTTTTGGATTTAATGTCTTTTGGATTTATACTTGTGGTTGGTGGTATTTGAAGTGTGACTGCACAACACTGCTCATTTCATTCTGGGCACTTAAGCCCAACAAGTTATCACATTGTTCTGGAGAGTTGCTGTGGTTTCCACAAGAAGAATGTTGGTGTTTTAAAAGGTATTGTAAGTGCTAGTTCTGTTTGAAAAATTAATCCACTGTTATGATTTCTGCAGCTTACCTAATTATATCAGCTTTACCAACCACATCTCTTTCTGTAGAGACCTGATCTGGCCACAGTCACATGTACCCTGATCACTTCCAGAGTAGATAATTATAATGTGCTGTGTATGGGGCTCCCTTTTAAAAGTTCTCAGAAAATTCAGCTCGTTCAAAAACCAACCACCTAGTTGATGTCTGGGGCAAGTCACACTGAGCATATTGCATCACTTTTAGCTCAACTTCATTGGCTCTTGTTTCTAAGATCAATTTCAAAGTGCTGAGTTTGACTTTTAAGCCCATTAACAGATTGGTACTGGATACTTGAAGGTCTGCCTACTGTGTCCACATCCGTAGGTCATCTGACGAGGTTCTGCTTTTTGTGCCACAGCTATTAGACATTCAAAAAGTGGCCATATGCAATAGGATTTGTTTGGTAGTGGCACTGGCATTCTAGAATTCCCTCTTTCACAAAGTGCATCCAACTTTTAATTTTTTCAGGCTTAATTGACATTGAGTTGGATTTGTAGTTCATTTGGCTTTGTATCTATTTGGGTTAATGCTGGATTCAGCTGGTTTCTGTTGAATATTTTATTCTATTTTACTCTGTTTGTTCTATGGTTACTAGATGATTGTTCTTGTTTCCTTACTTAGTGTGAAGTTGAGAAAAATTAACTATTTTTAATCAATATTGTACTTTGTTGTAATCTACTCTGGGGATATTTCATACTAAAAGGCAGGATAAATCTTGATACTAGATAAAATAAATGAAATATGTATCTAAATCATTTTGCAGTAAAACCAAGCTGATACAGTTTTATTATTTCCTCCTGGAACCAAGGACACTGTTTTTTCTGAGAAAGCAGAATGATTTTAAAAACCATCATGTTAGGAACACTTCATGAATTCCTGTGTTGAGATTATTTTACAATGCTAGCTATCTGTTCTCATGACTTGGATAGATGTAGATACATTCAAGGAGTTTTTAATAGACTACTACATGCTGTTTAAGTTTAGCTTCTAGTTCTTAAACCATTTTCACACAACTTTTAAAAAAGTGCTTTTGAATATCTTTGCACTTTGTAAAGGTTATTCATGAAAGATAGAATGCAGAAGAAAAAAAATGCACATGTAGGTTTTAGATTTGCATTACAAATCAAACTCACTTAAGCTTCTTTGTGAAAATGCCTTTGCATCATGCATAGGCTGTTCTTTGTGCCCTATCTTCCAGCTCCTATAATTTACAGACACCACAAAACTATCTATTGCTGTAAGTGGGAAACTGATAAGGTTTCTAGTGCAAAACAAACAAAGAGATCTTCCTCCCCATTGGAACCCAAACTCTTACCTTTTGCAGCCCTGTGGAGGTGATGGACAAAGATCTGGTTCAAATGCCAGCAAATGAAGGAAAGAGAACACGGCTGAAAAAACTGTGATGATCCTGAAGACCTGCTCAGTGGGAGAGGAAGAGGGAGCCCCACTATATAGAGCCCTGCTAATGATGATAGTCCATTATCATCTGGCTTGCATAAGAGTAGGGTAGATAACACATTTGCTGAGAAAGACAGTTTTTATTTCAGCAGAGCTCTTGGAAGGGGGAGTTGCTGTTGTTTTTATGAATATTCCAGTGTTTGTTCCTCTGTCTCTGACTCTGTCTGAACTCCTGCCTTTTAGACCAAGTCTTTGGAGCCCTCTGACCATTTTTGGAGGGCTTGGAAAGAGTTACAGAAAGGGAGGGGAAGTTTGGTGTTGCAGACACAACAGGACATTTCAGAAGGGGATAATTCCATAATGGTAGGAGTGGGGGGAGAGTTGAACGGCTGCCATAGTAACGGCTCTGTGATTCCAAGACCTCCCTTTGCCTGCAGTGGAGGAGGGCCTATAGGGTGGCAGAGCGGGGCTCCTGAATGAGCAGGGGTGATAATGGTTTGTCAGTGGAAAGGGCTGAAGGCCCCTTATTCAGTTGAATGAGAGGGATCTCTCTTTAGGACATTTGCTATAGGGTCTTAGTGTCCTGCCCTGTATAATTAGTCTCCATTCCACAGTGTGGAATAAAATTGATGCCTTTATGCTGAGATGAACACAGCTGCATGCTCCCTTTTATAAAGGCACGCTGTCTGCTTTCTTTCTAGGGACTGTGGCTCTTGTCTGGATTTACAGTTTCTTCGACTCAAGGGAGGGACGGAAGAGAGAGGACTTGTGAAGAGGGGGTGTTAATAACATTCCTTTCCACTTATGCTCACAGGGACTTTTTATTTGAGGCCTGTAAAAATACAAAGCCACACAACAACTTCATAGCATTGAGAGTTATTATTAGCTCCATTTTCTGACAGGGACCTGGAGGCTACATGACCTGCCTGCATCTCTCAGGAAGCCTCAGAGACAGCCCAGAATAAGACCTCAGGCTCCTGGCCCATTAATATTTCATATATATACTGCCAATTTCTGTGTCTGTGCACCTTGCTTGACAGATAAGCAAAGCTGGCTGTATCATGAGAATTCCATATATAGGGGCAAAATTGTGTACAGTGAACTTGGAATTGGAATTGCACACATTTACCATTATATTTACATGCCAAAAGTTACTGACCATTTTTACTGCTTTTTGTCACACTAGCATTAAGAAATAAAGCATGAAAAATGATGGATGATGCTTCCCAGTTCTTTGCTTTCTTTGCATTTGTACTCTAGGCACCTCTGTAGGCCTTGCCATAATCGTGAGAAAGCCAAGGGCCTGGGCAAGTATATTTGCCAGAAATGTCACTTGATAATTGATGAGCAGCCTCTGATGTTCAGGAATGACTCCTATCATCCGGATCACTTCAGCTGCACACACTGTGGGTATGTCAACCATCTCCTGTCCCAGTTACAACTAAGGAACAAGTGAAAGGGGATAGAATGGGCAATTGTGCTGTCTCTTTCGAGGATGAGTGATCTTCAGACTAAAATTGCTGCGATTAAGCAGACTGACAATTTGTTCTATATGTGAAAGATTAAAAAGCTGTTGAACCAGAAAACGACAGGAGCTGTAGTCATTGTGCTGAACTTACATAAACTTCCCCTTATACAATAAGTTTTTTCCCAGTTGGGTCTGTTCTGATAGAGCATGAAAACTGTTTTTTTAAGAAAATTCTGTTTTACTGAAACATAGCCAAGGCTTTCTTGAACACCATAATTTATAATGGTTTAGAATTCCTCTCATCCCCAGCAGGGCTTGATTATCTACTGTTTGAAACTCTGTTACTGAGATTCAAACTACCATTATCAAATGGCTTTACACAGTTTATTTCATAACCTTGTTATTAGTCATGGAGTGGAAGGGTCAAAGTAAGGACCTTTGTTTTAAATATTTTCTCTTGAGACATTTATCCTTGTTTGGCTGGAGGCTCATAAGAGTACTGGGATTTAGTCATCAAGTAACCATTAGCTTGTAGCAAAGCATAAAAAATTTTCTCTCAAAGTTCCTCATGGGTGTTTTTTTTTGGGGGGGTGTGTTGTTGTTTGTGCAGGAAGGAGCTGACAGCTGATGCCAGGGAGCTGAAGGCGGAGCTCTACTGCCTGCCATGCCATGATAAAATGGGCATACCAATCTGTGGAGCCTGTCGCAGGCCGATTGAGGGTCGAGTGGTCAATGCTCTAGGGAAGCAATGGCATGTGGAGGTGAGAATGTTTCCATTGTGCTGCTTGCCGTGGAATGCGTGTTGCAGCATGGCTGCTGACAGAGTCTGTCAGGTATCAGAATTAACAGTCAATCATTCCATTGTCTGTGTGAAGTTATAAGTGCATGCCAGTGTTTTGAATGTATGCTTATTCGGATCTCTAGTATACCTCATTCCAAAAGATTCCAAAAGATCTGCTTAAAGGTTATTAACAGTAATAACATTGCTAGAAATAATCAACACACAAAAAAGCCCCACCTGTCTAAGATCATTGACTGCAATTAACTTAGAACTGTATCATTCTGCTTAGGACTGCTTTAATAAAAGATTTAATGTTACTATATTTTCTACTGGTTTGATCCAGGCTGCTTCCTGATATAAAATTATCTCCAAAATAGACTCCAGGACCTAACATACTCTTTAATTTTACAGCATTTTGTTTGTGCCAAGTGTGAGAAGCCATTCCTAGGACACCGACACTATGAGAAAAAAGGTCTGGCTTACTGTGAGACTCACTATAACCAGGTAAAGTCTGCCAAATTTTGTATCATGTACATTTTGTTCTGATGAAGAGAACAGGTAGAAGGCAGTTGCCAATGGAGAAATCAGAGAAATGTTCATTTGTCACCTGAAACAATCAGATAGATATAAAAATTGCTTACAGTCTTAATATATACAGTCTAAACCATGGAAATGCAAAGCAAAATGCTTTGAGCAACAAGTAGCCATTTCAACGCTTCCCCATTTGTGTATATGGTGTAACTGCTGCTATCCGGTGGTGCTTAGTTGTAGATTAACTAACTTACAAAGAAATTCGTAGGATTGCCATTAGGGGGTCGAAAACCTTGCCCCACTCCCTGACACTAGCACTGCTAGTGTTTGGATCCAATAGCAGGTTTTCTTCCACCTCAGTAGCCCCTTTTCTTTCTCCCATAAATGTCAGTAGGACACAATTCACTTCCTACGGGAGTGATGTAGACTGCCATGTAAGGCGGTCTGTGCAACGTGTCTGAGTCATGTTATTAGCAATCCATAGGTGGTGGGCAGAAAAGGGAAACCGGTCATGTGGGTGCTCAGCTATAAGTCATCCTTGCCAGATTCACTGACATGGCACTACACAAACTAGTGTATGCTCTTCCCAGACCAGTGAAAGGCAGACTGTGTAACAAAATTTATTTGAGATGCTTAAGAACATCAGGCCCTTTCCTGTGGCTTCCAAATGAGTTCTTACAAAGAAGGAAACATTCTGTTATTTTAATTATTCATTCTTGAATATGTCTCATGAAATAACTGATCTGAATATTGTAGCAGATTTCTGGTTTCTCCACTGGGTTATCAGCCTGTCTTTTCCTGAGCAAAACAGACCTGGAGCAAGACACAGTTAGAAAAATGCTAGTATGCTGCCTTATTGGATCAGAAATCTAGTTTAAAAAATGAACTATTTTTGTCTTGATATTTTTTTACTGATATAAAAGAGTGATGTGTTGCCTCCATGAAAGGTACCAGAATCAACCTTCAGTGACCAACAATTTAAATGTGATCGATAGGTAAGAAGTGTGCAGATGTGTGAGACAAGCTGAAATGTGTTGTGACTTGGGGCATTATTTCATTGCATATAATTAATCAGTGCTGAAAGTTCCACTAGTAAAAAGCCTCTCTCTTTTTTTTCCTTTTCGCTACAGCTCTTTGGAGATGTCTGCTATAACTGCAGTCATGTGATTGAGGGGGATGGTAAGTTTGGGACTGTTAATGCAGCTGTCGCGGTCCTGCATGGACAAGGCATCAGTGATCCTTTTTACATCTGGACTCACTGACTGTAGTTTGATACTCTCCTTGTTTGATATTTCTCACTAGTGGTATCGGCTCTCAACAAAGCCTGGTGTGTGAACTGCTTCTCCTGTTCCACCTGCAACATCAAGCTCACTCTGAAGTAAGTAGCAACCCAAGAGGGTTACTGCAGAGACCATGGTGATACTGCATTGTCCTAAGAGGCAGCTGGCCAATAGAACTGATTCAAATTTGGGATATTCTTGGCTAAGATATGTATGTGAGGAGCAGGAGAAACCTGCTAATCTGAGGAAACCAACTTTTATATAAGGATTAATCAAAAATATCAAAACCAGTGTTGTGCACTGTCACTCCTTAACGGTATAGCAAGATTAACATTAGGTATGCCTTCAACAGCAGGGTCTTTCATGTTTCTTTCTGGGGCAGAATGCTCCTGCACTGCTTGTTATACATTTTTCAGTTGCGGTGTTCTCAGGTAAGTCAGCCCAGCATGCTGTTTCAAACATTAGGGTGGGAATCTTACTTAAAAGTAGATCTACTTGGGAGGCAGTAGAGGTAAGGTACGGGCTGCAGATACAGCATCTTCTAGGCGTCTGATTGCGTTTCCAGTGGCATCCGGCGCCCGCCCATGTCCCCTCGCAAACAAGTCATTTTCCCCCCCCCAAGTCTCCATGGATGCGCACAAGCACACAACGGAGCATGCACACACCAGTTTTAAAAAGTAAAAAAAACACCCCGTTTGCCACGCCGCCTCGCTTCTTTGCCTGTCGTGTGATCGGTACCTCCCCCCAAGCCACAGGACCTCGACGGGACCTCAACCGGATGTCTGATCGCGCAGTCGCGCGTTAGTTTGCCCCGGGGCGAACAGCCATGCTCCCCCCCCCCTGCATTTTCCAGCCCGTGTGACCGGGGCCCTAGAACTTCTTTCTCTATTGTGCTGCTTTTTTAATTTGCAGGAAGCTTTTATGTAGGGAAGCATTAAAAATGCCTTCTCAAACCTGAAGTCTGAAATAGTACAGCCCATTTGACCTCTGCAGAATTCTGATACCTCATTTGGCTTCAGGTGCACACCAGGTCCAAGTGCAAGCTGGAATGAGTAGCTAAAAGCAGGTTCTAATCATGAGTCATGTCAAGCAGTAATATTCTTGTGATGTCTAGATAGATGTGAAAAATGAAAGAGAGGCCAGGACCTTAGCCTAGTGATGAATTATGTGGTTTATCCTTGCAGAATTGTTTTAAAATATATATTTTAGTCAAGATTACAGTCTTCCTGGAGGGCAGTTGTGGCTGATATTCTTTTTCCTCCAAGGACTCCTTCTCTATAAGGGTCTGTATCAGACAGGCATGGGAGACAGAAGTGAGCAATGTTGCATCTAATGTCGTCTGTCCCAGCATGCAGTGGCTGTTTGAGCTTCCAGGAAGAGGGCTTTCACAGCCTCAGAGTCTTGTAACTAGAGATGCTGAACAGTGAACACGGAACCACCATCTTCATAGCATGTTCTCATGAAGATGGAAAGGATTTTTATTAGAGACAATAGTTTTAAAAAATCCACTGAAGTGATACATTACTTAGATATTAAACCTCTAATGATCTTGTGAATGAAGTTTAATTACTGTGTATTTCTTTGAAAGGAATAAGTTTGTGGAATTTGACATGAAGCCAGTGTGCAAGAAATGCTATGAGAAATTCCCTTTGGAGCTGAAAAAACGACTGAAAAAGCTGTCCGAGCTGGCCACTAAGAAAACTCATCCTAAAGCTCTGGATTTAAACTCTGCTTAAACATTTCAGTGGTTTCTGCTGACTACACTCATGTTAACCAACTGCAAAATAAAACTATGAGAATGGCTTGAAGGACACAAGGCAAGCAAATACTTCCCAGTAATATCTTGCACTCTGCATATTGTTCTCATTTGGAGTATGATGTGGAGTCTTAAGCTCTCCTTAGCAGCTGGGAGAGGCTGCACTAGCCTTTGCACAAAGTTATGTCTTAAGATTTTTGCCATTTGTCTCTTATTTTTTAATGAGGTTCAGGTTCAAAATGTTAGTTTCCTCCTCTTCTTTTTTTTCTTTTGACCAAGAAAAACTAAGATCAGCCTGAGCAAAACTGAATCAGAGCAGTACAAAGGTGGACTGAAAAGGGTATCCAGTCATTTCTGAGCTCAAAGTCACCCATTCCAAGCTGTTTTCCCCTTACAGGGGGAAGAAAATACAGGATAATGCATAGTGTTTTTTACCTGTAGGTGAAAAGCAGCTTAGGGAGGGTGGTTTTGAGCTGAAAATTGGATATAGAATCAAGGATTAATCAGCCTTTCTCTTCCCACCTTTCATTCACCAACTCGCAGCTTGCCCTTGCTATTTAAAACAAACACAGAATAAATTAATATGGAACTCCATGCAACCATAGCTGGTTCCATGTTATCTTAAAAACTACAGGTAACTAACATGTGGGGCCAATGAGAACTAAGTAGTAATTTCCTTAAAACATTTACAAATTACATTATTAGAATTTTTATATTGTTCAGCACAAACTTACATTATTGACTGTTTCTACCTACTATAGTAGCTAAGTTGCTGTTGATTTACTTTTTTATATTAATGAAACACATCAGCTGCTGAAAAAGTTCATGATGTTTAGCTTTCCCTCCTCTACTTTCTCAAAGATATGAACCAGGAATAGAGGATCTGAATAGATCAAAGAGAGGAACTGTAAACCCATAATTCTAGACAAAGAGAGAGAGAGACTATTTTTTGGAGCGTGCATTCATAGTAGTTGGGGGGAGAGTTGTTTCTAAGCTTTTACACATTTGCTCCTAGTTCTGCTTCTTCACTTATAATGCAGGCATCAGTAAGTGTTCTAATATCAACAAGAGATTAGGAAATCTCTGGGATTTCGTCCTAGGAATGATTTACCTTACAACTCACCTTCATTTCAGTGTTGGCTGTAATGTGATCCTGCTTAGCTGCTCTAGAGCTTAGAACTATGTGCTACCTTAGCTAATCCTCAACCCTGGGGAAGGTATGCTTAATTTGACTGAGAAGGAGCTGAGAGGGAGATTGTTGAAGGGAGGAGGAGCAGGTGGATGACGGGCGACCACCCCCTCTTCCAACCACTGATTTTTCTTCAAATGCCCAGCATTACCAGACAAGTCCACCTTTAGGAAGTTCTTATTTGCTAGGTTATGTGTAGTTCCAGTCAAAGTGGCATTGTTCTTACCAATTTCCATGACAGTCAAACGGAACTATTTACGTCCGTATGGTAGAAAGTTATAGGAGGAAAAATTAGCCACTAAGTAATTGTTGTTTAAAGCACAATTTGCCTTTATTAATATCTTTACTATAGCAACAGAGTATGGTGTACTGTTTCCACTGTGACACAGAAGGATCCATTTTTATATTTTCCTTAGCACTAAGACTGTGGTAGCACAGCTAATAGCACAAGTTGATTGTTTTTCTTGAGAATAATCTTTTGAATATAAACACAAGGAGCAGCATATGTTCCTGGATATGTCAGGGAATACACACTGATTTCACTTGCCCCCATTCAGAGTGCTCTGTGTGCTCTGATCAACACATGGAAGTTTTGTGCATGTGTGTTGCCATATTCATTTCAGTGGGGAGAACAAGAACACGTGTATTTGTTAATTCAGTTGAAAGGGATGAGGCAGCTCTGGAGGGTGGGGAAGCTTTGTGTGACCGTTGTAGAGCCCATCCCCAAAACACAGGTGGGTGTAACTTTCTACAGTGCAACTGAAAGAACAAAGCACACACACTTCTGTCCAGAATTCATTTTGAGTCTTCCATGCTTGGAAAATGTTAACTGTACCTGTATCATCTTCCTACAACCATAGCTCTTGTTCTGTGATCCAGTTTTATGTGAAAAAATGGTATTGAGCCAGACAGTGGATGGGCAATGGTACTGATGGATGGGCAATGGTATTGAGCTAGTTGAGCCAGACAGTGGATGGGCAATGCAGCTTATTGGGCATCTCTTATTAAGTAACGAATGTGGACAGACAACATACACACATAGATTTATGCCTGATTTTCTTCATCCAGCGAGTGATATTGATCTGCTGATCTGGCTTGGGGTGTTTTGCACCCCAAGCCAGATCAGCAGATTTAAGCAAAATTATTTGCTTAAAGAATTTTAATGTGGTGATCTGTGGAATCGCTGGTTTCATGATACCCTTCTTCCTTCAAAGACTGGATGCCACTTCAGACAGATTTTCAAGACACCTGTAATACTGTATAAAGTATGTGCTGTGCTTTCAAAATAAAATAATATAATGGGAAAATGTTACATTAAGATATGATTAGTAATAAAGGGAAATACCCTGGTTTCCTATTATAAAGAAGGTTAGCTTTGGAATTCCATATTTCATTCTGGCTTCTGTGGAATTGCAAGAAAGTAAATGGCTTGATGGAGCTGCGGTGGCTCAAGTGGTTAAGACGCTGAACTGCAGACTGTGGAAGGTCAGTAGTTCAGCAGTTCGAGACCCGAGTGTGCCGCATGATGGAGTGAGTTCCCGTCTCTAGTTCCAGCTCCTGCCAACCTAGCAGTTCGAAAGCAAGAAATTGCAAGTAGATAAATAGGTACCACTTCAGTGGGAAGGTAACAGCGTTCCGTGCGCCTTGGTGTTTAGTCATGCCGGCCACATGACCACGGAAATGTCTTCGGACAGTGCTGGCTCTTCGGCTTTGAAACGGAGATGAGCACCGCAACCCTAGAGTCGGATTCGACTGGCTTTCGAGCAAGGGAACCTTTACCTTTACACCTTTACTTTTTAAATGGCTTGATAATTACAGCCCCATTCTGCACAGTTTTCTAATGTGAAGACTCAACCCCCTTAAAGTCCCTTCTATTGGACTTCTGTTTTATGTTACATAGGTTATTGTGTGCGGGTGTTAAGTGTTGCCAAGTTGCTCCCGACCTATATCAACCCGATAAATTAATGACCACCAAAGGGTCCTATCATTAATGGCCTTACTCAGGTCTTGCAGTATCTTCCAAATACAGAATCTCTTTGCTGGGGGGAAAACCCTAAGAGATGTACTGGAAATGAATTTTCCTTCCATGTCCCATTTCTGGGGAAAAGTAAATGGTACATCTGTGCTCTAGGGCAGCTTGGCAAAAAGACCAGTAGATTTGAGCCTAACCAGGTGGCCAGGCTTTGTGGACACTGAATTCACTAATTTTGGGGGTGGGGGTAAACTCAGAAGATCAGGAAGTGTTCATAGGAGAGGGGAGGGAACACATCATTGTAAAGAAACCCCTTACCACTGCAACACAGGAAGCTAGCATGAGTATGCATTAGAATGTTGTATGTTGGAAGATATATGCATTGGAATGTATGTTCCAGTAAAATTTTGCTGTAGCTGGAGCCACTTATCAGATAGCAAAATCTGATCAGTTTCATAGCATCAACATGTTCACTATTGGCAGGGAATAATGTAGTAAGAGAAAGAAATCACATTAAAATGGTGCTGAATGCCTGATTGGCAAACCATGGCTATGAATGTATGAGAAACTATGCAGAGAGTGGGAGGAAGAATTTTTGGAGTGCTTTCTGTATCCCCCCCCCCTTGAAGGCATGCCTCCCCCCCTTTAAAAATGGTTGAGGTGAGTGAGAATTTAAGTATAGCTCTCAGACCATGACAACTGGTGCATCATAAACAGAAATTAAAAGCAGTCTCTCAGCATCAAAAAGAGTAGGTAAATGGCAGAGCAGATTAACATTGTATTTGTTATCCTTTTGCTACATTGCACTGAATGTGGAATTATTTGCTTACAATATACTGTTCAACTATAAAAGTTTAGTGTTAATGTCTTTTATGGATATATGCATCACTTAAGCTTATAGGTTACCCTTGAAGATATCGAATATTTCCAGAAAGCATTATCTTTCTAAATGAAAATTACTAACCTTTGCAGGGACCTATTTGCAATCTTCATTTTCAAGAGTCTTCATTAACAGTGGCACATGGCTAAACCAGTTATATTGAAAATGCTTAGCTGTGGGCATAAAAGCATTTTAATGTATAAATGGAGCTGTCTTATTTCCTATTAAGTCACAGTAAACCATCAGTGTATGGTGTGCCTTTTTTTTACTTATTATGCAAGTTGCTTGAAATGCTTTGCTTTTGGAGCTTGTGATTTCTGTAGCAAAAGCATACACCCAGTTGGATTAACATATTATTTCATTTTCATCTATGATGTTTTTCAAATGACAATTCACTGCCATGTATCTGTAAATTCTTCACAGTAAAGGTTGTTTTAAAAAGTTGCAATATTGAATTGCTTTTGTCTGAATTTGAATTATTTGCACATTGCAGTTCCAACTTGTTTTTTCAGGAGTAATTACAGTGGGTATGTGTTGCTATGGTACAACTTCCTAAGGCAGTCATTTTGACAGACACAGGTTCAGGAGTGTATAGAATGGATCCTGTGCAAGCTAGAGACATAAACATCGGAGAAGAAATCCCCAGATGCTCCTCTACATGCCCTCCAAGTACCCCCCCCCAATTACTCTGAAGTTCAGTAAACATTTAAATTGAGCAGAGACAGTTTGTCTGGAAATGTATCCATTTACGAACTGGCACAAACCTCAGCAAGCAGCTTGAAACTTCATGGAAAGTGCATGCTGGTCGACCTGCCACAAACTTCACTTGACCAACCACAAACTCGTCATGGCCAAAATTTGTCACAAACTTTAGTTTGTGAGCAGGTTCATGCCCATCCCTAGTGATGCCCAACTACCTGTGCACCATGTGTTAGTTTATATCTCACAATATACTTCAGCCCTCCAAGAATACAGAAGTTGGCCATCCTGCTTTATAGAAAATGAAATGGCGGTTTCTTTTAGCGAGCAGGAATGGAGACAGAACTGCTGTTGGTATCTTGACATATAGTAAGGATTCTTTGTGCCAGACTGCAGCATTAAGTGTATGCTAATACAAGACTCTGATCGTGTCTTTAAGATTTTTCAGTTTATTGATTTATAGTTAATGGTGCTGGAGAAAACTCTTAAGAGTCCCTTGGACTCCAAAGAGATCAAATCAGTCAACCCTAAAGAAAATCAACCCTGACTGTTCCCTGAAAGGCCAGATACTGAAGCAGAAGCTCAAATACTTTGGCCACCAAATGAGAAGGGGGCGCTCACTGGAGAAGACCCTAATGCTGACAAGAATTGAAGGTAAATATTGTGTAGTGGGTTGCCGCATGGAAGGACGACAGACGACGACGTAGTGCATAGCACGCTTTATTAGGTACACAACAAGACGGGGGACAAACGGCCGGCAGGCCAACTATATACACAGCCAGGGGCACACCCCTGGGTCCTATTGGCGGGTTTGAATCTCCCGCCACGGTCCCATTGGTTCCCCCAGTGGAGGGACTAGGATCCTAGTCCCCATTGTTGTCCAGGACTGAAGCTCAGGCGTGTGCGCTGACCTCCGGTGGCGGTCAGTGGACACAACATCAAAAGAAAAAGGGAACGGCAAAAGATGAGATGGTTAGACAGTGTTATCAATGCAACGAACATGAAATTGAGCAAACTCTGGAGGATGGTGGACTACAGGAGGGCCTGGCGTGATGTGGCCCATGGGGTCACAAAGAGTCGGACTCAACTGTGTGACTGAACAGCAACAACAAAGTACGGTATATATTTTTGGAAGGAAGTTAACAGCAGCACTCTTGCCATCCTGCATTTTTTAAAGCGGAAACAATTTTGATTTTATTAGGACCACTAAGGCAGTAAGCCAAATTTAAAAATTCAGAAATATACCATGTTCATAGTCACCTGGATCCAGCTAGTTTCAGACAATCCACTGCCAGCAGTGGCTGCTAAACGTGGAATACCTGGCTGCTTGATTGCAAGATATCAAGGATTCTGAAAACCTTGGCACTCATTTAGCTGTGCAGAGATAGTGACACTCTAATCTCCCATCAAACACATGCAAAAAGCCTGTTTCCAAGAATTGCACACCCTCTTCTAGGGACAACAGATAACTACTTTGGCAAATGACAGATAGGAAGCCAATAGAGTTGGTTTTCTACGGCTGCTGAAATGTCCCTCATGGAATTTGGTGTAAATGCACTACAGCATCTGAAGTATCTAAGTTGGTCTTTCCTTTCTACAGTGAAGTGTCGCTTTCCAGTTTTTTGATTTATAGGAACACTTTTACTGTAAGAACCATATTTGTTAACTAAAAAGTTTGTGACAGATAGGGAAGATAATGACTTTATGCTGAGTAGATCCCACAACCAGTTGAGTTGCTGAAATTATCAGACACAAAGCAAGCAAAGGAAATATCAAAGGATATATATCCACACTTTATATAAGTGTGAACTCTAGCAGACAGGCGCAAAGTTGGGGCCAGTTGTCTTGCTGGTCACTTTCAAGGTGGGAAGAGAAAGCTGGTAGACAACTGGACACAGTTAGATGGTACAGAACCACTTTCATAAGCTTTAGTAAGCTCATGTTAAGGCAGTGGTCACAGGGCAGCCTGAAGCCTGATTTCAGGGAGATTCTGTTGCTTTTCAGTGTGATTCTTTTGCAAATAAAAGGTAGCAAACCACCTTTTTTTGCTGCAGAGTGGTGAGGTTTATACCGATGGAGTAGAGAAACACACACTTCTTATCTGCTGAGGCAGTAGGGTGCGTGAAAAGCAAGTGAGCCAGTGTAGTGTAGGTTCAAGTGCCAGACTAGGATGGCCAGGACCTGGGTTCAAACAGCCAGTAATGAAGCTCACAACATGACTTTGGACTCTGTATCAACCTACCTCATAGAGTTTGTTAGGATAAAATACAGGAAGGGTAAACGATGGACATTTTGTAATAGATAAACCGCTATAAGCTATAGTCCAGGGAAGGAGAATACCATTATTGAACGCCCCCCACCCCCGGGAAGCTGCTTTGGAATCAACGCCAGCTATGTTGAAATCCTTGAGTTGGTACATCAAGCCAAGAGTGATTAAACTGTGCAGTCAGCATAAGTACACATGGGGCCGTGCTACTTCAGCAGCATGAGATGCCATTAGAGCTGACAGATGCAAGCTTAAAAATTTATTTCTTCTAGGCTATGATGAGTAATTTGGCAAAGTTGTGAAAGAGGAACTGTTGTCACTGTCATTCTCAGGCAGGGACATTGAGATTTATCTGTTTGTTAACAGCATTCATTAACAGGTGTACGTACGATGTCAACAAGTCATCCATTTTGTATCCCTAGAGGAGAAATAAAAGACGTGTAACCATCACTCTGGGAAAGGGTTGTAAAGACACAAGACCGCTTAGCAGATCATGGATCAGTTCCCAATCATACCACCAACTGTCTGGCGAGGCCAGGCCTGTGTACTAGCCTATCCCATCCCCTTCCTTACTTGTTCTCAGTTGCAGTGATGTCCTCCTTTCCTCTCTCCTCTATAATGTGGGGAAATATAAACATCCCCTCTAGATCATTTGGGATAAGAAAAGTCTTGGTCCAAGAAATGGTCAAGGAAAAATGGAAGGAAGGAGCTGCCATTGCAGAACGTTCTCTCACACATTTCCAAAGAACCACTAACCAGATTTTTTTGTTTTGTCTGCTTGCAAGACTTGCTTTGCATGACTTCATTTGAAGAAGAAGAGATTGGATTTATATCCCACCCTTCACTACCCAAAGGAGTCTCAGATTATGGATTACAATCTCCTTTTGCTTCTCCTCCCCACAATAGACACCCTGTGAGGTAGGTGGGGCTGAGAGAACTCTTTTGAAGACTGCTCTTGAGAGAACAGTTCTGAGAGAACTGTGGCTTGCCCTAGATCACCAAGCAGCTGCATGTGGAGGAGTGGGGAATCAAACCTGGTTCTCCCAGATTAGCGTCTGTGCTCTTAACCCCTACACCAAATTTGTTCCTCCCACAGAGAGGCAAGTTCAGTTAAGAGTCAGACATTACTTTCTTGGGAACAGTTTCCTAAGGGCATACTTAACTTCCACTAAAAAATGCAGTTAAAGTGACTTTTTAAAAGCAAATGAGAGTGGCAAGAAGAACATTTTTGGCCCCTTTATTACACAGAATTGTACCTAGAAGTGCACTGAGCCCCTTCATGATTCAGCAGCTAGTGTTCAGTTGAAAACTGCCCGGCACCAAGTAAGCACCCTCCTCATGCCCCCTGGCTGTACAGCATTGAGAAGGCTGAAAACAATATTTTCCTAAAAAGATTAACAGGCTTCAATAAGGGGGAGACAAGGGAAATCTTATCGGAGCTTTCATGCCTTGGCAGAGGATCACAATCCTCCTGATCCCCTTGAAAGTAAAAAAATCTCTTTAGAAAGCAGGTTCAGAGGTTTACAAATCACTCTGCAGAGGAAGTTGGACACCACTTCATGATTCGATCAGCTATCTTGATGCATCTCTGGCTGAAGCCATTTTGGTAGTAATTCCCATGAGCACAGCAACACAGTTGTCCTCTGCCAAACTTAACTGCTGCATGGTGGTCAAGTATTACTTTCACAGTGCAGCAGTCTTTCTAGAGGCTGTTTGGCTGCTCTCTGGGGATCAATTTGTAAATTTCTGAGATGGTCCTCTGAAGTAAATAACCACATCTTCAGTAAATAACCACATCTGAGATCACAAGTTATTCTTACCAATGATGTCTCACAAAGAAGCCGACTGCCTCGTATCAGGTTTCCTATGGTCATATGGAAATATGTGCTGCCACTGCTCCAGTTGGAGATTTTATTGAAGGGGTAAAGTGTCAAGATCTCCTGCGAGTCAACATAAGCATTACATACATGATTTATTTTTGTGTATGAAAAGAACTTTATGGCACAAAAGAGACAACCGTTCACTGAGGGTAAATGTATACTTTTCTATACAGGGACATCAGCTTGTGAATCTCCAGAAGGCAATTCAGTGCAGGCACTTAGAATTATCCTTCTCCCCACCACACATAGCCACTGGTTTAAATGGAGTTGTTTCTAGTAAAGACTGCCTGGGACTTCCCTTAGGTCCAGCTCCTCTGGTCATTGAACGTTATGTCTTAAATGTCATCTCTTTTCCAAAATGTATCTGAAGAACTGAACTCTGACTGGGGGAAGTTTATTCTGGAACAAATGTTCTTAGTGTTTAAGGTGCCTCTGGACTTCAGTTTTATTTTGTTATCTTTTAGCCAAGCTTTTACTAATTTGCTGTCTGACAATTTATCATCCTTCCAGGAAGCCAGCACATGATGGTACTCATTTTGCAAGATTCTCTTCCTGGAGCACACAGATTTCATGCTTATCAGCTTTTAAAATTATTTTTAGTTTTTCTGATGATGATATTATTTGTAACAGCAAATGGAGAAATGGCTCATACCAGAACAACCTGCTTCGGCTAGTGTAAAGACGATAATCAACAGAAGCAGTAGACCTGCTGCAAGTCAGGGTAGTGGTGACACCTTTTTACCCTTAGGGACTTTTTTAGTGACCTAGCTGGCATACGTCAGGTTATGTGGTTGTTTTCCAGAGGCCAAGCAGCAAAATCGAGCTCTTACCTTAGTCTTTGGATGTATTAAAGATACTCCTTGTTTGTTGATCGCAATCAGGATAATGTCTGGGAAACCTGGCTCTGAAGTTTGCTGGAGACGAGAAACAAAGGAGGGTGGCTATTGATAAGGAGCTATCTCTGATCACAGACATTCTCAATATCCACTAATTGTCATTCGCTTCATATTAGCGCTACTTGTTATACGTATATACTAAAATCTACTCCTTTTCTAAAATTAAAATGACAGATAAAGCAGTGTTTAAATGCCCCTTCCCACCTGCCTTTACTCCAAATTGCCCTCCCAAATGGCTTTGGTATCCACAGGGTTTCAAATGTATGTTTGCCTTCATAAACAGGTTTGAGACCCTGCAAGAGGGGAAAGTAACATAAGAGGAGTCATCTGGATAATGAAAACAGTGGGCCAAAAGAGACTGAAGGGCAATCAGATTTTCATAAGGTGTGTGGGGGAGACCTATCATTTCACAGGGTTGTAGGTAACACACAGTATATGTAACACATGCACAATCTTATCTAGATTTAAAAGAAAAATCAAGGTGACAGAAACATCCATTCTGTAGAAAGCTTTAAATATGGTGACAGCCGGAAAATGTGAAATTTTTGAAACTTACCTTCACTTCAAAGAAGGCTGAGCCAAATGTTGGCCAATGACCGATGTACTTCAAGAAGGCAACCTTGGCCTCTTCCTCAGTTTTCTGTTCATGTTTACTGCAGGCATAAATAATGTTCTGTATAAGACATAAACATGTAAGTGAGTCAAAACTGTAGGCAGTTTTTCTATGGCCATAGTTTTGGATTTGCTGACTGTGCTAGTTCTCTAGCGTTTGCTGAGGCACTTCCCATCCTCAGATTCAAACAAGTGGGGACCCACAAGGAACTTGTAGGAGCAGCCATCATATTAACCCTGCCTTTGCTTCCTCCCCTGTCCCCCCACCTATTCTCTCACTCTCTCTTCCACACCATCACCATTTCTCTTGTTCTTAGGTTTGCCATTCCCCCCCCCACGGGAGGGGGGGGTTGACCACTTTAGGGGCCCCCGATCTGCCAGCCCAGATCTGGCTGATGGGGAACCCCGCCCCCAAAGTGCTGGGTTCGTGCCAATGTACCATAGAGTTTCTGGCCGAATGCTAGAGCGTCCCCCTGGCAATGTGCCTAGCACGTTGACATCACTTCCAGGTGATGTCATTGTGGCGTGTGTGCTATGCTTGTGTGCCAGAAGATCCTGTAAAGGAAGCTCCATCCACCCACCACAGCAGGTAGGGATCTGGCAATCCTATTGTTCTCCCTCCCCACAACAATTCCTGTCACTTTTCCTTTCTCCACCCAACACCTGTAAGTCTTTCATTCTCCCTCTCCCCAACAGCTGCTGTCACTGATTCCCTCTCTTTAGCTCTCCCTTTCTTCCTCCTTAGTTCCTACAGTCACACTCTCACATGTACACTTTGTCTCTCTCTTTCTCCATGCTTCCTCCCACCATTCAGTCTCTCTCCCTCTCTCCCTCCCTCCCTCTCTTGCTCCCCTGCCAGCTGCTGACTACAGTAGTCCACCCCCCCATCTGGAATGCTGCTGCTAGAGAGGTAGCAAATGCAGACCTGGCTGCCAGCAACAATTCTTCTCAACTCCTCTGACCACCAGTCTGGCAGCTTATCTCTCTCCCCCATCCCACTGTCAACAAGATGCTCAGCTGCCTCTCCCCTCCCATTACCCATGATGGTGCTCACCTGCCTCCCCTCATCCTCCTCTTTTGGCAGTTCCTGTTTCCTGCTTTGCCCCTGCTAGCTCTCTAGCCCACAACACTGCCATGGCTGTTTTGGCTCCATATGCACTCTTGTGGTTGTTTTTTTTTTTGGGGGGGGGGGATTTAAACCCGCCCCAATGATTTTTTAAAAAGTTTTCAGATTTTTCTGCAAATGCGGGGGGTCCCCCAAGTTTGAAGAACCATCTGTTTTCTGTCATTGTGGCCCACATCCATGGATATAGGTATCCACAGATTGTGGCACACTTGACAATTATATATATGATGAAGGAGGGTTTTGATAATTTCAAATCTCCAAATTAAAAAAAAATGCATTTCTTCACACCAACTATGGCAGACAGACAACATACACCATGACATATTCCTTGAATCTCTAGAATAGAATTCTGGACTAATCAAAGGACTCTTACCCTTTTCCATTCCTCTGGAGATGTTGTTCGGATCATATTCTCAGGCACTAGTTCCTTTAACATTTTGGGGATTACTGCCTGCTGTGTTTGACAATTCTTAAAACAAACTTTGAATATCAGACCACCTAGCTCGATGGCATCCTCTTTTGAGCACTTGTGATAGCCTCTTAGATACTTGGGCAGTTCCTGAAAGATGTGATTATTGATTATAAACATTTTGCATTTTGAGGCAATGACCCCCCCATTCTCTGCAGTTTTGCTGAGTACGTGTGTATGTGAAGGAAAGTTTGCATTGGTTTCATGACATTCTAGCACACTGGCAATATATTTGTCCTATAAAATCAAGCTATTGCTTAAGATGGATGAGAACAGCACTGAAGTGCCTTGGTTTGAAAGCAAAGGTCCAAGAGACCACAGGGGCTCCTTGAGAACCTATTTTACTGGCCTGGTGGTAGCATACGTGCAATCACAGACAGATCAGGCTGGAGGACCTTCCAGTCTCAAGAATAAAAGAGGATTTCAGCAGGAGCAGTTTCTTGCAGCATAACTGCAAGACTTTGGTGAAGAGCTAGTCTTCATTACGGTTTTCATCTGTTGATGACTGCAAGGAGCCAGTCCCTTGTAGCAATTAGCATAACAAAACAGAAAGTACTGTTTTTACTGCCAAATTTTAGAGATCCTGGACTTAATCAGACTTGTATATCCCATAGATGTCCTCCTAGTTCCCACTAGCTGCCCTGTATAAGCAATTCTTATGCCAAGCAAAATGCACCATCATCACCCTCAGTGGCATGCTACAGCTGTTAACCCAGTTACCTGGTGGTAATGAAAGATGCAGTCAGCTTTCAAGTCTTTCCCAGGAGTCACATTTAGCCACAATTTTCTCATGAAATATACCTGGTAATTCACAGTCACAGGAACCACTAGAAAAACAGTTATAGAGATTTCAGTGGGGTAGCGGGGACTAGCCTTTTTATTTATTTATTTACTAAGTCACTGCGACTCAAGGTGGATTACACAAAGTGAGTCAGTACAATCAACAGGATGCGACATTCAATAAACCATGCAATAGGATTAAAGGTAAAGGTTTCCCTTGCTCGAAAGCTAGTCGGATCCAACTTTAGGGGCCAGTGCTCCTCTCTGTTTCTAAGCCAAAGAGCCAGCGTTGTCTGAAGATGTTTCCATGGTCATGTGGCCAGCATGACTAAATGCCGAGGTGCATGGAACGCTGTTACCGTCCCACCAAAGTGGTACCTATTTATCTACTTGCAATTTCTTGCTTTTGAACTGTTGGAGCTGGGGCCAGAGACAGGAGCTCACTCCGTCACACGGCACTAGGGTCTCAAACTGCCAAACTACAGACTTTCTGGTCTGCAGCTCAATAGGATTAGGGCTGTAGAAATCTGGAGCCAAACAGAAATCTAAATACAGAACTGAAGCAAAGCATAAGGATTGACACAACACATTAGATAATACAAAATTACACAGTAGGATCCTACTTATAGCAAGCTGTACACATTAATATAGATCGCAGCTCTTAATCATTTATCCAAGTAACTTTGTGAACCATTTTATACCCTATTAACTGCGTAGAAAAGCCCTCTTGTATAATTCAGTTTTGCATAGTTTGTGGAAAGCCAGGTAAACTGGGTGCTTCCTAACCTCCTCAGGCAGTATATTCCACAAGGTGGGGCCACAACTGAGAAGACACATGTATGGGCAGTTGTTGATTTTGCCCATTTGTCAGTAGGCACTTGGAGAAGGTCCTGCTTATATGAGCGAAGCACAGCATAGGGGACAAGGCCGTGAAAGGCTTTGTTTCTGACAGCCAGTACCTTAAATTGAGCTCAGGAACTGATGGACTGCCAGTGGAGTGCCTGTGGAATGGGAGTCATACAGATGCTCCACTTGGCTCTGATAATAGTCAAACTGCAGCATTCTGTACCAACTGGAACTTCCAAGCTGATATTGTACAGTGCATTACAGTAACCAAGACTTGATGTTACTGTGAAAATATCACTTTTCCTTCCCTATCACGCCCCTGCCAGCACTCCAAGAATGTTTATGTTTAGGCCTTTCATATCTGATTTTCAATCCAATGCAAATGTATCTTACATAGCCCTTTGCAACCCCTGTAATCATGCCTTTGAAAGGCATGCAGAGGAAAATGGCAGGTGTATCTAATGATAAACAGAGGGAGAGCTAGCCTGCACTCATCCTATCAGTAAGTCCCTGGTCAATGTGAAAAAGATGGGATATTCTAGGTACAAATTACTTATGGATCTGGAAGTATTTACACTATTCAACCTGCCTACTTCAAAGAGATGGTTAAAATGATAATTTAGAATGGCCAAATTATGCTCCTAATTCAATTATAAGTTATTTAGTGTTCCTTTTTCCACCTGAGAGAGAACCCAGAACAAAATTTAAGCTTCAGACACTGCATATTGCTCTCATAAACACCTGTCAGTTTTGAAAAATGAGGCCTCCAGCCCCATCAAATGGTATCAAAGCCAAATTTAGAACCTGACATTTACAAGTAAAGGAAGCAGATTCCCCTACATACAATACACCAAGATTATGTGGCTTCAGAACTGAGTTTCAAGAAAGGAAAAAAATTAAGGAGAATTTTTAAGACAATCAGCAAACATTTGAAAGATTGCTACAAAAAGCCCAAAAACCAAAATGTTCACTTTGTTTAAATGTTCACCTTGTTAAACAGAACCAGTGTGGTATCGTAGTTGGTAACCTCAGGCCAGTCATTCTTTCTCAGCCTAACCTACCACACAGGGTAGTTGTGAAAGTAAAATGGAGGAGGGAAGACCCACGTACACTGCCCTGAGCTCCTTGGAGGATGGATGAAAGGATGCATGAAAGGATGCCATATTTAAAGGAGCAGGGGAGGATCATATGCCACATATCATTGTAGATTGCTTCCTTAGAAGTAGTACAGCCACTTTAAAGGAGCAAATCAGCAGCGAAATATCAAGAAGGATCTCAGTCTCCTGTCAAGTATTCTGACAAAGCTAAAGGTCTGCATAGGCAACACACCAGAGAATGATAATAATAAATCCAGAGAAGGGCAATTTTCTGCTTTGCGGTTGCAGAAACAGCACCTTGGCAGTAGGTCCTAAAACTAGAAGATATCAGATAAAAAGAGAACATATATAGACAACACACCTGGGGGCAATCAAAATAAATCCAGAGAAAGGTGATTAATCCTGAGGGCACAAGCATTCATAGCTCTCCTCACAAGCCCCAGGTTAAGCTCCACATACACCCACTCCTATCCATACCCTCTTTGCCAGGCTTGTTCTTCCTCATCCAGTCTGTCACCTGTCTCAAGGAGTCAAAGAAGTAATCAGCTTCATTCTGACTGATCACCTAGAAGACATAGGAATGGGAGGCCAAGTTAGCACACAGAGCTGGGTCTCTCTCACCCCATGGCTCCCACTGCAGGAACAGGAATGTCTGGCCTAAAGATCTAACTTGACATGTCAGTAGCAGGACTCATACTTTAGAACACAAGTCATGCTGAATAGAAATTAAGCAAAAGCAGAAATGGCAACATATGTCCTTCTCATCTACAAGAGTTAGTTGAAACGTGGCTTATTATCAGAGTAGGGATGCAACCAAGGAAGCCTGTAAACCAAATCTGTCTCATACTGCTGTACTCTAAGCCTATTACCTTGTCTGCAATCTTGACAAAGAGGCTGAATCCTTCCCAGGAATTTAGTTCCAGCTTGCAGGCAATTGTCTGACACAGTGTCCTTACTTTTGTGTGTGTCCCTACTTCAAATACCTGGAACACAACAGTCGAGATCACAGTGAAAAGGAAGGAAAATAGACTGTCATTGGTTTGATGCAGAAGCTGCTAAGAGCTGATCATCTGCCTCCTCGGCAATGAGCAACAGAATACATTAATGAAGCAAAATATGTAAGTCCATGTAGAATGAAAGCAGATGGCTAGATGCTGGGGAGACATAATAAGACTCAGGGACCATCTATTTGGCCACTTCTAGAGAAAAAAACTGGTCTACATGGATCTTTGGTTTGATCCAACAAGGCAAGTCTTGTGTTCACATGATATGAAAAGCAGCCCCATACAATGAATTTAACAGACATGTGCAGGTAAGAGAGCCATTCTCACCTGCTCTGTATCATTTGGAAAGTAAACCTTGTGGGATATCTTTGTAATGTTCTTCTGTATCACCTCCACTTCCACACTGTGGGGGCCCCACTTCCGAGAACCACTCCTGGAAAAAACGTTCAAGCATACAGACATCTCAGAAGTAGGCATGGCATAGGCTCACTTGGGGGTGCACTGCCTGTTAAACCTGAATATCAGGTCACTTACCCTACACCCCTGCCTAATAAATATATCACTGATAAAAATATCACAGATATGAAGTGCCCAACCAGATGAAACTGGGACATCCTTGTGTTTTTCACTTAGTAACACTCCACTGCTTTAAACAGTTTTGTCCTGGCCAACTCTCCAATACGGGGAGTTGAACCGGAAGAAAAATGCTTCAAATAATGGTGCGCAGTAGGGTAAGAAGAAGGGGCAGGATTTTATAATCCTCACTTGTGCTTGCCATTTTGCATAAAAAATTATCCTCACTCCCTGCTTTACACATTGATGGGAAACTCATGAATAAATATATTGGATGTCCTCATCATGCCTAATCTAGCCCTAAAACACTGAGGAACTGAGGCTATGAATGTACTGTGTGCCATCTTCTTCATTTAATAAAAAATAGACAACAATGAAGATGTTGACAGAGACCCAAATGTTGTTTCTTCCCACAGACCCTCAAATGTTGTTTCCTCCCACAGATGGTTCCTGTTTCTTCCTAGTTACCTCTTCTACTAGAATTATAGCCTAAAACAAGAAATGGGGAGGGACCCTGCAATCCAGACATGGGCAGTGCTAGCCATAGGACATCTGGATCAGCTGTCCCGTGCCCATGCTGGGAGAGCTGTGCTGGAAGCCCCACCACCCACCACCCTGCAGCCAGCTGCCCCAGCCACTGCTTTACAGCTGATCCCCGGCACTGCCTGAAACTCTGGCAGTGGGGGGGACAGTGACCAGCTGTAGGGTAGACAGGAAGCCCTGTCTCCTGTGCTCCGCGCTGCCTGACATCCAGGCAGTGGGAGGAAGGGCAAGGAGCTGCAGGGCTGTCAAAGGGCCCTGACCACCCTACAGCTGATCCCCCCCATGCTGCCTGAGACCCGGGGAGTGGTCAACTCTAGGGCTGTTGGCTCCTCAGACTAATCACTCTCCCACTCTGCTTGAGCGATTATGGGGACCCCTCATCAGTAAGATCCCCTGAATACAGACTTCTTCAAGCACAAGATCTGAAATAGCTTCAGCTGAAAAATCAAACCATGACCAGCAGCTTGTTTTCTACATACCAAAGAATCTACTTATTCTTATGCATAAAGAGTATATGATATGAATATCACTGGAAATGGGAATTATACAAATTATACAAAACTGCTTTAAAGAAGGATCTGCTAGTTTCCTGACCAGAACATACAAGGGAAAAGTGACAAAGGCTGGAGGACGTAAGTTTTAAAAATACATCATCTGGCTTCAGAGTTGGCCACGCCCACTACAGCCAAAACCTCTGCGTGTGTTACAGAGGGAAGGCCTGGAGAGCAAACCCCCCCGGCGACTCCAAGGCGGGCGGGCCAGGGGCCCCCCTGGAAGGATCAGGGAGGCATTTAAATGCCTCCCCATGCATTCCCCAGCCTGTCCAAGGGCCGGCTTGCCCGGGCAAGTCAAGGGAAGGCATGGGGTGTGGCCTAATATGCTAATGAGCTGTGCTGTCAGGGGTGTGGTTTAATATACTAATAGGTTTCTGCTGTTGGGTGTGGCCTATTATGCTAATGAGTTCCTGCTGGGGTTTTTCTACCAAAAAAGCCCTGTTTATGCCCATAGATTCAGGTGGGCAGCCATTTTGGTCTGAACCAGCAGAACAAAGTTTGACTCCAGTGGCACCTTTAAGACCAACAAAGTTTTATTCATGGTATAGGCTTTCATGTGCACTCACACTTCCTCAGACAGGAATGCTCATGCATGAGGCATATACAGAGGATATACAAATGAATCCCATGAAAAAGACTTTCACTTCTCTACACGGTGCTTCTTCAATAATGCCAGTGGATAGTACTTAGACGATGGATGAATGTAACACTCTTGGAGGAGACAAATACATTTCAGAATCTTATTTATCATCAGGTTATTGACCTTTCCCATAATTTTGTTTCTCAGGTAATTTTAGAGAAAATACCATTTGTTCCTGTTTTTTTCTTACAGAGAAACTGCAAATCCAGAAAAATCCACAGTTTTGGGATTCTATTTAGTGCAAGTGGCACAGTGGTTCCAGAAGCAAAGTTCATGTTTAGTTTACTCACTCCTCATATGGAAGGAATTCCCAGGCTTTCATGGTGTTTTTTTTAAAAATTACATGATATATATCATACAGCAAGAATGCCATTCCAATGAGCATGTACTATTGACACTGAAGCCTCACTGAATAGGGGCACAGGGAATCAAAAAGGACTTAGAAAGTACCTCATAACCCTCTGGATTCTGCGTCTGCAATCTAAAGCCAGGTTCTCCTTCTGACGAGTCTCTATGAACTTCTGAGCATGTTTCAGCAGAGATTTACTAGGAGGGAAAAGCCCTGTGCAGAGCCAGAGTAACTGCCAGCCGTTGTTCACGCTGTATCTGCAGTTTTGACAATAATTTCAAAGCATTACTGTATATACAGGATTCATGCAAAAGGTGATTTACCCATCTCAGCTGCACTTCAGACTTAGAAATCCACGTATTGCCACCAGGAATTAAAGAGCTTTTGCTGTCACCCCCTCTGGAAAAAAGAAGCAAAGAGGAATGGAAGCCAGCTCCACTCATGGGCTTGGCAGTGAGGTGCTAGCAGGTCAGTGGGATCCTTTTCTGACAATGAAGTATAAATAAATGAATATTAAGAGGTCAAAGTGAGAAAGGTGGACTAACAACAACAGCATCAGCAACAACAATTTAACTTGGTAAATAATCATGGCAAACTTGAAAAATCCAGTCAACAGATTTGAGCAGACACCCAATCCTGACTATTTGGATAGTGTATCCTAATCATGCTTCTATTAGCTATATGAGAATATGATCTACCATTGATTGTCCAAGCTGGAGAAAGCAGGGAGGGGGATATCACAACTACATATATTTTTCTAAATAATACAAACCAGCATGTCACAGATTAATTATGCAGTTTAAGGGCTACTAAGGTAGTAGCACAGGCCAGTGCTTCTCAAACCTTTCATTTCTTATCTGGTACCTTCCAGACCAGAATTAATGACAATGGAGTCATCCATAATATAGCCATGCATTAGCCTTAAATATGCATGTAAGTGCTGTCAAGTCACAAACCAATTTATAGTGACCCCAGCAAGGGACTTTCAAGGCAAGTGAGAAGTAGAGGTGGTTTGCCATTGCTTTCATCTGCAGAGTCTTCCTTGGTGGTCTCCCATCCAAATACTGACCATGCTTAGCTTCTGAGCTCTAATGAGACTGGGCCACCTTCCCTCTATCAGCCTTAAATACCAACCACTAAAGGAGAACAGAAAACATTAAAATGCTGTGTTCTTAATTTGTGTCCATTTTACATCTCCAACTTTCTGTTTATGATTCCAAAAACAAAAGTTGAGCGGGGGTGATCTTAAGTTTCAAGCCTTACGTAGTCTGAATCATTTATAAGAAATTGGGATTTGTGGTTTATTGTTAATTGTGTTTGAGGTTGGCTATTGTCCTGCAGGAGATGGTCAGAAATGCTTTGTCTTGTTACCTGTTGCTGTTCTCCGTGAGCTGCTTCATAATCTGACAGTAGATCTCATCATGCAGAACTTCCTCCTGAATAGCCACTACGAATATCTGGTCAGTGAGCTCCACAGGGTTTCTCTCTTGCTTTGAAGGGTAATCTCCCATGTATTTCATGATAGGTGAGCAAATAGATAAGGATATTTTTTTTTTTGAGAAGACGCACAATTAAGATCAATTCTGAGCTAATTTTAGAGGCTGCATATCCTTCCTTTTTCGATGATCAGCTAAGATGTCTGGCAAATAATGAGGACATGACAGCCCACAACTTACCAGTTTACTGTACTTTCTGTAACTTTTACCCACTCTCTCAATTTTCTTCTTAGCATCATCTTGATCAGAAAGAAATTATAGAAGCTATCCCAATCACCGTATACTTTTTTTTTGATTCCCCTACGGGGAATTTTTTATTGATTTTTTTACAAACTACAACCGAAAATATGGGAAGGGGAACTACATCTAAGGAGAAAGAAAAAAGACCCACTAATAACTAAAAACCCAAGAGTAGGAGATCAATACATCATCTTTACTCAATGTTACTTTAAAAAGCTAATAAAACAATGAACATAGTCAGTTATGCTAGGTTAATTATCTTTTAACTATTCATTTAACTGCTTAAAGAAACCCCCAAAGCATCCCAAAATTATTTCAGAGTTTTCAGGCACAAATCAGAGTCCTTCAGCCAATATTTATTCTTCTCTTTTCTAATCCTCAATTTATATGAACTTTTGGGGGCGTCCCAATCACCATATTGATACAGAGATGTCAGTATGTTTCTCTCCTGCAATTATTGAACATCGCTAAATAGACTGGCAGGTTACTGGGGACTGGGTGCATTCACCTGACACCCAGCCCTCTTCCCCCTGCCGAAATCAAGACTGATCCTACTTTCAGCAAATTATAAAAGACAGCATCATCCCAATTCACTTCTTATGAGAAACAGAGAGAGTACATTGTAGTGGTGAGAGAACCAGGTTGAAATCCTTATTCTGTTAGGTTCACACAATAGCACTATATAGACAAAAATGAATAAATAAACTTGTTGAGATGACGTTCAATGATGTTTGTAATTTCTATATTTTCAAGACAAAGGACGTCTGACACTGAAGATAGTGTCAGACGTCCTTTGTCTTGAAAATATAGAAATTACAAACATCATTGAACGTCATCTCAACAAGTTTATTTATTCATTTTTGTCTATATAGTGCTATTGTGTGAACCTAACAGCAATTTCTTCCATTATTGTTGTACCTTTAAATTGCTGGTCCCCTTTGTAGATTTATTGAAATCCTTATTCTGCCATGAAGCTCACTGGATGATCTTGGGCTAGTCATTTTCTCTCAGGCTTGATATGAAAATAAAATGGAGAGAAGAATGCCCTGAGTTGCTTAGAGGAAGGGTGGGATAAAATTGTGACAGATATATATCTGGAAAATAACACAAAAGTCAATTCTGGAGAAAGAATTCCCTCTAAGAGCTTAATGAATAAATCATCCTGAGTATAATTGTTGAAAGGATATCAATGAACGTCTGGCAAGCAGAATCCCAAAGGTCTGGATTGGTGCATACCTTCTTCAGTAAAGGCTGTTTCAGGGGCTCCCGAGAGTGAGCCCATAGGGGACTCCGCCCACGGGACTTGTGTAAGACAGCCCTGCTAATGGATTCCTTCTCAGGGACCCTGGAGAAACACAGAAGATCAGCATTGTCTCAAAATACTTCCTCATCTCTGGCAACAGAGTACTCACACTTCTGCCATTCTGACCCAGGTTTGTTTACAACCGAAAGAACCAACTAATTGGGTTTGACCTTGAATTCTGTGGTACAACTACCCACCAACACTTAGGCTTTATATACCCATTACCAGAGTTGCCACATGGCAGGAACCCACATTGCTCTGATAACATCTGCAGGAAAGAATCTTGTGCGTTAACTTCCCAGGTGATTCCATCCTATAGCTATTACTGAAGCAGTGTGCAAAGTGCTGGAGTGTCTTTGGTAGTGGGGCTTGTGTCCCAGAGCACCTATCCCAAGAAAATCTAGACTTACTGATCTACTAGCCTGCCTCTCAGCTTGTCCAGTGAGCCAGCAACCATGACATTATGCGGGATTCAGTCACGTGGAAGCCAGATTCTGATTATATACTAAAAGGCATTTAAAGAGGGTTGTACATTACATTTTAACTCAAACAGGATAGTGGGAACATTGAGAGAGGTCTAGGCAACTTCCCATTCTATTTGGCCCTTGTTCCTCAAAATCTGTAGCACTCTGGATTACAGCACACAGGTAAATCAGCAGAAAATGCAAGAATAGGCACATAATGTTTAACCTTCCGCAGGCAAATCAGTGCTACTTTTGCAAACATTTTAATGAAGCAGTTACTATATCCTCAATATCTGAGAGTAAATAAGAACCAAGGCTTTTAAGACCACCTTTTCGCAACCAACAATTACTATCATGTGGAAAACCTGTGCCATCCAGGCAATCCCACTTTTCTTCCTGAAGATGATTTGCTTCACATGGTAAATGGGATTACTGAATGGAATAAAACCGCAGATCTTGACAGAGACTAGCAAAAGATAAAAACAAGAACTGGCATAGTAATCCTAACAATTTGTGCTAATATATCCAGTTTCTTCCTGGATACCCTGCAAAAAGTGTCTGCAAAGCCAATTTTAAGATAATGTTCTATGGCTCTAAGTTGAGAAAGCTGTTGAAACAGACCACACTAAACATGTTTTAGCATTAGACCATTAACCTTCTCCCAGAGGAGCTTGGTACCAGCTCTGCTTTACAGCTTGGGTGACTATAGGGAAACAAGTGGCTAGAAGAGTACAGCAGAGGTCTGATTGACCTACTGTGTATTCAACTTTTTTAGATAGAGACTATCAATAGGGATCACACCCCTTCCCAAGAGGAACTCCCATCACACAGAAGACAAAGAGGAAGCTGCAGCTAAGAGGGGCTCAAACACAATGTTCATTCATTCTCAGGTGTACTCGGAAAGATGTGTATGACAAATTCTGAAAAACAGAGTACAAAGTTCTGCATGTATACCTGAAGTGCTCATAGGAGAATTCTTCAAGAGTGTATGGTTTCACCTTCAGTTCCTCTTCCTCAGGCTCCTCGGTGCGAGAGTTTAATGATGCCAGTCGCCGTTGTTCAGGTGACATCATCAGTAAACTCTGGAAAGATATGGCCTTGAATAATCCATGCTTATTTCCATGAAGCTAACCTTATGTCAGAACTGGCCATTCATGTGCTTATAGAGTCTTCTCAGCAAAAACCACACGAAGTACCTGGCCTAACAACATTTCCCAAATGTATGCCAATATGATGCCTTTATGGGGTAATTCCATAAATGTAGGGTCACCACAGAAAAAATTCAAATAGCTGTTGAGCCCAATCTCACTTCTGAAGAAAGAAGCCTTTCTCAGTATCATTACTATACCTCATAAATCAGAGAGGTACATATGGGACAAGGTACTCCCAAAGGAAGTTAGACCGGAAACAAATTACTTCTTACAATACTGATGTAATATGCCAATACCTGCAATATATATGGCTGCCACATTCTAGACCAACAGAAAATTCTGAGCTGTCTTCAAGGGCAGGGCATTACAGTAGAGTAGTCTAGAGATTAGCATAGCATACTCAAAAGTGACAAAGATTCTGAAGGGATAGAGCAGGCTATTACTGTGTAGCCCACCAGTTAAGGTTCTTGTCTCAAGTATTACTTCTGTTGTCCCAGCCTACATAGATGAGATAGGAAGCTTGTGATGGGATCTTCTTGGTGGTAGCACCCCACCTGTGGAGTTCCACCCCTTTTGAAGCTTGCCTGGTAACTATATTACTGGCACTTGGTCACCAGGCCAAAAGTTTTTTTGCTCACCTGGGATTTATCCAGCGTAAACATCTCCATCATTCCTATGGTTTTATGACCACAAGCTACTCTTGTTTGTCACGACTAGTTACAGTGGAGACATGAACAAGAGGACATATTGCAGCATGTCCTGAACCAAGTATTTCTATATGTTTTTTCCAGGCATCAATATATCAGTAATATGAAAAGAGTGAGGAATAATAGCCATTTCTTTCAGTCAGAGCATGTATCAATTGCTCCTTACCAGTATTTGACTAGAGGGTTTTGTAACAGAAGGGATGACGTAGATAGACTCTTCTGAGACAAGCCCAGATTTGTTGGTTCGCTCATTCTGAGCATGGACCCAGCCTTGACTTTCTTCTAGTCCTCTTTCCCGGTTTAGAATAAGCAAATCCCCTTTTTTAAAAGCCAGGATCGTTAAGTCCTCTGATGTGCAAAAATACAAATAAAGCATGCTAGTCAGACTTTACTATCAGAGAAAATAATCTGAGGGAGGGAAACATCAAGACATCATTAGATGACAGCAGTTGAGGAAGGGGCCACAACTAACCAACATTCCATCAATCATTGCTGCTGCTGGCATAGAAGAACATGAATTAACAGCCAGCCAGCCAAAAGAGGGTCCCAAACCAATTATCCACTGCTCATCACTATTTCTCCAGACACAGTAATGACAAATCAGGATTTAAAATAACTTCAAAAAGAAAGCATCTACAAACACAGAGATGTGACAGGTTTTTTTATTGGCTTCATATCACAGCGCTATGTGATTGATGCCATTTGGACCAGCAGTCAGGCACACTGATGCAGAATACCTAACATTTTGGAAACCTTTCCTTCTGAAAGCATGATAAGTATCTGCTTATTACTTTCTTCTATCAGAATAAAGTGTCACACCAGACCTTTTGTTTTGCCCTCTGACATACTGAAGATTGTTCTGCCAGAGCAACCATCCTGCAGTTACCTTGCTGTCTGCTCTCCTGCATTGCTATAGCATATGGCGATCTCTTCTTCAGTCCTTCCAGAAACATGACCACTAGTTCTGCAATGACAACACTGTTGACTGATGTCAAGACAAATTCCTCTGAACGCAGTGTGGTAAGCGTGCAACTCTGCCCAAATGTCTTGACTGCCCTGCGGATCACAAAATAACACAGCTTCTAGAGTCACAGGAATGTGAATCTCTGCATACAGCCCTAAAAAAATAAGAGCGCACACTATACTCAGCTAAACACATGGGGCAGAGTGTCTTAGCATACGTCACAGGCAAGAGAGTGGGAAGAAATAAACCCGATGATATTTAAATCTGGAAACAGAATCACCTTGTCCTAGGAGGGCATCATCTTTCATTTCAGCTTCTCCATGTTTCTTATAACAGTAATTAGGCACATAATGCTAAGCAGTGGTGCTGAGGTATAAGCTGTAAGAGGATGGAGCTCCACACTTACTCCTTTGTGCAGAGGGTGCTCTCTAAACCTACTAATTTAAAACTTCCTCCTTCTTACCTCTTCCTCCTTTTGCAGTTGTGGTGACAGGAAAATAGAGGAATCAAGTGTGGGCAATAGTATGAAGAGGAGCTGGCCAGAGTTTGCTTTCAGGGATGCTTTATGTGGGGACTGTGCTACTGTGCTGCATGTAAAGTAAGCACACAAGGATCAAAGAGTACAGCACAGTATCTTGAATGGTGTGTTGGGTACCATACTCATCATCCCACTCTTGCTACAGAAGATTTTCAGTCAGAACTCTATCACTATTGGCTTCACCACAAATAAGGAACATCTTTCCTAACCCTTTACATGGAAATCAACTAATTATTTCTAGTTTTCCCCTCACTGGAATGTCTATTTTACATCAAAGTTTCCTGAATCAGTCCTGTAATGAAAAGTACTTAAAAAAAATCCTTTGTTGAATTTTGGCAGAGATGCAGCCACTCTCTGTCTGGCCCAAGTAGACTTACCTGCTGGTATGAATGCCAGTAATTTCTGGAAAAGAAAGATCTAGAAGCCTCTTTTCTGAATCGTCTAGAAAGCAAATACCTTTCCAGTTAATTGCCACTATGAAATGGTTCTTTGGCAGGCTGGGTCCTGCAAATACAATAAAAAGGATGCTGTAAAAGCCTATTCTTGCCTCAAGTATTCCTCCCTCAGTGCTCTCACCCACACCCAACCTGTTGCCATTACCTGAAAATTTGGTAACTTCAAAGAACCTTGAAAAGAGGAGGGGCCACTGAAATCGGGCAAAATCCACCAGCTGTTCCTTCACATTCTGAGGTGAATGCCTATCCTGGGTGTACAGGCCCTGCAATAAATTAACAACACACTGGATTCCTTTGTGCATATTGCCCTCAAGATACAGAGAAGGCCCTCGGCCCTCCTAAAGAATTTTCCAAGGACCTTTGGCTAACACTGACGTCAAAGCAAGGAAAGCTCAACGATTTGCAGTACAGCTTGAACCTCACTATTAAAAAATAAAATAAAGCAGACCCGTCCTCATGTTCCAAAAAAGCACCCAGAAAATGTGAATTATAAATGTGATGACAATCCTGCTTATTTATTTTCAAAATGTATACTCCGCTTGTCAAGAATATATTCAAAGCAGTGTACAACAGCCAATTATAGAGCATAAAGGTTTTAAATAACATTACAAAAACAGTACAAAAAACATTACAAACTCAGATGTTATTTTTAAAGCTGGGAGAAGCCTTCTCAGTTTCTTCTGAATCTCCACGTTTAAAATTTAAGGTATATAAAAGCTCTTTGGGAAAGAGAGGCAATGTTCGGTTTGAATGTAGGAAACTCAGATTCAGATCCCTGTTCAGCTATTACACACCTCATTTGTGTTTCTGAAATAATTAAAAAGCATGGATGCGAGGGAATCCAATTCAGATGTAGCATCCACCTGCAGATGTATCTGTCTCTCTTGGAACACTGCCTTGTATTCCACAGGACAACATAGAAGGAACATATCATAAAGAGATCTAAGTGAAGCAGAAGCAAAGGGCAGGGCAGGAAGGCAGAGTCCCTTTACTTCTGAGTGTGCATACCTTGGCATGAGCATATGTGATGAGGCTCACCCACTTCTCCTGGGGTTTGGATCTCAGTAGCTTTGCTGGGATACACTCCTGTAGTATGTTCTGAACCAAGTCATTCTGGATGGATTCTCCAAACCTGACATAGCAATATTTGGCTCCTATTTCCACCAAATCTTCCTCCTATAACAGTTAAGGGGGTTAGGTGATCTGCTGGGAAAAGTCTTAAACCTAATCTCTGTCATTTTTCAGTGTTGCATTGCTATGTCCCACAGATTAGAAAGTAATCTTTTCCCATGAGGGTTGATGTACAAATCTGTACATCACAATGCAAATGGGTTATACAAACAGCATTGAACAGGCCCATGGATGGGCAAGAACCCATGGCTGAAACCATGAACCAATCCATGAACTGGGAGGTTGTTTCATGAACTGAACTGGTTCATAGCAGTTTGTGACCCCTGCTTTCTGCTTCCCACCACTTTCGGGGTTTCCCTGCAAGAGGCAGCAGGGAGCAGAAAGCTTTCTGCTCTTCACAAACTGTCACAAATTGCCATGAACTGCCTTAAACTTTTTGGTAGTTCACGGCAGCTCTTCAGTTCACAAACATTGGTTCACAAACCACGAACCAGCCAAAATTTGTCATGAATGTACATTTGTGAGCCCGTTTGTGCCCATCCCTAAATAGGACATTCAAATGGATTGTAAAGAAAAACCCACATGGCAAGGAGTGAGCTTTAGGAGGAATTATTATATATGCCTTTCCTCTGCCACTGGATGAAATACAAACCCACCTTCTCACAGCGATATTCTCCAAACCGAATCCCACGTATGATTTGATGATAGATGAGCTCAGTGCTGACTGGATCTTCTTTAGAGTTGTGCCAGGGAGAGAAGATCTCTTTCCTAAAGTAGAGGCGCCAGGGAGTGTAGCGCTCATGGCCGCCCTTCTCCCTTTCCAGTTGTTCACACTGGGAAATGGCATCCATGATGTGATCCCGTCCGCTACCTAGCGACCAAACCTAACAACATGGTCTGTTTTAAGTATCAATATTATAGTTATGAGTTGGATTCATTAATAAGCATGGGAAATTCCTCCTGAAGTCATCTTATTTATTGGGAAAAGTTAAGAAGAGGAATTAAGAAGTATGAAACAGCAAAGGTAGCAGCAGAGGGAAAAATATGTTGTATCAGGAGGATTAATTAGCAACGTGGTGTAAAACAATGTATTTATGAAGTAGCTAGAGAAGGGGGTGGTGGTCTTATTTTATGCCTCCTAGGTTGTTTGCTTTTTGTTTCTTCAGCTCTGTCCCTGAGGAGCATGTGGAGCATTGAATATTTTGTATATTGTAATATATTTTTTCACAAGGCGCCTAAAAATTCAGAATGAGCCAGGTATAAATTCTTAAATAATTAAGATAAATTTATTGGCACGTGTCCCATGAAAACTGCACTGAAGCTAATATGACTCTTAGATTTCAGGGAGTGCCTGAAATTGAAAAAGAAGATTTGAAGAAGACTCTGGGCGAGATGATTGCTCCCGTAACAGGCTTATCAGTGGAGGAAATAATAAATGACATGGAAGCTGCCTATAGGGCATACTCCAATTATATAAAGAAAAATAGCCTGCCTGGAGAGATTGAGGTTAGATTTGCAAGAAGACAGACCAGAGATGCAATATTAAAGGCAACTTCGGCAAATCCACTGAAATCTGGTAATATAACCATCAAAACTTTAAAAGACATTCCATTTGAAATACGTCAAAAGAGGAAAAGCTACAAGGAGCTCATCTCATTTCTTCAAACCAATGGAATTCAGTATCGGTGGGCGATTCCTGAAGGTGTCATTTTTAAAATCAACGATAAAAGAGAGAAGATTGACTCCATCTTTAAAGCTAAAGAGTTTTTGAGACATCAGCTGGGATCAGAGGAAGACCTGAAAGATGAAGAAACTAAATCAAGTGACTCTGCTACTTCTGGAACAGATGAGGGTTCTGTGGGTGAAGCAGGAGTGGGAGCAGTGAAAACTGTATATGACTTTAGAGTCAGAAAACCGAAGTAAGGGCAGAAGGACTCTATAAACTGCCCTTTGAAGCAAAAAAGATGCTCAAGAAGTTATCTCATAAAAATTAATTTACTAACATAGAAGTAAAACAAGAACTCTACAAGTATATTGTGTGACTAACACTTTTATTACTAACATATAGCTTAACATGGAAATGATCTCCTTCTCCTGGGTTTTTAGTTAGTGTGGGTATCTTTCCTTTATCCTTAGTTGTAGTCCCTCCCTATATTTTTCACTGTAGTTCAGTAGTCTTATGAAAAATAATAAAATTTCCCCCTTGGGGGTTTAAAAAAAAAGAAGAAAAAAAAGGAAACTGCACTGAAATGCAAGACACCAGCCTACAGTCTATTTCAGTATTTTGAAACCAGGAGAAATACTATACTAAGCTTTCATCATTCGAACATCTAACAATCAGACTGAATGCACATGTTGTGAATCAGACACATGAATAGCCTGTCATGATCATGAAATCAGTAGAAAGTATGTAATGAAGTGAGTCAGAAAACATATACATATTGCACACAACATAAATATTCAGGCAATTTTGTTCTCACACAATGCAGTTAACATGCCCAAGATAACTAGAAGCAAATTCCATCCATGCTAGAGAAAAATATTTTTAAAAGCTCAGATTGTGCTTGTGTGGCCTTCAGTTCCAAACTATTCTTTACTTGCTACAGTTGTGAGATGATAGGTAATTCAGGCTTGGACTCATGACTTTACCAAGTGAAGAGTAAAATACATGAAACTGGATTCCACTTAATATGCTTAGTGTGCAATGATGATTAAAGGATGGGTAAAGCAGAGGATACCAACAGAGTGCTGTGGAAACAATCAGGACATAGTTTATTACAAGTTATATGCTTCACCTTGTCATACAAAGCAATGTAGAGGGAGAACCCAAAGGTGTCCTTCAGGTTCATTTTATCAGCTATCATCTGACAGATCTCCTTTGCAGTAGAAGCTGAATCTGCAGGGACTGTGATGCTGCTTCCATTCATCAGAGTCACACTGAGCGTGATGGGCATCTTACTCTTTGTTGCCTGCATGGAAGAGTTAAACAAATTTAGAGTTGCACAGCATCTTTCTCCTCACACCCTCTATCATGCAACCACCATAAGGAGCATCTGTAACTACATGTAAGATGTAGAAACCTGACCTATTCTTGTTTAGATATAAAAGAGGCTGGTAGCTGTTTCAGTCTATAGCAAAATCCTAAGTCCAACAAAAATACACAACCCATTGTGCAAACTTCTGAGTTCTCCAGAACATTTCAGCAGGCTGGATGTATGATCTTTGGCCCTTCTAGCTGCTTACATTTGCTAGGTGGAGAGCTGGTGGACTGAGTCCAGGAGACAGTAAATGCCTCTCTGAGAAAGGGGGTAGTCATTCTTGCCTTGGAGCAAGCAGTGGTGCATTGACTCGTAAACAAACCTAGGAGAGCTGAACAACTACCTTCCAGTCTCAAATGTACCATTCTTGAGCAAGGTCATGGTTTTAGGCCTGGTTATTGGGTTGACATAGCTTTGGTTGCCCTGGTGGATGACATGTGCCGGAAGATGAACAGGGGAGTGTGACCCTGTTAATCCTCCTGGATCTCTTAGTGGCTTTCAATACTATCGATCATGGCCGCTGGATTGCCTTCTGGGACTGGGACTGGGAGGCACTATTCTGTGGTGGTTCTGGTCCTATCTTGAAGGTAAGTTTCACAGTACAATGCTGGGGGACTGCTGCTTTTCTACCTGGCCTCTTCCCCACAGGGTTCCTCAAGGTTCCATCTTGTCCCCCATACTTTTCAACATCTACATAAAGCCACTGGGAGAGGTCATCTGGAGATATGGGCTGAGTTGCCACCAATATACAGATGAAAAGAGAAAGAGTCCAGTTGCACCTTAAAGTATATACCATGCATCCAGCTCCAGAATTCAGGGCAATCCATGTTTTGTAGTACATTCAATTAAAAAGGCCATATTATATTGTCAAATGCTTCTCTGCATCTGTTACTAGGATAGATCTCTAAATTGCAAGCTGTCAACCAGCAACAATTTTGATAACAAGCCAGCAGGTGGGGGTGATGACTTCACCCCCACCAGTTTGGTGTAGTGGTTAAGTGTGCGGACTCTAATCTGGGAGAACCGGGTTTGATTCCCCACTCCTCCACTTGCACCTGCTGATGTGACCTTGGGTCTGTCACAGGCTCTGGCACAGCTGTCCTTGAAAAAGAGCAGTTTGTGTCAGAGCTCTCTCAGCCCCACCCACCTCACAGGGTGTCTGTTGTGGGGAGGGGAAGGGAAAGGAGTTTGTAAGCCGCTCTGAGACTCCAAGTGAAGGGCGGGGTATAAATCTAATCTCTTCTTCTTCTTCTTCTTCTCTTCTTCTTCTTCTATAGTCAAGAAAGCTAACAGATAGAAAAACTCTCTTAAAGAGGACCAGTTTCTTGAAACTGAGTTAGAAGGGATCGTAGAGGTCACCTATTCCAACCCCCTTGCTTAGTGCAGGAATTAGTCACCTGCAGGGGTCATTTCGTAGAAAAAGAGCTAGGGGGACTCATTAGTATATGCCACACCCCCTGACATCACCGGAAGTGTGTCCTCCCCACAGCCGGCGGCGACCTCCAGCGGGCACCAGCAGGGAGCTCCAGGCCCCGCCCTCCCGCACCTCACCCGGGGGGATGGCGTCCCCCCGCGTCCCCCCCAAATGACCCCTGGTCACCTGCAGCACCCCACTCTGCTTAAGAGCACACACCTTAAAAATATTTTAAAATGATTGAAATAAGCATTTTACAGGAGAAATTCTTGTGGGGCTGTGCCTTTAAGAAAGGGTGCAGAGCCCCCAAAAGCCCCACCATAGCTACGTGCCTGGACTATTGTATTTTACCAATAATACCTTAATAATCATAATGAAGGGGATGTTGGAGAGAAGTATTTTCTGTTTCATACATTCTATCAAATATGATTGTTCTCAATATGCATAATTATGTTGTGTAATCCCCTTTTTACTTTCTGTATTATTACTATTAGTCTGTTTTTTAAAAAGTAAACACTATATTTAAAAAAAGATTCATCAGTATAAGGAGAGAAGAGAAATGGAATACAGACAATAGCTACCTGAAGCTCCAGCCAACTAGGTGATTCAGACCGTGCTCCGTTGACATATGTGCGCCTCAATCTTTCAGCACAGTATGCAGCATACAATGATGGTCCACGTCGGATGAAATTCAACAGAAACTGAAAGTACAAAGTACAAACACGGCATAAAAACCTAACATAAAACACAGACGTTCATTAGGATTTGTGGATCTACTATCTCAGGCAGTATCTACAATTAATGAATATTTATTGTCATTTCTACATCTCTCTGTGTATTAAAGTTTCGTCCAAGATGGTAAAACAATTATAGAGTATCTAATACGATTTCTCTATGGCAGTGTCATCTCCAGATAGCATAGCTATAGTGAGGCTAACAGAGGAAAGGGAAGAGGGAGAGAAGGGAGATGGGAAGGCACAGTTGGCGGAGCAGTAGCTATGGATTTTAGAATCATATACTCTAAGGTTTTTATATACACTTTTCAGCTACCAACTAAAGGCTGATGGACATTGTCCTGGTATTGTGGAAATGGTTTTATATGTTAGAATCCAAATCCCAAGGTCATCTGAAGATCTGGAAAAGCCTAGGACGGACAAGAGAGTTTTCAGATGTCCAAAATTCATTATGGGAATCTATTACCGAGAACATCCAACATCAAGATCAAAACAAGATTTCTCCTGCTAATCTCAAGATCCAAGGATGTTAGCGGATAGGGAATGAACAAGGAGAAAAAGGAAGTGAGGCAAGGCAAAATAATTGTCATATTTTCCTTCCTCCATTTCTCATTATGTGAATGCCTCAAGTCCTGCCATTTAGAGGTCAATCTAGCCAATATACGCAAACAAAATTGCAGTAGATATTCATGCAGCTGCACTGTACTGACTTCAAGCACATCTGTCTCAGATGTTGAATACATCGTTAATATTTAACACAGTAGCTACTACCAAGTGTAACAACTGTACAATAAATACCTTCACAAACTTTTCTGAAGGAGGGAAAGAACCAAGACACAGAGAGAGCAGTATCCAGCCTCTTAGATAACTGGTTTTATTGTTATTCCCACTAAGCTGTTTGCAGATCTGGCAATAAATCTCATCCCTGTGGGGAAAAAATAAGCAAGATCATCCTCATCTCAAAGACAGGCACTTAGTCATGTAAATCCCCCTGCCACAAGTGGATATCATTGTGTGTGTGTGTGTGTGTGTGTCTTAAATATTGTTTTGTTTACTGTACTTTTTTGCTTTATATAAAATGTTGCACCCCAGCACCTCATACTGTATCTGCCACAGATCTACATGCTAGCCCTTTTCATACTTCAATTTTGGCACTCAAGAAGCACACACTATCTGTGATCTTGATATGTGCGGTTGTCATTTTGTGTCACTGGGCCAAAGCATGTATTTTTCATGTGTGTGTACAATTTTAGTACATGTGAATGGATTCTTAGATGTTTGAAGGAACACATTTGTGCATACTGAAACTGCACACGCATGGAAAATATGTACATTACCCCATTCAGACAAAATGCCAACTGTGCGTACTGAAAACCATGCACGGCATGGATTCCAGTTACATCTTTGAAGAACCAAAATAAAATCTCTCAAAAGAGTTACTCTCTTACATAATGTGAATTCCAGTCTGAAAAAGGAGGATCGGTTCATTTCCTGGTCTAAAGGATCTCCCTTAGCATCATACTTAAACTTTCCTCACTGTCATTCCAGCCATCAAAAGGGAGGAAGTGAAATCAACAAGATGCTCAGGGAAAAGGTGGCATATAAATATTTAAAGAAAGAAACGTTCACAGCAGGAAATGAATTTGACAAAGCTAATTGAGGGCACTGAGAGAAAAACAGCATGCAAACTCTGTGAGGATAAGGGACTGATAACTTGCAGAGGTTTGCCCTTTTTATTCCCAATATTGTTTTCCATAAAGCTTACAGTCAATGATATCAGGCACATTATTCATGAGGGTCAAATTGTTTGTGTACAACCACATTCTGCCTACTACACTTTCAAAGATGAATGATCTGAAAGAAACTGTTTAGTACTGTGACAAATACTACCGCTTGAGAGCTGTAACACATCTGGTTCACCCAAGAAATTAGTAACAAGTATGTTTGCCATACAAAAAAAGTTGCATTTAAAAAAGACTGTCAACTAACACTCTTGCACTGACCACCATCTCTCTCTAGAGGTGGTTGGGCAGATATACAGAATGCTTCGTTCAAATAGTGGCATGGAACTAGGCAAGGAATACTCCCCTTGCTGTTAACAGCCTTGTTCCTTCAAAAATATCCACTAGTGCTTCTAAACTACAGAACAAAATGTGTGGAAAAAAACTGAACCAAACTGGTAGATAATTATACTGTAATCTGGAAATGGTGACACCAAGTGTTGCATAATTCAATCAATTGATACGGATTTCATACCTGATGCCAGGAAGCAGGATAGCATTGCTGATAATAAAGTGCACCTTTTCAAGGTTAGACAGAGATCTCTCTGATGCAGTGCTCTCTTCCCGAAGCACTTCTTCCCCACTGGCCAGGTGGCTTGCTACCTAAATTGTAACAGAAGACCGTTTTCCTCCTTTGAATTAAGGGGTCCTTTAAAAGACACTCTGGAGCAATAAACTGTCATTGTTGATTAATTTCTTCTAAGAAACTAGCTACTAACCACTTTCTCACACACAACTCTGTTAGATGCACTTCAATTCAAACTGTGTGTATGTAAGCAATGTCAAGTCTCAACCAACTTAGGGTTGACCTCGTAGGGTTTTCAAGGCAGGTGAATAAACAGAGGTGGTTTGCGACTGCCTTCCTCTACAAAATCTTTCTTGGTGGTCTCCCATCTAAGTCCCAACCCAGTTTAGCTTCCAAGATCTGACGATACTGGGCTACACTATACCATTTCACATTTCTTCGGTTCCAACTAAATAGCCTTAATTTTTTCCATATTTTGCTTTCAGTGCAAACCCCAAATCCACTACCACATTTGCCTCAATCCATCTTGATACCATTTTATATTATTCTGACAATTCTTTCTGTTAATATTTGTCTTGGAATTTCATCTACACTCTGAAATTTTCCTACCTGATTTCCTTCCGTGCCTGGAGGGCGATGAATAACGCCTCGATGTCAAGTGGGCACTACTCTTCTACTTAAACCGGACGTGCCTGACTAGAAGGGATGCTACTCTGTTTGTGTCTTACTCCAGCACTTCGCTGGGATCGAAAGTTTCGGCTCAGCGCCTATCAAAATTGATTGTGGGGACAATACGACTATGCTACTTGCTTCCAAAACTTCCTCTCCCTGTACGTTTTTTTTTAAAAAAATCCCCGGAGGGAAATTTTTTTTTTTTTTTTATATTAGACTACAAAACTACAAAGAAAATATGAAGGAAGGGGACTACATCTAAGGATAAAGGAAAGGTAACCACACTATACTAAAAACCCAAGAGGAGGAGACCATATCTGTGTTAATCTAAGTGTTATTAATAAAAGTGTTAGTACAACAATATACTTGTAGAGTTCTTGTTTGTCTCGGCTTCAATGTTAGTATATTAGTTATTGTGAGAGAACTTTCTGAGCATCTTCTTGTTATTTGCTTCAAAAGGCCATTTTCAGAGTCCTTCTGCCTTTACTTCGGTTTTCTGTCTCTGAAATCATATGTAGCTTTCATTGCACCTGCACTCGTTTCCACAGCAGTGTCTTCATCCGTTCCAGAGGTAGCAGAGTCACTTGATTTTGATTCTTCCTCTTTGGATTCTTCCTCTTTGGATTCTTCCTCCAATCCCAACTGACGTCTCAAAAATTCTTTGGCTTTAAAAATGGAGTCAATCTTTTCTCTTTTGTTGTTGATTTTAAAGATGACACCCCCTGGGATCGCCCACCTGTACAAAATTCCATTGGTTTGAAGAAAAGAAATTAAGTCCTTATAGCTTTTCCTGTTTTGGCGAATTTCAAATGGAATGTCTTTTAAAGTTTTAATGTTTGTATTCCCCAGTTTCAGTGGAGTTGCTGAAGTTGCTTTTAAAATAGCATCTCTGGTTTGTCTTCTTGAGAATCTGACCACAATTTCTCCAGGCAGGCTATTAGCTGTAGCAAACGGTTTTCTTGAAAGTTTTGTTCTGCTTCAACTTCCACCATTCTTTTCTTCATTTTCTTATTTGTGGTGTCTATCTCTTTAATTCTCTTGATCGCATGCTCCACCTTCTTCCCCGTCTCTGCCAGTTGGTGCTGCTGAGATGCGAAGTTTTGATTCAAGGAAGTCAGTTGCTGGTTAAAACCATCGAGTTGCTCCACCACCGGCTTGAGCATATCCGCTAACTTTTTCATGACGTCTGCTCCCTCTTCTGGTTTTGGACTCTGACTACCTGCCGGTTTCATTTTAAACTCTCTTTGCGAGGCTGCCATTTTATTTGATTGTTTACAATTCCAAACCACTTCTCACGGGCTCAAAAAATCGTCGCCTCAATGTCAGCGCTCAAGTAAGTCTCTCAAAACAAGATCGCTGCTTGTTTCCCCCCCCTGCCCCTTCGTTTCGCGTATCTGTCCATTCGCATAAGAGGCATCCCGCTTTTAAATTATTCCGCTTATTTTGAACCCACGTTCATTGTTGGTCATTTCTCTGACCTCGCTCGCAGTAATTGCTTTTCTGCTCGATCTCCAGCGCTTGTCCCAGTCAAAACAGCTTGTGCCACACAGGGGCCACACAGCGGCAGGACCGTCAGGGCGGAGGGAAGCCTCAATTCTCCGGCATTGAGCCATCACAGAGGCTGCCCCTCAAAAGCCCTCTGGCCTGGAGCCTATTGCAAAGGCTCCGTGTGAGTGCTACTTGAGGTAGCACCCCTCCATACCGCTGGTGTGCGAGCCACTCCCCTGAGGTCCGGGGAGAGCGACCACCATCGCTGATCCACAGACCAGAAATCTCTTCCTGCACATTTGAAGGCACATTCTACCAGATCTATGGCAACTTCCACAGTTTTCCTGAAGGGCGCATCATTGTCCTCTATCTGCAGAGCTGCCACGTGGGCCATGGCAACCACGTTTATTCAACATTACGCACTAGATGTTCGTGCGCAACACAAGATGGATCTGGGTCATTTGATTTTATCATCTGTGGTGCACTGAACTGACAGCACCCACCTCCAGGTGAGCCACTGCTTTTCAATCTCCCATAGGTGTGATGCACAGAGTCCATGAAGAAGACAGACAGGTTGCTTACCTGTAACTGATGATGTTCGAGTGGTCATCTGTGCAGTCACACCACCCGCCCATCCTTCCCCACTGCTGTTATTCTCAGTTGTTTCTTTACATCGCTTTGGTTGATGGCGGTCAGAAGGAACTGGCAGGATGTCCATGCTCCACCCTTCTGGGCATGTGCAGTGAGGGTTCCCACGCAGACTCAGTGTGGAGGCGTGAAAATCCCATTGTGAGCTTTTTACAATACTGATCGGATCAGCACAGGCACACTGGATCCTATAGGTGTGACTGCACAGATGACCACTCGAAGATCAACAGTTACAGTTAAGCAACCTGTCTTTAGCCTAGGTGGGGCTTGTACCCAGGTCTTTAAAACCCTCTACAGTTAGTTTCACCTGCTATTGCATCCTCCTTTTTTAATGTTTATTTTTAAAAGGCTTTTAAATGCCACTTCTACTTATTTTATTTTTGGTTTTATTCAGGTGTATTTTGATGTGTTTTATAGCTGCTGTTTTATCTGTCTATCATTGATGTTTTATTCATTTTTTAACATATTGTTATTTTATCATTTGTTCTGCAAGTGACCCATATTTTAACACAGAGAAAGTTAGGGCAAAAATAGTTTAAAGAAATGTGCACAGCATTGTAACCTTCATCTCCTTTCCATTCTAAAGATACTATTGCTCCCTCTCCCATATTTGCAGGGGTCATTTCCTGTGGGAGCGCACAGGAGCGGAGCTTTGGCAGTAAGGAGCCCAGGGGGTGGGCACATGCAACAAGCCCCGCCCCCTGCTCCCAGCAGCCCTCAGTCGGGCCATGAAGAGCAAGAAGCAGCCAAGTAAGTTGCAGCCCCCCCCCCCCGGGCCCGCCTTCAGGTACAAGCTCTCCCTCCTCTGTGAGGGCTGATCTGCACGTCCCCCCCAATAGCTAGCAATCCAAAATAGTCCAGTGGAGCCTGAGCGGTGGGTGTTGCCTTCTGACACACTTCCGGTGATGTCAGGGGGTGTGACATATGCAAATGAGTTGTGCGAATAAGTTATGCTAATGAGCCCCTGCACCTCTTTTTCTACAAAATGACCCTTGCATATTTGTACTTTCTTTTTAATGTATGGAATATTAATATATTTCTGTTTGTCTTTTGAGTTCAGCAAGGAACTGAATTCTCCCATTACTTCTTACCATAAACATTTATTTTGTAATTTTACTGCTAGTTTGGGCACGACTCTGGGCCAATCCAGATGTGATTATGGGAATTGCATGAATGAGCTCCCCAGTGGTTTAAAAAGCAGGTATAGATCAGAACTGAGTCTTCCACCGTGCACAATTATTTTGAACTTGAACCTGAAGTGGCCCTGGGAAGCTGCTATTTACCTTGTTGGGGCAATCATACAGGTCCTAATTGGTTTACCCCACTGAGTAACTGCCAGCTGTTTGGAACCATTTCAGGTTGGGAAAATAGCATGGGAGGGAGGTTTAACCTCTCTCCCATGGCACCTCAGTGGTGATTTGGATCAGGGCTCCATGTGCCTGCTTCTTAAAAGAATGAGAGCTTATTCACGTCACTCTCAGCATCACCTCTGGTTTTTATTCTCTGAGTCCCATTTGCCCTATCTTTATGGTACACTAAAGCCCATTTTGAATAAATACATTTTTACATGAAATACTATTTCCCATGATGCTGATTAGTAGAAATTTCGATGTTAATTTGCAAGTGTTTAACAATTAGATGTGCTCATACATTTACCTTGTGGAAATATGTACAAAGAGTGGGGTTGCACCTCCCCCTAATTTGTGATGTAATTTTGTCATGATGAGAATGCACACATACAAAGCCTGACATGTCATGACCCTCCCAGCTCTTTTTTTGAGGCAGACTAACCATGAGAATTAGGAGCTGCAGTGGCTCAAGTGGTTAAGACGCTGAACTGCAGGCTGTGGAAGGTCAGTAGTTCAGCAGTTCGAGACCCGGGTGCCGCAAGACGGAGTGAGCTCCCGTCTCTAGTTCCAGCTCCTGCCAACCTAGCAGTTTGAAAGCAAGAAATTGCAAGTAGATAAATAGGTACCACTTTGGTGGGAAGGTAACAGCGTTCCGTGCGCCTTGGTGTCTAGTCATGCCGGCCACATGACTACAGAAACGTCTTCGGACAGCGCTGGCTCTTCGGCTTTGAAACGGAGATGAGCACCGCAACCCTAGAGTCGGACTCGACTGGCTTTCGAGCAAGGGAACCTTTACCTTTACCTTTACCTAACCATGAGAATTGGAAATATTCATGTACATCTCAGGCTACATATTATATCATAGATCTGGTAGGGGACAAACTTGTCCAGGCCTTCTATCCTATTACAAACTTACAAGAAAATTATGGGTGCCAGTCTACCATTAGCTACAAAAAAGGATGTTTTTCCTGGGAAGTCACAATTCTGGGAAAGCTACAATATGTTGAGGAAGACAAGACGACATAACCCCCTACCTTTCCAGTTATCTTGGAGTTGCGTTTTAGCTTCACAGAGGAAACTACCTTGGAGAACTTGTTATCCTTCCTGTTGTCTCTCTAAAATCAAAAAATAAAGTTTGATCCCCAAAAGACACTGAAAACCTCTGATTAAGGAAAGTGATACAGAAAGTAAACATGGACCTAGACAAAGTGAACCATTGTGGGTTGAAGCCCCTTGTCTGCAGTCTTGAGAACTTTTGCCTGTGAACTTTTCAATCCTACACTACAGGAATATTGGCCTGCTCCCTTGTTTATGTAAAACTGTATCATTTGATGATGGATGCTGCTAACAGAGACCTAGGGTTGCCAGCCTCCAGGTGGGGCCTGGGCATCTCCCGCTTTTACAACTGATCTCCAGCTGACAGACATCAGCTCCCCTGGAGAAAATGGTGGACTCTATAGCATTGTAATATGCTGAGGCCCCTCCCCAAACCCCGCCTTCTCCTGGCTCCACCCCCAAAATCTCCAGGTATTTTCCAACCCAGACCTGGCAACCCTACAGAGACCATTTCCACAGTAGTGAAATTCCCCATATTGATGCTTTTAAAACTGTGTGTTTTAAACTCTGCAGCAGATTTTTCCTCACCAGGCGCAAATCCGGAGTTTTCTCCTTCTTATGCCACGTTTTTGGAACTCGCTAAAACTGGGGATTCCAAAAACACAGGGTAAGAAGGAGAAAACTCCGGGTTTGCGCCTGGTGAGGAAAAATCTACTGCGAAAAATGTTGCATAATGTGCAGTTTTAAAAACATCTATGCGAGGAATTTTACTACTGCAACAATGGTCCAAAGTTGAATTTAGATCTCACAGGAATACATAGATGCAATTATATTCCTCATTAGACTAACCAGTGTTTGAGACATTTTGTAAATGTTCAGATTAGACAACATTTCTATACAGTATAGGCCTACACAACACAAACGTAAAATATAGTTTGCACCATGTCTTCCTGAGTGATGGCTCTCTGCCTGGCCCATATACCCTCAGAATAGCAACAAGACATTATTGCAGCATAGCAGCATAGCTGATTTTGGCCCAAGCTGCATCTGCTATGTAAAGGTGTTTTGTTCTGCTGTGGCACCAGCTTCCTTTGCCTTCCATTTGACTCAGAATAAAAATCTCACGGTCTGCATCAGGATGCAGTTGTTTAGGGAGAGCGAGGGGGGGAGGAGCAGCCTCCTGGGGTGCCAGCATAGCGCTGTGCTGTGGGGAGGAAATGGCACCCACGACCCCCCCCCGCAGAAAGTAAAGGGGGTGGTGACCTGGCAGGGGGGGGAGGAAAGATGGAACAAGCTGGGTAAAAAACTCAAAACACCGACAGTTGCCAGGCAGGGCATTCTGAGGACTGCTCCAGGAAATAATATATGGTTCAGGGGTAGGGTTACCAAACCCTCCCGGGGGGCGGAATTCCCCCCGGTTTCGAGCGCCGATTTCCGCTCCTGCGGAATCGGGGCCCGGGGGAAACCCCACCCCCGCGAGCGCATCACCAGGAAGTGATGTCAGACGCTGGGGTGGGGCCGCGCCATTTGAGGGGAAAACAAAGAGTTTTCCCCTCAAACGGCAGCCATTTGAGGGGAAAACTCTTTGTTTTCCCCTCAAATGGCGTGGCACCGCCCCAGCGTCTGACGTCACTTCTGGTGACGTTCTGGCGGCGCGCGTGCACTTCTCGCGCGCACGCGCGCATCCCAGACCGGCTCCCGGACCTAGAGGACTCTCCCCCGCCGGTAGGAATTTTCTAGTTGGCAACCCTGTTCAGAGGTGGCTGTGCTTCCAACCCCCACCCCAAAAAATATGATCACAGAAAAATGTCCCCTGGCTGCTTTTAAACACGGATGATTTTCAGCTAACTCATTTCCTTTGTGACAATTTGCATATCTCCTTAGAAAAGATGGGGGGAGGAGAATTCGATTCCAGTTGTCTGCTTTTTGCTCATAGCAGCTCACGGGCGGGGAGGAGCAAATGGACCAGCTCAAAACCAAATCCACATAATGTGGTGAGATGCCATAGTGACCTCAGAGTCACCACTAAACTGCACCACTTGTGCAGTTCCGCAGGGCCTGTAAGACGGAGCTCTTCCACCAGGCTTTTAATTAGGAGCCGCCACCACTACCATCAATGCCCACAATTAAAATCTGTGGTGTAAGGCCAGCCTAATTGACATCATATTTACCATCTTGTGGAGTCCAGAGACTGAGATCCTTAGGTGCACCTTTACATGGCACGCCATTGTGATTTAATACTGTGAGCACTTTAATTTTAAATTGTTTAATTATTTAACTGTTTAATTGTTCAATTGTTTTTAACTGTTTATGATTCTGGCACACGATGCCAAACATTGTTAGCCGCCCTAAGCCTGCTTGCAGGGAGGGCGGGATATAAATGTAATAATAAATAAATAAATATAAATAAATGGCAATAAAACAATGCAGACAGCTGATGATGAGACGAAACAATAGGAGAGCAGATGTGGCATGAAATGCAGACAGAAATTTGTGAGATGATGTGGGATTGTTGGCACAACGGTGGGAAGGACTAATGCAGATTGGACCTCTGGGGAATAATGGCACAGCCAAGAACATCGCCCAGCTTTCAGCATGTACAACAGGTTCCAGAGAATTCAGGACCATTCAAGATATATGAAGCATATCCTAGATCCAGGGCTCTAGTCGGGGGGGAGCTCTCAGGTACGGAGCTCCGGAAGAGAACCTCTAGGGGGTGGGGCGGTCACGTGGTGAAGCCCCGCCCCCTTCTTTACCCCGCCCTCTGCTTCGATCCTCATTCCGTTTGGGAATGAGGATGAAGCAGGAGGGTAAGTAGCCGGGCCTTCTGACACACTTCCGGTGATGTCAGGGGGTGTGGCCTTCTGTCACTTCCGGTGATGTCAGGGGGCGTGGCATATGCAAATAAGTTATGCTAATGAGTTATGCTAATGAGCTCCGGCAGCTCTTTTTCTACAACAAGACCCCTGCCTAGATCATAAATGGGAGGGCCTTTGAAGGACTTGTAAACTAAAAAATCTGGTTGCTGCAAACTAGTTTTTGGGAGGAGACCTAAGACATTCTCTAGCTTACAGAAACCTCTTTTGAAACTCTGCTCCCACTCCAGAGAGCAGAGCAGGATGAGGGTCATGCTGAGAGCTTAAAAACACAGCTCCAGACTATCTTCCTTCCAGTCCTATAAAATGTGTAGTGAGCAATGTAATTGGAATGTAGCACTTTCTTTTCACAGAGCCCTAATGAACTATGACCCAATTTTCTGGCAAAATCAAAATGCTTTACAACTAACAATAGTACATTTACTGAGAGGCTAGACTGTCCCTATTAATTATATTGATTCAAGTTTGCCAGCACTAATTGCAGGCAGTTAAGCAAATCTCAACTGAACCACAGACTAATTATCTATCCCTTTAATCTTCACTGATCAAATTCATAGCCCCTGGTCCATAACAGCTATGTAATGTGGCCCCATTAAGTGCTAGATGAATTTTTGCAAGCATCTCACAGGCCTCAATACTTAGCGGATGTGTCATATGCATTTTCAGGGTGATGCATTCAACAGATTTACTTAAATTCTAATAAATCACTCTGTGCGACTGTAGCAAAATAGAATGCAGACTTTTGGCTCTCCAATGATCAGTAAGATGTTTGTCCTGGCCCCAGTAGGTAAGGGAAACAAAAGCAGTAGGAACCTTTCCAAAGTTGTTCTCCCTCCCCCCCAATAAATACATGGCCCTAGTTGTGTGCATGAGCATGAGCTGGAGGAAATTTAAAGCCGATGAACAATATATGATCAGAATAATATTGGGCGTAAGTGAGAATATATTTCACAGACAACACTGGTTGCTCGTGTGTGATATGCTTGTGTCCAATGTCCATTAGCTGTTAATTGCAAATTGGTGTTAATCATAATCAGGTTAATCACATATGAGCTTAACAGAACATTTTATCCAGAGCGCTTCTATCATGCTTTCAGTAGCCCAGAAGTGAAAGTTGCAGCTCCCTCAATTTTATTTGTTTTCTGCCAGTATGCTGTTTTTGTTTTCAAATTTACATAAGCCACTTTGAGTCCCATTGATCAGCAGAAAGGCAGGATATAAATATATTAAATAAATAGACAAATCACCGTAAGGTCTCATTTGTCTACATGTCCTGGAGGCAGACTTTACAACCTGGATAGTGCCTACTCCCAGTTGGAAAAATTGGTCAATCTTGTGAGTTTACCAGGGGAAGAGGTCCCTACCCTTCCAGACTGGAAGCGCGGGAGCACTTCCATCTTCCCTGCTTATCCTTAGAACATGAATATATAACTTGAATACCAACTTGTCAAAATTAAAGGAAAACTGGGGGTTGGGAATGTGGGCCTTCTCCCTGAACAGGAAGTGCCTGTGTCTTGAATGTAAAAACTACCTTCCAGATCTCTAAGAGAGAAAATTCAGTTTTCAAGAGCGGCAGGCTCTCCATTTCAAGTTACTTCACCATGAAAATACAGAAAACTAGAAATCCCAAATAACAACTGTAGACATCACCAGGTGCGTATTTGTGCTTCCTCTTGCCCAGGTCACTTTCTGCCCCCTTCTCTGATATTACAAAGAGGTAAGAAATAAAAAAAACAATAAAGGTCAAAAAAATCACAGGCAAATGCACTCACATCTGCAAAGGGGCAGCCCAGTTACACAAGTGTAAACCAAACAGTGTAGACATAAAGCAGAAAATACCATCACATATAGAACAGATGATGCAAGGCAAATGTTCTTTAAATAACGAATGAAAACTAAAACCACACGAAACAGAGCTGGGATATCTGGTACTTCACTCACAATTTACAGTGCAATCCTATGCAATATTATACTAAATCCACTGAAGTCAATGGGTTTAGAAGAATGTAAATCTGCTAAGTGTTGCATTATTAGACATGGAAGGAGTAAACACACTGAAGTTTGCTGATCATATTCTTGTTTTAATAAACCACTAGCAGTAAAGCCCGTTGTGGAAATAAATACAACGAGATCTAGAAAGAGGCTCTAGGGGAGTGCTCTGGCTTTTGGCAAACAGTGTCATTTTGCTGTGGTGACCTCAGCAGGGTATAATGACAGAGTCCACTGTTTTCTCCAGAGGAACTGATCTCTGCTCCCTGAAGAGTAGTTGTAATTTTGAGTGATCTGTAGCCCTCACCTGGAGATTGGCAACAATTGTTACCCAGGATGAAATGGCTGGTTTGGAGGGTGGAGTCTATGGCATTCTACCTGTCTGAGGTCCCACCCCTCCGCAAACCCCACCCTCTCCAGGCTCCACCCCTCAAATCCCCAGGAATTTGCCAGCCTGGAGTTGGCAACCCCATCTCCTTCCCAGCTAACCATCAACCTACCATTATCTGCCCCTTTGACTTCAGCTGACTTCCGCCCTCCCTTCTGCAGAGCAATTGTAATTTTGAGCGGTCTCCAGCCCTCACCTGGAGATTAGCAACAATGGTTCCCCATGAGGGATTGAGTGGTTTGGAGGGTGGAGTCTATGGCATTGTACCTGTCTGAGGTCCCACCCCTCCTCAAACCTCACCCTCTTCAGGCTCCATCCCTCAAATCTCCAGGAATTTCCCATCGGGAGTTGGCAACCCTATCAGGATTGGCCCCAATATGTTTTCTCCCAAAGGCCAAAGTAGGTGACTTGCGGGGAGGGGGGTGAGTTTGAGGTGTGGAATGCAGTGAAGTCCAATCAGCTTCCATATGCAAAAGACCTTGAAGGTTCCATATGCAACTGACATTCCAACTGCCTTGCGGGGAGGGGGGTGAGTTTGAGGTGTGGAATGCAGTGAAGTCCAATCAGCTTCCATATGCAAAAGATCTTGAAACGCTGGGCGGGACTGCACAAAGCAGCCAGTCAACCCAGCCAGCGTCTTCTGACTGACAGTTCAAGCGTCCATACACTAAAGGAGTGCATTTTAGAACTTTGGCACCCACTACTCAATTATATATAATAATAAATAGAATTTCAATTTAAAACATGATAAAACATTATAACAATTAAAACAATGGGTACAGCTTGAAACAGCGTCAGTTGGCTATAAATACTGTTAAGTATTTCAGCTACTATAGCACCTTCATTAATAGAGTGGCCAGCTCTGGGTTGGGAAAAACCTGGAGATTTTGGGGTGGAACCTCAGAAGGGCAAGGTTTAGGGAAGGGCGAGACCTCATCAGGGTACAATGCCATAGAGTCCGCCCTCCAAAGCAGCCATTTTCTCCAGGGGAAACTGATCTCTGTCATCTGGAAATCAAGCAGCTGTCATCATTCTCCTCTCCCCCTATGAGGTATGTTAAGGTTGACAGTGTGTGAATGGTCCATAATCCCCCAGGCAGCTTTTAAAACATGATCCTGGGACCTACACACCACCAGACATTCCAAATGCCTTGCAGGGGGGGGGGAGTATGAGGTGTGGAATGGAGTGAAGTCCAATCAGCTTCCATATGCAAAAGACCTTGAAGGTTCCATATGCAACTGACATTCCAACTGCCTTGCGGGGAGGGGGGTGAGTTTGAGGTGTGGAATGCAGTGAAGTCCAATCAGCTTCCATATGCAAAAGACCTTGAAACGCTGGGCGGGACTGCACAAAGCAGCCAGTCAACCCAGCCAGCGTCTTCTGACTGACAGTTCAAGCATCCATACACTAAAGGAGTGCATTTTAGAACTTTGGCACCCACTATTCAATTATATATAAGGAGAGATTAGCTTACCAGATCAGGACTGGTGTTGATTGTGAGTGGAAGATGGCTTTTGTTGCTATGGCTATCATAGATCTGAGTCACCTCAGAGCTGTTCTTGCTGCTGATGTTCTTTGTTGGTTCTGGTAAATCACCCATGAATTGCAAGATGACAGTCCAAACAGCTAGAGATGCCTAGTGAAGATAGAACACACCATCAGATAGTTTCCCGCTATATTTAGTTAGTATCTGTGGGACAGGCCCTGCACAAAACACATGTAGCTCATCGGTGCTGTTGCTGGCCAAAACAAAAGCTTTGCATCAGTGCCTTATCTGGACAGATTCAAATCCATGACCACATGGGTGGGTTTCCCCAGTGAGCTACTGGGGAGTTAACAGGAATGGTTTCTGTGAACATGTACCAGTGTGTCCTCTTGCTACTGCCCTAGTGTTTGCATCCACCTTGGTTGGCAAAATGCTGGTATCCTTCACCTCTACCCATCAACACCAAGACCACAGTTACAGGTCTTGGATTTTCTGTTACCTAGCGAGCTGCAGAGCTATGGAAGGATGTGGTTAAAGTAAACCATTCCTTTTAACTCTCCAGTAGCTCTCTGTGTGTCCACCACATAAGAACGTGATTGCAGCAGGGGAATCAAACGTGCATCTGTGGCGCTCCCTGAAGTGTGTTCATTCCAAAGTTACCACTGCTATATACCATGGCCTGCTCTGTAGTGGGGTATGTGTTCTGTGTTTCTTTTGTTTCCTCCCTTGTTGAGTAATATGCATGGGTGGCAGCAGAATGATGTCAGGAAGGCATACTGGCATTAGTGGGCACTGATTGGCTGCTTTCATGTATGGTTGTCATAAGGGCGTCATCAATATGCTGCTCCATGATTGGTGGGTTATGGGTAGTCTGGTATAATTGCTATGTTTTTAGCTCTGTGGAGTTGGGTCTTTTCATCCCCTCTGCCTGGCAACTACAGCACACTGTCAGTACCAGCACTACAAGGCGCCATGCCTCAGGTTCATGTTTGTGCTCCCAGTGTTGCAGCCCTACATTTATGCTCTACTGTGAATTTTTAAAAATAGTATTTTTGCTGCCTGCATGAAAAAAGCAAAACAAAACAACCAGGGGTGTTGTTAGAACTATCAGCACAGTTATAAGAATATTTACATTACCAGAACATCATTCTTCTCATCATGGTAGAGCAGTGGGTAGCGCAGTGTCCGCCGAATGTGTGTGTGTGTAGAGGATCCCTGGAAGTAAGTGGCTGCAAATTTGGGGAATGTGTACTCTGCTAGGTCATCAGTCTCCTCTTCTTCCAGCTCCATGGTCATCGGGACCATATCCAGGTCTACCTCATTCAGCTTGGGTATTTTTGTCTCCAAGTCCTACAGCACACACAAACAAAAGCACAGCTTGGTTCTACCTCTCTAGTGCTTGCTTTGTATTTTGCCATAGTACACTACACATGACCCATACAAGTACTTGCCAAATAATGTCAATGTTGGACATGTCAGGCACTGATAAAAACCAGTATGCATGGTGTTCACTTCGCCATGAAACAGTACCACTAGTGATCACTTTACGTGTAACTTTTTACAACATGGAGACTAATTTCCATATTAGAAAAACTGCAAACACAACATCCTGGAAATAGGCACTGGGAAGCTGACGTATATATACCAGTTAAAAAAGAGCAAGAATTCAGTAGCACTTTAAAGACTTACAAAATTTGTGGCAGGGTATGAGGTTTTGAGGGTCACTGCTCACTTCTGCAGATACAGCTAGAATGTAAATCCATCTGTTCTTATATCTTGGAAAGTGGAGTGATTTCAGATGCCGAATGACAATAGCAGGCAAATGACAATAGCTGATGAATGACAACAGCAGGCAATTGGATTAGGTGTTATATGCAGTGGGGTGGTAGGCATGGAGAAATCGGCACTGGTAATGAGACAGGAAACCTTTAGCAACACCACACTGGACCTATATATAGAATGCTTCTGTTGCCAGGCCCAAGCTAAAATAATCAACAAAAAAACACTGCTTAAGATCCAATCTCATCTGCATAGAGAAGAATGCCATAAGCAGCCTGAAAAATAAAGTAAGCTGACAAGGGAGGATCCATTGTCATAATGGACAAGACAAACTATACATGAGAAGCTGAGTGACAACTCTCAAACACCAGCTTCTATAGGCCGCTATCCTCAGACCCCACACATGAATACTAGTGAGAACTCAACAAAATCATGACAAAATTACCAACACACATACCGGAACAAATTTATATAGATACACCCCAATGCTCCCTCTAAGCTGTGGAGTCTTGTGAGCAAAAATTCTACTTTGTGAGCTACTGGCATTAAAGTTGTGAGCGAGCAACTTGGCTACTGAATAAATTAGTTTGCCCTAGAGCCATCCTTCCTGAGCTAAGACAAAAATGTGTGAGCTGGAGGCTAAAAAACTGTGAACTACTTCACACTAACTCAGCTTAGACGTAACAATGACCCCAAGAACCTTAACCGGGCACTTTCTACCTCCTGCCAAAGATACAACTCTGGATGCCCCATTGTCTCAAGCATAGGCACCATCACTGTAGGAGTATCCCCAGATACCAATATCCCCAGATATGTCATGATAGCACAGACTTCCTGAGGAAACTGCAGTCCATCGACCATCTCCCAGAAAACAGCATTCTAACCACCATGGATGTTGATTCTATGTATACCAACATCCCCCATGAGGATGGACTACAAGCCATTAGAAACATCATCCCTGACAACACCACAGCAGATCTTGCCACTGAGCTCTGCATGTTTGTTCTCACCCACTACTACTTCAAGTTTGGTAAGAACTTATACCTCCAAATCAATGGCACAAATCAATGGCACAACCATAGGCGCCTGCATGGCTCTACAGTATTCCAACATTTTCATAGCAAATCTAGAACACCGTTTTCTGAATTCTGAAGTAAAGGCACCTCTCCTTTACTTGAGATTCATTGATGACATTTTCATTGTTTGGACCCATGGTAAAGCAGTCCTCAAGAGATTTCCCAGGCTTTCAACAACTCCACCCCACCATCAATCTAACTAAGAATTAGTCTATACAAGAAATAAACTTCCTGAACACCACAGTACAGATGCACGAGGGACATGTAAGTTTCAGAGTATACCAGAAATTGACAGATCAGCAAACATATCTACATGCCTCCAGCTACCACCCCAATCACATCGAACAACCAATTATCTATAGCCAAGCCCTACGCTATAGCCCCCCCTCATGGATCACTGCCTTGTCGTGGCGAGGGGGCTTGCGCAGTTCAATGAAGGGGTGGGCTATGCCGTGAAGGGCCACCCAAGACGGACAGGCCACAGCAGAGAACTCAGACCAAGCGTGATCCACCTGGAGAAGGAAATGGCAACCCACTCCAGTATTTTTGCCAAGAAAACCCCATGGACAGTATCAAAAGGCTAAAAGATATGACGCCGGAAGATGAGCCCCTCAGGTCGGAAGGTGTCCAATATGCTACTGAGGAAGAGCAGAGGGCAAGTACAAGTAACCCCAGAAAGAGTGAAGCGGCTGGGCCAAAGCCGAAAGGACCCTCAGTTGTGGATGTGTCTGATGGTGAAAGGAAAGTCCGATGCTGCAAAGAACAATACTGCATAGGAACCTGGAATGTAAGATCTATGAATCAAGGTAAGCTTGACGTGGTCAAAAATGAGATGGCAAGACTGAACATCGATATCCTAGGAATCAGTGAACTAAAGTGGACAGGAATGGGCGAATTTAACTCAGAAGACCATTATATCTACTACTGTGGCCAGGAATCTCGTAGAAAAAATGGTGTGGCCTTTATAGTCAACAAGAGAGTGCAAAAGGCAGTACTGGGATACAATCTCAAAAATGACAGAATGATTTCTGTCCGATTCCAAGGCAAACCATTCAACATCACAGTAATCCAAGTCTATGCCCCAACCACTGATGCAGAAGAGGCTGAAGTGGACCGGTTCTATGAAGACCTACAACACCTCCTAGAACTAACACCAAAAAATGATGTCCTCATCATCATAGGGGACTGGAATGCTAAAGTAGGAAGTCAAAAGGTAACTGGAATAACAGACAAGTTTGGCCTTGGAAAGCAAAATGAAGCAGGGCAAAGGTTAACAGAGTTTTGTCAAGAGAACACACTGGTCATAGCGAACACCCTTTTCCAACAACCTAAGAGGCGACTCTACACATGGACATCACCAGATGGGCAACACCGAAATCAGATTGACTATATAATTTGCAGTCAAAGATGGAGAAGCTCTATCCAGTCAGTAAAAACAAGACCTGGAGCTGACTGTGGTTCAGATCATGAGCTACTCATTGCAAAATTCAGACTTAAACTGAAGAAAATTGGGAAAACCACGAGGCCATTCAGGTTTGACCTAGATCGCATCCCTGATGAATATACAGTAGAGGTGAAGAATAGATTCAAGGGTCTGGATTTGATAGATAGAGTGCCTGAAGAACTATGGACAGAGGTTCGTGACATCGTACAGGAGGCAGCAATCACCACCATCCCAAAGAAAAAGAAATGTAAGAAAGCAAAGTGGCTTTCTGATGAGGCTTTACAAATAGCAGAGGAAAGAAGGAAAGCGAAAGGCAAAGGCGAAAAGGAAAGATTTACCCAACTGAACGCAGATTTCCAGAGAACAGCAAGGAGAGATAAGGAGGCCTTCCTGAATGAACAGTGCAAAGTAATAGAAGAAAACAATAGAATGGGAAGGACTAGAGATCTCTTCAAGAAAGTTGGAGAAATCAAGGGAGCGTTCCATGCAAAGCTGGCCATGATAAAGGACAAAAACGGTAGGGACCTAACAGAAGCAGAAGAGATTAGGAAAAGATGGCAAGAATACACAGAAGAACTATACAAGAAAGACCTCGATGTCCTTGACAACCACGACGGTATAATCACTGACCTCGAGCCAGACATCCTGGAATGTGAAGTTAAATGGGCCTTAGAAAGCATTGCTAACAACAAAGCTAGTGGAGGTGATGGTATTCCAGCTGAGCTATTCAAAGTCTTAGAAGATGATGCTGTTAAAGTTCTGCACTCCATTTGCCAGCAAATTTGGAAAACGCAACAGTGGCCACAGGATTGGAAAAGGTCAGTATACATTCCAATCCCAAAGAAGGGCAATGCCAAGGAATGTTCAAACTATCGCACAATTGCACTCATATCACACGCTAGCAAGGTCATGCTCAAGATCCTACAAGCTAGGCTTCAACAGTACGTGGATAGAGAACTACCAGAAGTACAAGCTGGGTTTCGAAGAGGTAGAGGAACGAGAGATCATATTGCCAACATTCGCTGGATTATGGAGAAAGCAAGAGAGTACCAGAAAAATATCTACTTCTGCTTCATTGACTATGCTAAAGCTTTTGACTGTGTGGATCACAACAAACTATGGCAGGTCCTTAAAGAGATGGGAGTACCAGACCACCTCACATGTCTCTTGAGAAACCTGTATAAGGGCCAAGAAGCGACAGTTAGAACCGGATATGGAACAACTGATTGGTTCAGCATAGGAAAAGGAGTACGACAAGGATGTATATTGTCGCCTTGCTTATTTAATATATATGCAGAGTACATCATGCGAAATGCTGGCCTGGATGAATCACAAGCGGGAATTAAGATTGCTGGGGAAAAGATCAACAACCTCAGATATGCAGATGATACCACTCTAATGGCTGAAAGTGAAGAGGATCTAAAGAGCCTCTTGCTCAGAGTAAAAGAGGAGAGCGCAAAAGTGGGCTTGAAGCTCAACATCAAAAAAACTAAGATCATGGCATCCGGCCCCATCACTCCTTGGCAAATAGAAGGGGAAGCTGTGGAAGTAGTGACAGACTTCACGTTCCTGGGATCCCAGATCACTGCAGACTGTGACAGTAGTCATGAAATTAAAAGACGCCTGCTCCTTGGGAGGAAAGCGATGGCGAACCTAAACAGCATGATAAAAAGTAGAGACATCACCCTGCCAACAAAAGTCCGCATGGTCAAAGCAATGGTATTCCCAGTAGTCATGTATGGCTGCGAGAGTTGGACTATAAGGAAGGCCGAGCGCCGAAGAATAGATTCTTTTGAACTATGGTGCTGGAGAAGACTCTTGAGAGTCCCTTGGACTGCAAGAAGAACAAATCAGTCAATCCTCAAAGAAATCAACCCTGACTGTTCCCTGGAAGGCCAGATAATGAAACTGAAGCTCAAATACTTTGGCCACCAAATGAGAAGGGAGCACTCACTGGAAAAGACCCTGATGCTGGGAAAGATTGAAGGTCAAAGAAGACGGGGACGGCAAAGGATGAGATGGTTAGACAGTGTCAGCGATGCAACGAACATGAAATTGAGCCAACTTCGGAGGACGGCGGAAGACAGGAGAGCCTGGCGGGAGATTGTCCATGGGGTCGCGAAGAGTCGGACTCGACTGTGCGACTGAACAACAACAACAACAACGCTATAGCCGCATCTGCTCCAACCCCTCAGACAGAGATACTCAGTTGAAGGATCTACAGCAGGCATTTTTGCAACTGCAGTATCCTCCTGATATGCTGAGAAAGATTATTGGAAAGGCCAGAGTGATAGCCAGGGACAGCTTGCTCAAGACAAGCCCAAAGAAAATGACAACAAAATACCACTGGTGGTCTCCTATGGCTCACAACTCAAGCCAGTTCAACATATTATTAATGACCTACAGCCCATGCTGGATAGTGACACTTCCCTCATGCAGGCACTGGGGGGACTGACCTTTTCTTGCTTACAGACAGCCTGCTAATCTAAAACAACTTCTCACTCGCAATGATAACCTGCTTAAACAGTAACATGGACAGTAACACGGCCTGCAACAAACCAAGATGCCAACTTTGTGTTGAATATTGTAACTCTGCATGAGAGGGGATCTGGGAGGGAAAAGGTTACGTGAATTCTCTCATTCAGGTACACTTGGCAGTTGGCCCCACTCTTTCATTGGTCAGACGTTGAGCCTCTTTGGCTGTTGATTGCCTTTGGTGTTTCATCTTATATAGGACCTCTCTTCTTCTCTCTCTTACCTGGGCTCGGAGCTGTAGTAAGTTAACCTTTTTGAAGTTAATCTGTTCACAATAATTTACACATACCTACATGAATATGTCACATAAGATATGCTTCTACTTTTGTAAGTGATTTTTTTCCTCTTGTTACCACTGCAGTCAAATCATCTTTTTAATTTGTTTGAACAACATTTCCCCTTAACCAGGAAACATGAAGGATCGGGGATACAGTGTAAAGTTTCTGTGCTTCCAAGTCAAATGATTTTTTTACATTTAACCCAATACTTTGCTCTCATATAGATCCTAGCAACACCATCAGTGGACCCAGCAGCATCAGCCATACCATCTCAGGTTCATATTCCTGCTCATTGTCTAATGTGATTTATGCCATCACATGTCAGAAATGCCCTTCCACCCTCTACATCAGATAAGCAGACCAGTCCCTATGACAAAGAATAAACGGATGTAAGTCTGACATTAGAAACCACAACATTCAAAAACCAGTGGGGGAACATTTTAACCTTACAGGACATTTGGTTGCTGACCTAAGAGTAGCAGTTCTCCTAAAAGGAATTCAAAGGGAGATTAGAAAAAGAGTCTGCTGAATTGCAACTGATAATGAGTCTCAAAACAATGCATCCTCTTGGACCAAATCAAGACCTAGGATTCTTGTCTCATTACCAATGCTGATTTCTCCACACCTACTACCTATCTACATATCACACCTAATCCAGTCACGTCTGCTATTATAATTTGCCTGCTATTGTTATTCAGCATCTGAAATCACTCCACTTTCCAAGATATAAGGACAGACGGATTCACATTGTAGCTGTATCTGAAGAAATGAGCTGTATCTGAAGAAATGAGAAGTGTGTACCCTGCCACAAATTTTGTTAGTCTTTGATGTGATTTGATTTATTGGATTTGTATCCCACTCTCCCCCATGTCCAGGCTCATTGTAGATAAAAAAACATTTGGCAATCAGTATTCACATTTCTAATACATAGATACAATAAACACAATAAAATACTGAATAGTATACAGTAAAATACACAATGTTATAAACCAGGACATAATTAAAAGATGGCATAAAGATTACTCAGGGGGAGTCATGTATAATCTGTCTGATCTGAAAGGGGAGGGTAGAAGAGGGGAAGAGAGGAGGAGGCCAATCAGAGATGGACCCCGTCGCTGTTGTCAACTATAGGCCCAGTGGAACAACTCTGTTTTACAGGTCCTGCACAACTGCATCAGGTCCTGCAGAGCCCAGATCTCAGCTGGAAGAGTGTTCCACCAGGTGCTACTAGACTCTTGCTCTTTTCTACTGCTACAGACAGACTAACACTCTTCTACCCATCTTGATCTATATGCACATACACCAGTCACATGCATCTGGAACGACCAAATCCTCTCTTATCACAGCACTTTTTGCTAACCATGAGTTGTTTGTTGGTTCTAATTCACTGTTCTATCTGGAATATAGACAATCTCACTCAGAGCCCTCTGGAGTTCCATTTTATTTTGTCTTTGTTTTCTGTTCAAGTCAATCTATTAGGTAATGTTTAGAACAGCAGTCGTCACACTTGAGAAAATGACAAAATTTTAACTGGAGTAGACAGATGGAGTGATAAACTCCTATCTAGGGAGTCCTAGAGACAGCCACATGATCACACAGCTGCCCCAGGGTCTATCCCTTTAGAAAACTGCCACAACAACAACAGATTGGCTGCAGCCAACTCCCACCTCAGAAGGAAAGAAGAGAAACAACCAGGAGGCATGCACAACTTGCCATGCTACATTTAAAGGGGATGAGAAGAAGGCTGAGGAGGAATGATCTGGCTACCATCTATACTAGGCTCTGAAGGAGGCAGCAGGTAGGAGGAAGAGAACCAGGGATGGTCTTCTTGGCCAATGGAAAAGGGGGGGGCGGCATCCAGTTCTACTGCTCATGCCTGCCCTATCTCACAAGCTTGTGGTGGGTGTTCATGCCTGCCCTGTCTGGGGCTTGGGCAGCTAGCTTCCAGTGGCAGTTCCCAAGCATCCCCCTTACACCTGGTGAAGGTTGCCCTGTGCTTGGCCCCATTCTGGACCTCCTTTCCAATACTGAGGCCAATGTGGGCACTGACAAGGGGCACTGGGAGGTGGGCTAATAAAGAAGTGGGGCTTCAACCCTCCCTCCAGACTGACAGTCAATGGAGTGCTTATACAGGAAGGGTATGTTGGAAAAAACTGTAATTGAGATTCCAGTGAGAGCTGTCCAGAAACAATGTCAAACATCAATATCAAATGCCATGACCATTAAGATGTTTATATTTTCTACTCCAATTTCTTTTATCAGTTCTGTTTACACTTTGTAAAAAAAAAAGGTCAAGTTGAATTCTAGTAATGCTTCCCTGCGAATGTACAAGCTTCTAGTTTATTTATGGCTGTTTTTACCTCAAAGCCCAGAGGAGCTTGCCCTTCTTGACCTCCAATTAAAGAAGGTAAGAAACCAAACACTCTGTCCACCATTTCCTGATCACTGATAACGTCATAAAGTGTGTCGTGTTTGCTGTCAGCAGCATTCTGTTCTTTTTGCTTGTGAGAAACTTTTTTTGGCTCCATAGCTTCTAGGCACTCCTGTAAATACACAATAGAAATCCACTGAGCAGAAACTAGGAGCTTGTTGGAATAGGAACCTTTGCACAGAGACAAATATTTTTGAAGACACCTCTGAAAGTTTGGATTTACTGGCAAAAGCAGGATTACTATATTAGTCACTAAATGCATGTAGGAAGCAGCAGAACACAGAGCAGATCCTATAGAGCAAGGGGGTCAAACATGTGGCCCGGGGGCCCGATCCCCCCCCCCCCCAGGGCTTCCATCAGGCCCGCAGTGGAACTGGCCATCTCCTGCTTCCAGTTCTGCTGCTGCATCATAGCTTGCTTCACCAGACACTCTTAATCACTCAGCCATTTCATGTTTTAACCTGGGTCCTAGACTCAGAACTCTGAGTATGGGATTTCTGTGGTGAATGTCGATAAATCAAAAGTAGGTTTGCAGCTTACAGAGCTAATGTTTTAAGCATGTTTTTATTTTAAGTAAAAAAAATCTTTGTGTTTGTGTCCTTTATAAAGTTTATATCTCTGCTACCTGGCATTACATTTTATGATACACATGGGCCTGTCCCAACAAGGTCTCATTTATGTCAGATCCGGCCCTCGTAACAAATGAGTTCTACACCCCTGCTATAGAGAGTGTAAGGCTGAATGTCTGGACTCAGAGGTAATTAAATTCATACTTGTCCTAAACTGGTTTGTCAAATCAGAATCAGAATTAAGCTAATGTTGGTTCATCAGATTTCACATAAAGAGAGACAAGAATCACATAACTCACAACTAGGACTCATGCAAAGGATAATAAGGATTCATAAAAGGGCATCTCATTACAGCCTCTCACAGTTTTTACAAGTAATACATCTCAATTGTTTCATTTCATGCCTTTGTAAATCAAATTAAAATACTGTGATCAAACAAAACATTACACTTAACAATGGCTGCATTCTTAAACCATTAAAACATTGTCAAAACAGAAGTGGCAAAAGCTCTGTATGAATTTGGAAGTGTTATGTTGCTATTGCTTTGTGCCTGGAGTAACAGGAAGAAGTAACATGATGAGGAATCAACCGGTAAGACCATGTAAAATTTTAAGACATGACTTACAGTTGAGATAATATAGCCGCACAAACAATTTGGAAATCTTTGTTTTGCTTTCCATTTTTCTCTGTTAATTATTTCACCACGCTTTGACACAGTCAGAAATTAAGTGTGTGGTAAGGGATTTAGGCTGTCAGACTTGGATCAGGGAGATCCAGGTTCAAATCCCCACTCTGCCAAGAAACCCAGTGGGTGACCTTGGGCCAGTCACTAGCTTTCTCAGCCTAATCTACCTCACAGGGTTGCTATGAGGATAAAGTGGAAGAAGGCAGAATGATTTACGCTTCCCTGAGCTCCTGGGGGAAGGGCAGGATAAAAATCTACTAAATATTTAAATAACATATCGGAACAGGCAATAATCATGCTCTTTTGAAAACAACTCCCTCTCTCTTTATTACACGAAGAGCCACTCGTTCCCATCAAACGAAGAAGGTAATTTACACTGCTAATATATTCAAGGTATCTTGTCTTCTTATAATTGTTTTTATAAAACATTTGAGTGAATGGATGAGGCAGCATACACATTTTCAAACTAATAAATAAAACTGGGTGATTGGTGTTGTAAAATAGTCAAAAGTGTTTAATACTCAGACTATCAATGGATCTTGCTCTGTTGGAAAGAAGAGATTTATTTGCTTTTAAAAACCTTTATTTCTAAGGGTAAAAGGTACACGGGATAACTACAAATAAACATAACACTAACAGCTACATTTTCTAAGCTGTCTATAGTCAACACTAACACAGAGATAATGGAGAATCTGCCTTCTTCTCGACCTCTAGAAAGGAAGTCACTTGGAACAAACAACCAATCATTTATCACAACAGAAGTTACTTTTCCGGGGCTAATTCCCCATTGGCTTACTGCCAGGTATCCCTACCAGGTCAGTCTAAACAATAGCAATACTAGGCAAACAAATTAACCCTATAATGACTGAATTGTCAGACCTTGTAAACACATGCATTTCCAACAATTGGCAGCGTTCATTTTTTTTTAAAAGAGAGAAATAAGTATACTAGCAGCTAATTGTTTAGGCAAACCATTCTGAGAATGGATTCCAGGTGCTTGCAAAGCTACTAAAGCTTGTCTTCTTCTGTAAGCAACCCATTTCTCAAAGTCAAATTTATCATTTCTGTCCTCCAGGACTGGATTTTCAGGGGAGTTCCATGGCACTACCAAACTTTTGAACCAGATATTTAGCAATAAGTACAATATGTTGGAATCAAGCTTGCTGACAGCTCATACTCTTGGAATGATTAAATGATTACATCAATACAGTCCAAGCAACAAGAAAAACTCATGGTGAAATTGTTACTTGATCACTTCTGACTCGAATGGTTCCTGGATTAAGCATTTGAATTAGATGAGCCTTACTTTCACAAATGTGAAAGTTATGCCAGTAGATACAGGGCACTGTCCACAGTATACCATGCCTTAGTCCCTTCATTCTTCACACTGCAAAGAGGCAGCTGTGTTAGTCTGCCACAGCAAAATAAAACAAAAGTCCAGTGGTATCTTAAAGACTAACATCAGGGCTCTAGTCGGGGGGAGCTCTCAGGTACGGAGCTCCGGAAGAGAACCTGTAGGGGGCGGGGCGGTCATGTGGTGAAGCCCCGCCCCCTTCTTTACCCCGCCCTCTGCTTCGATCCTCATTCCGTTTGGGAATGAGGATGAAGCAGGAGGGTAAGTAGCCGGGCCTTCTGACACACTTCCGGTGATGTCAGGGGGTGTGGCCTTCTGTCACTTCCGGTGATGTCAGGGGGCGTGGCATATGCAAATAAGTTATGCTAATGAGTTATGCTAATGAGCTCCGGCAGCTCTTTTTCTACAACAAGACCCCTGACTAACATCATTTATTTCAACATGAGCTTTTATGAGTCACAGCCCACTTCATATTGTTGTTTAATTGTGTACTACTGTGTTGTTCATTATGCTTATGCTGTTCATTATATTGTATGAATACGTGCTCTTTATTCTGTTACCTGCCTTGAGTCTTGGTCAGAAAGGTGATTATAAACAAACAAATGAAATGAAATTTGTTGTGTATTATCTCTTTTCTGAGTGCATGCACACTTAAAAATAGGGCTCTCAATCAATCAATTATTATATTATTATTATTATTATTATGGCTTTGGAAACACAATGACTATTAACTGATCTCTTTGGGGAGGTATCTCCTTCCTGAATGCTACATGAGAGCTTCCCATTTATCCCCCACAAATTAGGATGTGCTGAGCAGAAGCCAACTGTGCAAAGTGGCATTTGACTGGCTTTGTGACAATTATTAAACCACCTAGTCCCCCTTTCCCATCAGTGCAGACAGTGTACTGATTCCTGACAATCACAAAATCTTCCCACAGCAGGGCTTAAAATCAAAACAAAGGTAAAACAAAAACTGAAACCAATTGGTTGGTGTGGGTTTTTTTAAATTGCCAAATAGATGTTTAGCCAGTTTAACTGGCCAAGCATCCTGTTTTTAAACAGAGCCAACAGCCTACCTGAAGCTTAAGAGCATGGACTGGCCAAACAGAAAGAGGAAATTGGCACTAGGCTCCTCAGACCCATTAACGTCCGTGAGGTAAAGCAGAGATAAAACCAGACACAACAGGCTAGGGTTGCCAATACCAGGTTAAGAAATTCCTGGAGATTTGGGGATGGAGCCTGGGGAAGATTGAGTTTGGGGAAGAAAGGGAGCTCAGCAGGATATAATGCCATAGAGTCCACCCTCCAAAGCAGCCATTTTCTCCAGGGGAGAATGGATCTCTGTTGTCCGGAGATCAGTTGTAATCCCAGGGGATCCCCAGGCCCCACCTGGAGGCTGACAACAGTAACACCAGCTCCTGTAAATTGGTGCATCAGGGAGCTTACCTTTCCAGTTATTTGAAGGAGATGCTTTTTATCCTCTGAGTGTAGCTTTCTGCCTTCAAGTAAGCATTGCTGCTGCAGGTAACAGAAATTGTGGTTGCTTTCAGCCAGCCTTACCACTTTGCACTCCCTCTTTTCCACATGATTCCCACCCTGACATTCACACACCAGCTGTCAAGGCAAAACTTGCACCGGAGCTGGGCCTGCCTTTCTTATGCATGACTACTTGAAGTCTGCTGTTAAAACCAAACTGCAAATCTGTGTCCTTATATTTTCATGACTGTTTTGAAAGACAGACAAAACCTTCAAAGACGCTAAATTCCTTCTGTATTTTCCCCTCAATAAACCCTCAAAAATGTTTAAGAAAATTCTTTCTTTTAAAATTAACCCGTGTTATTTTGGATATGGACACATATTTTATTTTTACAAGCCCTTAAAACAAATAGAATATATCTAAACATATACAATATGTCTAACCCAGTGGTTAGCAAACCATTGTTTGTTAGTATGTGAACAAGCCCGGGGTGGTGGTGGTTTCATACTTCTGTGCTACCTTTGTCTCTCATGTGGTGATTAATACTTTTTTTGCTTTCACAGAAAACCACTGTTGCCATTACATCCAAATGGGCAAACTATGACTTGTGCATTCCCTGCAAAACAGAATTCAAAAGCAGGTTTCCATGTATCATAGAGATGTATTGTGCAGCCCCTATCCAACCATACCTCTTTCTTCATTGTTAAGAAACTCCTACGGGCAAGCATTCCCCTGGTATAAGCCTGAATGACACACACAGCTTTCAGCTGTTCAGCTTTTTTCTGACGCATCAGGTAACCTCTACACAAGGCTTGGAACTTAATCACACTTGCCCGGGCTGTCTCGTATTGTTTTGCAAGCTGTCTGCTCCGGAAAACGGCTTGCAGTCGCTCAAACCCCAGCATGATCTACCACAAAAGAGAAGAAAAAGATAAAAAGGAAGGTGCAGGCCTGATGTGAATAAGAGTGGGGATGAGTACAGCAAGATAAATGGGGTTTAGAAAAAATCAAGGAGATGAAATATAGGAATGGAAGAAATAAAGCCAGGATAGAATGAAAATGAAGGAGATTAGCTATGAAACTAATGCATGAAGATATAACACAGGGATAGACAATGCACAGTATCTGTGTGACATGCCAGAGTATTTTGCTTGGCATGGCAGCTCCATTATTGCACCTTCAAAATAGGGACATTTTGTTGAGCTGGGATGGGCTTGAGTCATGCCTAGAAGCTGCAGGGAAGGCTGGAAGCCAGCAGCATCCTGAGTAGGGATCCCCTTCTGCACAACAGCAATTATCTGGAATTATAATTTGGGATATGAGAGCTCTGAAAGTGAAAATGTGAGTGGGAATTCTCCAGCTTCCACCCCCCCAGAAACCTGCTCATAAAGCACCTTTTAGGACCAGACATTGCTGTGTGGAAATAGCCTAGGAGAAACCTTTGCTATAGCTAGAAAACAGGTTCACTCAGAGCCTTTTACTTTTTTCATCAGGAAAACATGCAGACAGTTGTTTTCCCTGGGAGATAAAGAAAGTATCCGATAGATGCTGGGCATCTTTTGCATTAAAACAAAAAACACAAAAAACTACTGAACTAAAGCCCTGCTCCAAAGAGCTACATAAGGTGCCCCTGAGGGATTGGGCACACCCAATGGGATTTTTGACACATGGCAACCTGCTTTAGGATGTCCCCTCAAATTCAAAAGCAGTTTGCCATGCAAGTGGAGGGGGCTGCTATTCAAGAAACACAACTCCAAAACCTGGTTGGGCATGTCTAGTTGGGTGTTTCGATTCTAGGCCAAGCCATGTTCCAAGCAGTAAGAGAAGTTTTTCTTATATTGTTGTGATCTAGAGGTATCTTGAGTTCCAAATCATACCTGTTGTCTTAATGAAGATCAACAGAAGCATTACAGTTGCCTTCTTAGATACAGCACTTCAATTAGAAAGTAACTTATTCAGTGCAAATCGTGTCTGTTGCCATCTCTCACATAAGCAACCTCTCCGAATGCTATACCTAGCTCTGCAGAACCCTGCATCACATTTGTATTTTTTTTTACCATCTTGAAGTTCTTCCGACAGTAATAGCCCCTCCAGGCTGTCTGAATAACCACAGCACTGTGTCTCTGCTTCAGAAACTGTTTCCTACAAGCAGAAGGAATGAGGAAACTGCTTATTTTATACGAAGTTTAGAGGAATAATATGCTAATACAAATTCCCCAAAAGGAGGACCAGTGTAACCAACAGTTGACCATTGAGACTTGGGACCCTGTTAAGTGGACAGATCAAGGATCTCCAAAAAAGACACCCTCCCCCAAAAGCAAAGCTTTGTATTTGCACTGAGCATAAGTACAATATAATGTTTTTCTCCAGTCAGTTTGCTTTCTCTTAATAAGAATAGCTGCAGCAGAACTCTCTCTTCCACGTATGTCTACAAGCAGCATCCCCAGGGCCACCTGCTCTTCAGATTTTCCTTTCTCTTTATGTTGTAGTTTTAATGTTCAGCAAGTATTGGGGATATTATACTGCCAGTCACAAGATAGGCACTCAGTACTCTCTCTCTGTTTAGCCTACACATGTAGCACATTAATTCATTCATACAAGAAAAAGCCAAAGAGAATTCCAGGAAGAGTCCCAGGAAAGCAGGCACTGCCAATCAGTGAGCCCCAGTGGACCTGTGATTTGTTTAAAATGTACTATTTATTTCAGCTGTATTCCATTTCCTACCTCCACCTCCGGTTTCCTTTACCCTCCAGCTCCCCTTTTCCCCTCCTGCCAGCATGGCTTGTCTGTCTACTACTAGCTACTATTTAATGTGATCAGACAGCAATTCCCATAGCTCCTGCTTATACTGTGTGTAGCACAGGCAGTCTTAGTGATCCTGGGGCCTCAGGCAAAATGTAAGAATGGGACCCTGTGGTCACTTAGGCAGAGAAGAGAGCCCCGCCCTACAGCTGATTGCCCACCTTCCACCTCAGTTCCGGGCAGCTTGGGTGATCAGTGTCGACTCTGCAGTGGCAGGGGCTTCAAGCAGTGGCTGAGGCAGCTGGCTGCAGGATGGTGGGGAGCTCCAAGCACCTCAGCCTTTTGCTGACCCTTCCTTTTCAGGCTTTGCACAGGTTGGGGATGTAAAGGACCACAGCTTTTGTTTACTTCTTTACCTGTCTTTGAATCCTCTTAGCACTTTCTGAATCAGAATCGCTTTCTCTGTGAGTGCTTTGTCTCGTCGCACCTCCAGTACTGCGTCATGATAGTCCTATTGAAGAATATTTTAAAAATCCTCACATGTGGCCATAACATCATGGAACCATAGAACATACTGCATACAGAACAATATTGGAGTTGAATTGTTCCTCTTTGGGATGATGTGCATTTGCGTGTCAAGGGCCATCAAGTCACTTCCAACTTATGGCAACCCTATGAATTAATGGCCTCCAAAACGTCCTATTGTTAACAGCCTTGCGCAGGTCAGTAATGGGACAAAAGCATCTGTTCTGTTATTCTGTACCTAACACCACACGTCATTGTTGATTATACTTTCTGATAGTGTATGCAGGAGTTATCAAGAGCAGCAAACATGAAATCCATATGTGATAAAGTGGCACAGATTCAGTGACACTCTGAAGGAATTAAGACTTTGTGATAAAGAGGGAAGGCCACACAAGCTCTTGAGTTATTTGCAATCCTATGCCAGGTTGCTCCAGTCTAAGCCAATTGATTTCTTGACCCCTGATCGGACTCTGCTGTCCATACTTGTGCGGGGGTGGAGTGGACTACTTAGGTTTGCATGCATATGTGTATAGATCAAGATGGGTAGCTGTGTTAGTCTGTCTGTAGCAGTACAAAACAGTAAGGGTCCAGTAGCACCTTAAAGACTAACAAAATGCGTGGCAGAGTACGAAAGCTCATACCCTGCCATAAATTTTGTTAGTCTTTAAAGTGCTACTGGACTCTTACTCTTTTCTAATGCGTGTGTGTGTGGTTTGCGTACAATGTAAAACTATTAGATGATCCTTGCAACTTACTTTCAGGAAAACTTTGTTCTTTCCAATTTTCCATTCATCGTCTTTCCCCATCACTGTCTCACATATGTAAATGCAGCCCTGTCGAGCATCATTCTTCACCTGGAATGCAAATCCATTTGACTTGGGCAGGAAAAACAGACACAGCGTGAGAGAATTTAATAAAAATGGCACTTTGAAGCAGTATTGAAATGGCTATGCTTTGGGCCTTCTTACATGAATGTAATTTTGATATACTCCTTTTTCTTAATCATTAATTGCAATCCTTAACATGGAAATTAATTATATCACCAGCAACACTGTCATTTTTAAAAATGTAGTATTAAAATTGTACCACAGCTGCTAAGGACCAAACAACATGTGATGTGACAGTTCTGAAATTACAGATGGGTAGCCCTGTGTGGGCCAAGATGCATGATATGCCCAACATGTGTCTGGTCACAGGTGCACAATCAGGCTCATCATTAGATGTACATCAGGGGAACTCACCTTAGACAGTGCTCTTTTGCTCAGTGCTTTAAGTGGGGAGGAGGACTTTCTGGTTTCCTTCTTGTGCCATTTTTGCCAACAGAAATGGCCAGGGCAGGAAACTGGAAGCTCCTTCCCCTCCCTTGCAGCACCCCCTCATAGTGCCAAGCAAATGAGTGTTTAAGGCAAGTCCTCCTGTCTTGGGGTATTTTGCAAGCTAATTAGCAGCTCCTTGTGACTGCTTTATCAGGGGTGAGTCATATGCCTCTTTCATCAGTTCAATGACCCCTCTAACCCTGCATTTAACTCTGTGGGCAGAAAATGCCTTAATGGAGGCCCAAATCATGAATGTTGCCAGATCACCATTTTCCCATCTTTGGCAGGTCAGGCAACTGGTTCCCTACCTATCTCCCCACAACCTAGCCACAGTGATCCATGCAACAGTCACCTCCAGCCTGGACTACTGTAATATGCTGTACTCAGGGTTACCCTTGAGATTGACCTGGAAACTCCAGCTGGTCCAGAACGCAGTGGTGCATGGCCTTACAGGAACACCATTAAGAGCCAGTATACAACCAGTGCTCTGCCAGCTGCACTGGCTCCCAGTTGAATACTCGATCAAGTTCAAGGTTTGGTTTTAACCTTAACCTTTAAAGCCTGGGACCAACATACCTTTGGGACTGTCTCTACCGGTACATCCCTCAAAGAGTGTTATGCTCTATGGATCAACATCTGCCAGTGATCCCCAGCTTGAAGGAGGTCTGCTTAGCCTCAGCCAGAGCTTTCTCAGCTCTGGTGCTGGCCTGGAGAAACACTCTCCCGAGAGAGATCTGGGCCCTGCGAGACTTAATGCAGTTTTGCAGGGCCTGCAAAATGGAGATGTCCTGTCAGGCCTATGGTTGAGGCAGCGGAGATCTATCAGTACTGGCCTCTCCTGCCCATTTCAGTCTTATATTGTTTCTACTTATCTGCCCACCTCCCATAGTATTAGTTAGCATCTACTGTGCACATATGTGGAGTTGACTCAGGAGTAGTGGCATTAATTGACGCCATAAACAATGTTATATTTGGATTTTAACAATTGTCAATGTTATGTTTAATTATTGTATTGTATAAATTGTATTGCATAAATAAAATAAATTTAATCGTATTGTGGTAACCTGCCCTGAGTCTTGTGGTGCCTATACCTATACCTGTCTGTTGAAGGAAGCTTTGACTCCTGAGAGCTTATACTCTGAAGCTCTTGTTAGTCTGCAAGGTGCTACTGGACTCTAATATAACTACACCTAATGAATAAATACATAATAAATACATCTGCTTCAGAGATGTATTTATATAGCAGAGGCATGGGGGAAAGGGTTAAACACTCCCTCCCCAGTGACTAGTCTCTGATGTTTAGTGCAGCTCCCTGTGGCTGTTAATTAGCTTTCAAAAAATTGTAGGAGATTTTAGTTGTGGAACTGTCACATCAGGTGTATTTTGGCCCTAAGAAAAATGGGTTTCAGCCTTCTCCCTTGGATCACTTTTCCAACCTGAAACAGTTCTTTGGGTTGCTATTTGCCCTGTTGGGGATCTACAGGTGTACTGTTGGGCTATACATGCATGCAGCCCCCATGAGAGGAAATAGCACCTACTTGAGTCTGACTGCAGTTTCCTGTGATATGTCATGTGTTTAATGTAACATCTAGCTCCTTAAAATGACAAAATTGCAATAAATTACTCTTCCTTCTTACATACCTTTTCTTGAGCAGACACAGGCTGCAGGACTTGGTATCTCTCAAAGAACTCGGCAAAACTGTAACGAATTGGATAACCAGCCTTCCTAATGCGAATGGTTTCCATCATCCCGGAATAGCGCAACTGTCGGATGCAGAGTTCTCGATCAAACAACTGAAATTAAAGGAAACACACAGCCAAATTTACCATACAAACAAACTGTGCATGTACCACAGACAAGAGTGCTTCTGACTATTCCTTCATATAGCGGAGAAACATTTCTCTCTGGTTTAGAACCATATTTGCAGCAAATAGGATGGCAGATTAAGTGCAGCAGCGAACAAGGAATGGCAACAGCTCTGCATTAGCCATTAGGTTTCATCTTAATTCATTTTCCCACTTAAATCAATAGGGCTTAACCCACTGAAGTAGTTTAAGTATCTCAACCATTTGGTCTATTTAGTTAAAGTTCAAACTAGTTCAAATGTATGCATCTTTCTCCTCACATAATTTTAAAACCAAAACCAGTTTCAGAAGGCTATAAGTTTGAGTGGAGGAACAGCAGAGGAAGATTGGCCGTTATAGCCACCAGGGGATTGCCTGGTTGTCTGATAACTTCACCCTCCCCCAATCTGGGCCAGCCCAGCCCAGCCCAGTGGGAAAAGGGCTGCACCCAACCTGCTCAATCCCCATGAAGCCCAGGGGAGGTGGGGGGGGGGCTGCCCCATACTGTGCATTTCCCCTGTGCAGGCCAGGGAGATGGCACCCAGCCAGCTGGGCAAGCAAGCTGCCTTTTCCTTCACCTCTCCCTTCTTGAACAGAGGGGCAGGTAAGGCAGGCAAGCTGCTGCTTCCTTCTTTTTCTTTGGAGAAGCAGGGCTGGGAGGAAGGGCCCTTTTCCTTCCCAGTCTGCCCCTGAGGAAAAAGTATAGAAAGCTACTTAACCTTTTCCATTGTGGCTGCTTTTACAATCAAAATTGTCCCTTCTCAGCTGTGGATACCCATTTCTTTTCTCCCACAGGAAGATAACGAGTTGAGGAGGTGGAATTTGAGTAGAAAAATGTGTCGTGGAGGTGAAATTTTAAGTCATTTTCTACTCACAATCTCCTACTTCTGATGATTTTTTATTAATGTAAGAGAAAAAATACACAGCTATGTAACACAGCTAAGATATTATAAATCAGTAATAAATCTTTCTCCTATTTTACACATGAGGGCTTGGTTGTCATCCAAGCATGTAAGTGCTGCGTTACAGGGAAGCTATTTGTGTGAACCAGTTTCTTATACAGCTGGCTCATTTCAGCTATACCATTGCAATTCCTTTTGTTGTGGATTTGGGACGATCTGGTTGAAATCAGTCAAAACATGTTGCTAAGCCAATTGATATGAACATCTTCATATGGATGTGTTACAAATACCTACCCACATAAATCACTGTGGGAAAATATTAACCGGCAAACTGCACAAGTTTGGTATTCTTGCTGTTTTTCTAGCCTGCTTCTGGTATGTTTCCCCATTCTCTAGAATGCATTGAGTTAATGACATAAGCTATCACTCTAAGCTTCTATGCCTGTAAGAGTTCTCTCCCTTGTTTCTAGCAGGATTAGAATTCAGTGACTTGTTGGTTAAGACACAGACAACAATTTCAACTAGGTATGGGCCATATGCCACTGAAACCCCAATTCAAATTACGTGGTTTGATGCCTACCTGCCAGCGACACCTCCAAGCCCCACCCCAAACACTAAGCCTTTTTTACTTGTTGCAATAAAGTTCTCACTAAGATTGCTGGAACAGATGTTGCTGGCTTGAATTTTTTTGTACATGCCAAATACAGTAGATGCACAGTCAAATTCAAGATATGGTAAAATTATGCCACTCAATGGATCACTGGTTGGCAATGAGTAGGGAGAATGGCAGTGCCCATAATTTTGAATCTGGTTGCATATGTATGGAATGGTCTACATGGACACAGCCATCCGGCATGGATGGGAGTTCTCCTGAACATGCTGTCAGACCATTATTGGAAACAACCAAGCAAGGTACAAATTCAGAATGAGTTCACCGAACATTCTGTCCCTACCTATGTCACTTATTTTAATTGGCTTGTTTATTATTACATTTATTTTCATATATTATTATATACCTGGAGTAGGCAAAATGTCAACATTTAAACAAATAACATCATTAACTAATTATATGCATTCCTAACAAAGAGTCACCTCTTCCCCTAACTGAAAAACACTGCAGAAAAGAGTGGTCTACATGTTTTAATGGAATATTACCATTGGCTTCTTGTGGTCATTGGGTTTGAGACAACGGATAAAATACGGCTGGCATGTACTCAGGATTTTCATGAGCTGCTCCAGGGACTGCTTGAACTGACCTCCTAATGTAGAAAGGCGTTTGATAGTATCTGCTCCCTGTGTCAAATAAGCAGAGGTGGCTTGAATACTAGTTTAACATCCACGAGTCACTTAATAACAGTGCTGCCTGGAAAGAGAAACAGAGATGGCAGCTTTCCTGCATTTTCACTGCCATAATCCCCATTATTCACGGTGGTGGTGGTGGTGGTGGTTCAGAGGCCTTTTAAAAAACCAGAAATGGTCATACTGATATACCATTATATGCCACTGTTGATTTAAAAGAAAACAAATACTCAAAAAGCTCCCTGCTGGCATGCGGGGGCAGGGAGAGAATTGCTGCCATATGAACTAAGGCATGGGAAATGGCTGTTATGTAGGCAGGAAATTATAAAGGATCCAGCAATTAGAGTGGCACAAGATACAAAAAGACAGATATTGCTGTGTATGTTCATCAAATTTTCAATTTTCCAAGTTGTATTTTGTTTTTCAGATACATCAAACAACTCAATAAGAACAAAGTCTTCAGAAGAGAAGAAGAAGAAGGACGGACCTTCCCGGGCTTTCTGTAGTCCGTTTCGAACAATATCTTTCTCAGATGTCAATTCATGTTGTCTATAGTGTTCTTACAATTCCAATCTTGACTGTATATGTGGTGTTTACAAAAGTTCAGAAACAGCTGCTCATAGCTCTATTGTCTACCGGTCTCCATTCAGGATTATATGCTTAAGCATATAATCCTGAATGGAGACCGGTAGACAATAGAGCTATGAGCAGCTGTTTCTGAACTTTTGTAAACACCACATATACAGTCAAGATTGGAATTGTAAGAACACTATAGACAACATGAATTGACATCTGAGAAAGATATTGTTCGAAACGGACTACAGAAAGCCCGGGAAGGTCCGTCCTTCTTCTTCTTCTCTTCTGAAGACTTTGTTCTTATTGAGTTGTTTGATGTATCTGAAAAACAAAATACAACTTGGAAAATTGAAAATTTGATGAACATACACAGCAATATCTGTCTTTTTGTATCTTGTGTTATGTAGGCAGGACTAGGAAAATCCCAAAGTCCTGCCCACACAACAGCCAGCCTCACATTGTTCTGATCTTTCCCAAAATAATGCAGCAAAGTAGAATTGGGAAAGTTTGCAGAAAATTTAAGGAAAACCCAGGTTGTGCATGAAAACCCAGGTTGTGCATGATGCTGCAGGAAAGCAGGAAAACCCCACAGTTCCCAACAGCATCAAAGCTGGGGCAAATCCCCCATGCAGAAACAGCATCTGCAACTTTACTGTTACCCCTCCTTCGTATCTATCTTTAAAACATTACAGCCTACAGCATCGAGGACTTGGTGGACAAGTGGGAATATCGGCAACTGTATAAAGTGTATATCGGCCTTTAGCCTTTCTCTGAGTCTGTAACTGATAATTTAATATCACTAAATCTATTGGTTTATATATGAAGTACTACTGCCCTCCCATGGCCCTAAAACATAAAGGAAAATAGGTGATCCTTTTACAAGATCTGCTAATCTAATTTCGTAGAAGTCACGTATATGTTTGGTGTTATGTGTCTGTGCTGGACTTAGTCTTGTAGTAAAGTTGATGTTTGAAATTCTTTAAACACAGAGCAGGAGGGTAACTTGGGTTACTAATCAACATTTAATATAACCTAATATAATCAGCACTGTCACTGCATAACACTGAAAGCTGACAGAGTGGTGGGATGCCTATCCAGTTTGTAAAGGCTGTCATAAAAGTTACAGATAACATCACACGGATAATGGTCCCCAGTTCTAAGGGCGGGAAGCTATTATTTAAGACTTTATCAGAGGTAATTTTTTGTGCTAAAGATATCCTCTGGAGAATATTGTTTGCTTATTCAAAGAGAGAAAGCCTTATATTTGTGACTGCTTCTTGTAAACAACTTCTGGTTTACATATAGTCTGCCTCTGGAGCAAGTAACAGGAGAAACCCTCACCAGCGATGCATAAATTAGCAGTTCTAATTGTGCAAATCCATGTCCTTTACTACGTTTTTTAAAATTGTTCGACATAGTACCTCTTTGTTCCGAAGACATTCTTTGCACATTTCCTGTACATATGCATGAATGATAGGATTGAGTTTCAGGTTTAAAAATTAGACATGTTTGGGCACAGAGATGTACTGCTTGGGAGAAGACAGTGCTGTTCACAGACACCGGGGGACAAATCAGCACCCCTAGGGCCAGTCACACACTCTCAGCTTAACCTACCTCACAAAGTTGTTGTGAGTATAAACTGGAGGACAGGAGAATTATGTAAGCCACTGTGGATTCCCATTGGGGAGAAAGGATGGGTATAAAGGAAGTAAGGAAGAAGGCAGAACAAAATGTGTAAGCTTGCCAGAGTCTGAGGATCCTCAGCTAATTGCCTCTCTCTTTCTTTTTTTAAAATTGGAGAAGAAGGGAAACTCCTTCAAAGGAAGAAGTTATAAAAAATATTGGAAACAGCAGAGATGGACAATTTAACTTCAATCTTGAGAGGAAATAACAAAGAAGAATTTGAGGTCACATGGTCAAGGTTTTATAAATGGATAGAAGAACATAACGTATAAAAACTCCTAGACATACAACCGAAAAAAAAGAAATAAGAACTATATACTTAACTATGAAAAAAATATGTATATTAAAATCATAACATGGGAAAGATTTGGTTACGGTTTGACATCAAATGACTATGTAAAAAATGATACAAATTAATCTTCCCAAATGTGCATCTATGTAAGTCAGTGAATTGTCTCTTAAGAGAATCCCTGTCTCACATTTAGGGATGCTGCCTGATAGCAATACAAAAGCATGTGTGTTTCTTAAACAGCTCCACAACCACAAAAGACAACAAAATGAGAGCCCTGGTTGGTAAGGACCACAACAGAGAATGTACATGCACAGGGAAGTTGTTCATCTTGCCCCTTTGTAGGTTGGCACCCACAGAATGCCCTGCTCAGATGAGCAAAGCTATTGTGGTAGAACACAGCATTAGAGATGGCCCTGTAAATATAAGGGTCCAAGGCCATGAAGGGCTTTGTATGGGATAACCAATACCTTGAATTGAACCTGGTAATGTTACCCAAATAGGAGGTCTCCAAATTAACTGGGGGGAATTAACTAATTGGAGTGTTAAGGAATGAGATTGATATCTGAGTTATGGACTATGTTTATTGCTACACTATGGACTGTGCACACATACAAATAGGCTCAGAAAGCTGTACAAGTCACCTGTTGTGATACTACACATAGAAGGTGCCTGCATAAGCCTTAACACACGAATGAGGTTTCAGCTACCAGCCTGGTGAGGAAGCACACATCTCCATTATTGTCAGCAAAACAACAGTTTGAGAAGAAGCAGCCCCCATTGCTGAATTGTTTGTGGTCACGCACTCCACATCTCTGCTTTGTTTCTACATTGGCATTTCCTGCCAGATGGACCTTTGATGACCAGAGGAATGGTCAGGCTTCATCTGCACTTCAATGAAGCATCCTGACGCCAAGTTTTCACACTTGCCCAGATGCCATCCTTTGAGTTAGATCTTAGGTTACAATATTGTCCAACCCTCTAGGTAACATCCCACTCCTATAGGTAACCAATAGGATTAGTTTTGGGATGGACTAACAGGTAGGTGGGTCCAGAGGTTGGCACAGTTGCCACCCACCCAAAAGACCACCTATAAAAAGTAAGAACCATTCACCTGGCCCTTCCTAGCTAGCATTCCCCACAACAACCCCTGTCAGCTTTATATTCCCCTTTTGACCAGCTTGCTATACCCAAACCCTTGCCTCTACTTTGATCTCTTGATCTGCAGTCAAGAGACCCACATGTGCTGGCTGGTTCTGGTTATGTGTTTGAACTCCCTAGATTTCTATTTCTTCCCATCCATTCTTCATTGGGACAACCAAGCTGAGAAGACAGATAAGTATCATCCATCATCACCCCCACCTGCTAATGCAAACGTGCTTATTTTAATACTGTATTTCTAAGGAGCTTGATTGAATGTGTGAATGCATCAGTATTGTTTGTATGTGAGATATTTTCTTTGTGAGTGCATCAGTATTGTTTGTATGTGAGATATTTTCTTAAGTAAAAGACATTTATGTTAACAACACCAGCCTCGACTCCTTCTCTAGTAACCCTTGGGGGAACAGGACCTTGGTATAGTTGGCAAGCACCCAGATTTAAATTGCCAATTGCTGTAAATAAAGCAATTCGGCTAACAGGAGACAGAGCTTGTGAGAGTAGGGTAACTAGTGAGATCTCCACCAGTATTTACAGGGATTTTTCCCTCTGAGAGCCCTCAAAACAAACCAGTCCAAATTAAATAGAAAGTATTTTATTTTAAAAAGTAATAAGAGCAAAAACATACACAAGAGTGCACGGGGAAACACTCATACAAGGCTGACAAAGATAAAACAGAGTAGCAGGAATAAAGATTGGGAGTGGGTGATATTTACCTATCTAGACAAACAAAGTCCATGGAAGAGCAAAGATGAAACTACCTGCATTTTGGGTATGAAGTCTGGATCCAGGACAAGACTACAAAACTGGAGCTCTGGGGAGCCCAGTTATAGAAAAAATTCTCCCTGAGATGGAGTGATGCATTGCCCCAACGTAATAACTTAATGTGTATCCCACAAGATGGACAAAGATGTGGGAGAGGTCTGAAAAAGGCTTTCCTGAGGTGAAACAATGATTTGGGTGAAGCTATGATTGCTTCATCCAGGACAAACTATGGTAGCTAATGGTAAACTATTTAAAATGTGGAGCGCTGCTTGATGGCCTGTTCATTGTATTGGATGGGAAAGCTGTCAATGTTAGGTTTGGCTAATTTAAGGTGAATGTGGGAAAGGGGAGATGGGGTTATGACGCTGATGAGATTAAGTCCAGGTGGACAGGGTTAGTTCTGGAGTGAGGTAGCGTGGCTTTGGAAGCCTATTATTGTGCACTTATGCATACCTTAGAGTGGGGAGGCAGTCACAGCCGGGTCAGACACCTTGACATTATACCTTCCAGAATCACTGCCCAGACATGTCTGTGAGGCCTGCCAGCCTGGCATCCATTTCATGTACATTTTGACCAAGCTGCCTGGCATGTGAGATCTTGGTGGCTTTTAAGTGAAGGGTGCTTGCGTGCAAACTACCCCAGTGAGAGGAGAGGGTCTGCCTGCTTACAGTAACTGATGGACAGCCAATAGAGTGGCTGCAGAATTGGAGTAATATGCATACTTCATTGAGCACCTGATAATAACCTGATAATAACCAAGTTGTGGCATTTTGTACCAACTAGAGTCTCCAATCAGAAGCGGCCACACCACTTTTCTGTAGGGACTTTTAAAAAATAGTAGAAGGATAACCACTTCTTTGAGTGGCTGAGGGAAGGAGGCATGAGTTAGTGGTTGATTTATGATAGACACCAAGGGCTCAATGATGTGCTCCTTACATACTTTAGCAGTCAGGATGGGCAAAAATCCAGGGCACAAGTTGTGGCCTTTGTAGATAACAGGATCCTGTCAACATCCATCATGGCAATGGGGTCAAAATCGTCCATAAACAGACCAGACAATGTATTAGACATTTCTTCTGACTGACCTATGTTACAACTGGCATCAAGATCAAAGTGTATTCTCAACATATGATCTGCAAAAATCTTTGCAAAATATCACAGCTAATTGTCTGTTCCTGAGACTGTAAGAGTTCAGCAGCCACCGCACAGTCTTTTGCGCTTCTGGAATGTTTAACCCCATAAATATATGTTATTTGCTTTTGTTCACCCTTTTTGTATTGTATTCCCACATTTTCTCTGCAGTTTATGTTAAATATATAATATTTTTGGAATATCAGATTAATACTGTTAATTTCAGCAAATATACATATAATACACATTCTCATATTTTCAGTTTATTGTTGTTGGGTTCACCATTTCCTTTTCTATACTCTTTGGTGGTACTACCCCACTCCCGCTGTCTTTGTGTGTTAAAGGGCCATGGATGACCTCAAGGTTGCTCCTTGGCAACCCTAATAATAATAATAATTATCATCATAATCACATCCTATGGCAGTGTGTTTAATATAGCCAGGAGATCCTAAGATTGTCTGGAGCCAGAGGTTCTAGCTCTTTTAGCATTATGCACCACTAGGTGGCAAGCTAGACTTGTTTTTAAGGCAAGAGATGTTTCAGAGGTGGTTTGCCACTGCCTGCCTCTGCTTCATAGCCATGGTATTCCTTGGAGGTCGCCCATCCAAATACTAGACAGGCCCACCCTGCTTAGCTAGCCAGGTCAGGGCTGGCAACTGAAGAAATCTATGGCTCGGAGTTTCTCAGCGGCTGGTACAACCCAACAAAAGCTGGAATATGAGACACTGAAATAAACAGGAGCCACACAAAATGACAGCTGTTATAAAAATAGTTAGAGCCAATTGCTGAAAACTGTATAAAAGCCACTGCAGAAGCTCTTTGGTGCATATTTGTCTGTTGTGGCAGTTCTTCTCTAAGCCACTTACCTGCCCAAAAGCAGGAGGTAATGTTCTGGATTGTACAAGACCACAGCGGGACGATGACTGATGGCAAAAGGACAGTAGAGGATAGGATTGTAAAAGAACAAAGAGTGAAATGAACAGACAGATAAAAGGAAATGCAGCAAGATAATTCATCATGAGCTGTGGAAAAGTACAGAAGATTGCTCTTACTGGTGCTGAATCAAAGCTAATGCATGTATGGCACCAATGGTTGTTTTTTTTTTTAATCTGGGAAAAAACCCTCAGATTATATTGCATCCACAGAACAGCATCACTTGCTGTCCAATCCCAATCCTAAACATCACACCAGTGTAACACTAGGGCAACAAGGCAAAGTAGTGATCTGACATAAACTGCTTGGGAATTATGATTATTAAAAATGTCTATAGCATCTGAACTATAGTGATTTAAAACTGACACAGGAAGCAAATTACAGCTAGAATCTGCACAAGGCTGAAAAGGGATTAGTTTTCAAACATGAAAAGAATAACCTTGAAGGTGGGATCAGCTCCAAGATGCCTGATGCTGCCACGCCCAAAAGAAGCAACGTTCATTGCTGCATCCACCTGGAAGACTTGCCTGAGGAATTTGTTTTTGGATGTATGAACCAACTGCATCACATCAGAACTAAGCATGTCACGATTTTTCTCAAGAAACCCTATGAATAAAAAACAAGAGAAGCTCATCTTTTCCACCTGATACTGATTCCAGTTTGATGCTCAGCTCACGTCCTCTCAGTTCACAGGGCCACATCCTCTCTTCACACCAATAACTTCCTTTTCTACTCCATTTAAATTGATCTTCTACAGAATAAAGCTTTAGCTAAATAATGGAACAGCTGTTCATAATATATCACAAATACATTACTAGTGATCAGCAGGGTACATAACAATTCTTGGTAAGGAACAATCCTTGAACTGAAGGATGACAGGCAGCTGTTACCACCTTACCTTTAGACTGATAATAAACAATACCAGCAAAGTGATTGATTCCAAAGACTGTGTCATGGACATTTTTTGGTGCAATATAGATTTTGCTTCTGCCATGATGAGAGTTAATTTTATTTAACATGGTGGTGTCAGTGCCCTGGAAACAAACACAACATGCAACGAAATAAATTTACTTTCTCTATGCTAGTATGCTCAAAGCAAATAATGAAAACATGTATAAGTGGCACATCAGTACACATTAGTCTCTTCCAGTAGGGCAAATTGTGGCTTCTCAGGTCCACTTCAGGTTAGGAAAATGGCACTAGGAGGCCTTAAGCTCCTCTCCACATATGCTATGGTCCCGATCATATTTGGTCCCATGGGCACTTGGGAATTAAGTTCCAGGCACAGAATTTGGGAAACCGGTTGAGAAGACTAGGTCAGACGTGGGGGACATATGGATTTTGTAATGTGCGGTTATGGCTTGAGAGTAGGGGATACAGCATGGGGCTGTCACTTGACCAGGAAATTTGCAGAAGTTTGTGGATAGTCTCCTTGGTGGTGGAAAGTCACAGCCAATTTATGGCGACTCCGTAAGGTTTTCAAAACGAGAGACATTCAGAGGTGGGCGATCCTGGACTTCCTTGGTGATATCCATCCAAATACTAACCCTGCTTAGCTTTCAAGATCTGATGAGATCAAGCTAGCCAAGGTATACCTCTATTTAAATCATAGTATCAGCCAGTTCAGAACCTCTCAGAATATATTTAAATTTAGTATTTTTAGTATTTTTGTTCCAGTTTGCAACTCCTTACACTTACCTGTTCTGATCTTCATTTGCCATGTTGTTGCCCGCCCACCAACCCACCCAATTTACAGAGATCCTTCCATAGCTCTTCACAATCTGGCTTTATTTTCATCATCTGATATATATATTTGCCCTAATACATTGGCACTTTCTAGCTCTCCCATTGGCTGTGCTGTGCACTCCATCAGCCATTGGCCTATCAACCGCCAATCAAGAGTACTCGCATGCCATTGGCTGGGGGCTGGGTCTGCTCCTCTTCCCTGCCCACTACCAACTCAGCCACTATTCCCTGTTAGAATTAACTGCCAAAACAGCTGTCTCTCCTGACAAAGACACTTCCCCTGCTTGGCTCCTGTGGAACTAACGTTTCCCTCAGTGGTTCTTGCTAGGCAACCAAGCTTGGTTCTGTCAGTAAAAACGCAAAGCCAGAAGGAACTTTCCAGGCCTTTGTGGGGAACTCATTGGGGCCAGTTGTGATTAGGGTTGCCAGCTCCAGGTTGGGAAATTCCTGAATATTTTGTGGTGGAGTCTACAGAAGCCAGAATTTGGGGAGGGGAGAGGCCTCAACTGAACAGAATGCCATAGAGCCCACCCTCCAAAGCAGTTATTTTTTGCTGGGGAACCATTGCTGCCATTCTCCAGGTAAGGGCTGGAGATCACTCAGAATCACAACTGCTCTTTAGATAGCAGAGCTCAGTTTCCCTGGAGAAAAAAGCTGCTTTGCAGGGTGGACTCTGTGTCATTATACCCTGCTCAGGTCACTTCCCTCCTGCTTGGGTCCCCACTGTGGAGAAAGACTACTTTTCCTAGGTAGAGGCTGCAGGTGGTGGTGGGGAGATGGAAAGCTGAAGTCAGAGTGGCAGATAAAAGTAGGTTGATGGTTGGCTGGGAAGGATAGGGTTGCCAACTCCAGGTTGGAAAATTCCTGGAGATTTGAGGGGTCGTGCCTGAAGAGGAGGGGTGGGACCTCAGACAGGTACAATGCCATAGACTCCACCCTCCAAACCAGCCATTTCCTCCTGGGGAACCACTGATGCCATTCTCCAGGTGAGGGCTGGAGATCACTCAGAACTACAACTGCTCTCCAGATGGCAGAGATCAGTTCCCCTGGAGAAAACAGTAAGGTCTCTCTGTCATTATAACTTGCTGAGGTCACCAAAGCAAATTGACACTGAGTGCCCATGGTTCATTGTATTTATTTTCACAATGGCCTTATTCCTAGCTCTGAATAATTTTGTATCAGTTGGAAATTTGGCTACTATAGTGCTTATTCCTGATTCCAAATAATTTATGAGCAGTTTTTGATTCATAAGAGGACTCATCCTCCTATCCCATGATTGCTAAGTTTACTCAGGAGCCCTTGGTGTGATACTTAGTCAAAATCCCTTTGGAAGTCTAAGAATATAAATTCCACTGAATAACCCTTATCTATATGCCTGTTAATCTGCTCAAAGAGCTCCAAAAGTTGGTGAAGCAGGACTTCCCTTTGCAGAAGCCATGCTGATTTTCCCTCAGCAGGCTTTGTTATTCAATGTGCTTAATAATTCTTTCTTTAATAATAGTTTCCACTAATTTATTTGGAAGAGATGTTAGGTCTAACTGGCCTGTAATTTCTTGGATCACCTCTGGATTCACAGTCAGGGACAGAGGGTGATGCTGGGAGAGACTGTGTCCCCACGGCACTCGCTAGTATGCAGGGTTCCTCGGGGGCACTTCTCTCCCTGGTGTTATTTAACATCTATATGCGCTCCCTTGCCCAGCTAGTGCGGAGTTTCAGGCTGGGTGTCATCAGTACGCTGATGACACCCAGCTATTTCTGTTGATGGGTGGCCAACTGGGCACCATTCCTGTGAATTTAGCCGAGGGTTTGGAGGCCATGGTAGGGTGGTTAAAGCAGAGTCAGTTGAAACGGAATACTGGTAAAATGGGGGTTCTGTGGCTGGGTAGGTGGAGGAGCCACAGTTGGGTTGCCAACTCCCGACTCTTGATGGAGTGCCCCTAACACCGGCATTGACTGTCAGAAGTCTGGGTGTGATTCTGGATGCACCTTATCAGTGGAGGCCCACGTCACGAAGGTTGACAGTTTGGCATTTCTCAAACTGTGCCAAGTCAGGCAACTGGCTCCCTCCCTGTCTCACTCTGATCTAGCCATGGTAAATAATACATGCAACATTCACCTCCAGGAGAGACTACTGTAACTCACTGTATGCGGGCCTACCCTTGAGACTGACATGGAAGCTCCAACTGATCCAGAATGCGGCCACGCGGGTCCTTACAGGGACCCCTCAGAGCACACACATTCAACCTGTGCTGTGCGAGCTGCACTGGCTTCCAGTGGAGCACCAGATCAAGTTCAAGGTGCTGGTTTTGACCTTTAAGGCCCCTAACAGTCAGGGACTCACATACCTCTGGGACTGCCTCTCCCAGTATGCCCCAAGAAGAGCATTATGCTTGGAAAGTAAGATTCTCCTGGTGGTCCCCGGCCTGAGAGAGCTCTGGCTGTCCTCAACCAAGGCCAGGGCTTTCTTGGGCCTGGCTCCTACCTGGTAGAACTCTCTACTGGAGAACATCCATGCCCTGTGGGATCTGTTACCTTTCTGCAGGGCATGTAAGGCAGAGATGTTCGGCCAGGTATTCGACTGAGGACAGTGATGGTACAGCATGTAGTCTGGTACTCACATACCCTCCATTCTCCACAAGCCCCCCCACCCACCCGAGGCTTGTGAAATCTGAAATTTCACCATCTTGGAATTATATGAATTTTGCTTATATGTACTGTATATTTTATTGTACGATTTTTACTTTTTAGTTATTTATTGTATGTTCTTTTCTGTTGTAAGCCACCCTGAGCCCTGCTTGCAGGGAAGGGTGTCCTAAAAATGTAATCAAATATATATACAGATAAATAAAATCCCCTTTTTTAAAGTGGAGCACTTCAGGGTCTTGCATGTCTACTTCCAGATGGCCAGTGGATTTGTAGATTCAATGAACCCTTAAAAAATCTAGCTACTCCCTGTGGGAGTCCAGAAAAAAGAGATGATGCTCACCTTAGGGAACCTGCTTTCCTCATCAATGAGTGACAGAATATTCATGGGTTTGAGTGCAATCACTTCTAAGGCTGTATAGTTATCAGTGAAGTCAATGTGGTTCCAGGAGATGTGCTCAGCCAGGTATTCTTCCTGCTCCAACTTGAAGACATGTTGTACAAAGAACTGCTGGAGATGCTCATTGGCAAAGTTGATACACAGCTGTTCAAAACTGTAGGGAACCACAACCCAGAGAACCACAAACATCGCTGTCATGTCAGTGTTACACAGGATCATTAATGTTCTTGTTAAAGTCTAGATAGTGCCAGTTTACACTCAGCTTTTCAGAATAGTATAATTTGTGACAATAATCACTGCATAAACTCTAAAAGTGACAATGTCAGATCAAGCTGAACGCTAGAGTTAAGGCAGCCTTGCCAGTTGTGGATTATTTTATTCCTTTATAGATTTTAAAGAATTACCAGGAGCTTGCCCAGTTCAAATGTACATTTCAGTATGATGCTTAATCAGTATAAATCAACACGTGTCATCCTCAATGTAGAGATTTATTCCCCAAAATATCATTCCTATCAATAGTAGTGGCTAAAATCTCCTGCCATTTGCAAGCATGCAGATAACATTCCACAGACAAATTAACTAGGAATAGCCATACCTGTTGGTATTAAAATTTTCAAAGCCAAAAATGTCTAGTAGTCCAATGGACCTGCAGATGTTCTTATTATCTTGTGAGGGTGGCTTGTAGATTGCAGCATTGATCTTATTCACTATCCACAAGAAGAGGAACCCATAAATCCCCTGGAGAAGGGTTCAAAAGCAGTGTGAAAGCTCTTAGACAACTAACCATTCCACCTCAGTGGGGTACAATGCCATAGAGTACACCTTCCAAAGCATCCTTTTTCTCCACAGGAGCTTCTCTCTGTAGTCTGGAATTCCAGGGGATCCCCAGGTCCCACCTGGAGGCTGGCATCCCTAGACTTATTGCAGGAGAAGGCTGTCTTTGCAAGGAAAAACCCTGCCTCTGCCTCCCATACCATAGTGGAGACACTCATCAGGTGAAGCCACCATGGCCATCGGACCCAGGGCAAGGCCCATTCCTGCCACTGGCCCTGGGCCTACCCCAGGGGCTGTGGTCGTTGCTGTGGGATTCTTTGGGCTGTTGTAGTAGTATTCTGCAGGCCCAGTGGGCTAGGGCCACTAAACTTGGGGGAGCACTTCCATCACTTGGCAAGGAGGTATCTGGGGGGGAGGCACTGGATGGGTGTGGGTGAATCCAGGGCCACAGGGGCAGGGTCCAGACATGGTATTTAAAAAGTGACATGAACTACAAAGGCCTGAGTCATGGACAGAAAGAACTAAGGACAGGAAATGTATTCTTCTTGGTCTCACAGCCCTGCAGCTGTAAGTTGCTCGAGACTTTATCAGATAAAACAAAGAAGCAAATAGGACATTGTATGCATGATTATATCTTTAAACAACTATTATTAGTGCTATTATTGTTATAATTAATGCATTTATTAGGCTTAGGAAGCATTCACGGCCCTTAGTGACCATAACTGGAAAACACACATGGAGAGAATAGTTGGTTTCCTTTACCTTCACAAAGGCATCTTTCACATCAGCAGCTTGGGCAACACTTAAGGGCATGGAGACACTTTCCCCTCGGATGATGATGGAATGATTTGTAAGACTATTGTGGAGTTCCCCGGAAGCCACCTCAAGGAATTAATATTAAATTGGGTTATTTAATGCAAGTGATGCAGGGGGGAAAGTAGTGGCATCTGATTCAGAAAAACAGATATTAAGAGACACAAGAGAAGGCAACAAAACAAAGCTACCATAATGAGAATTATTTTTGTCAATGATAACACAAGAAACCATCTATCAGCAATGAGGGTAACATGGCCAAAACTTCAAAAATTAGACATTTTTGCCTTGCAGTGGCTTGCTTCCTTCCTCCAAGGTCGGGGACAAAGAGTGGCGCTGGGAGATCAGCTGTCCCAAAGGCACCCACTGGAATGTGGAGTGCCCCAAGGGGCAGTGCTGTCCCCAATGCTTTTTAACATCTATATGTGGCCTCTTGCCCAGATTGCCCGGAGACATGGGCTGGGATGTCACCAGTATGCGGATGACACCCAGCTTTATCTGTTGTTGGGCAGTCAGTCTGACTCTGAACCAGAAGACCTAGACCGTGGCTGGTTGGCTTAGGCTGAGCCGGCTGAAACTGAATCCAACAAAGACGGAGGTCCTGTGCCTGAGTCAGGGTGGTCCGAGGTTAGGGATCCCACTCCTGACCTTCAATGGGGCTTCACTGGTGCCAGCGCCAGAGGTTAGGAGTCTGGGAGTGCTCCTAGATGCCTCCCTAACAATGGAGGCTCAGGTAGCAGCCACTGCCAAATTGGCCTTTTACCATCTTCGGCTGACCAGGTAGTTGGTTCTCTTCCTCGAACGCAATGACTTGGTGACAGTGATCCATGTGATGGTCACCTCGAGATTGGACTACTGTAATGCCCTCTTGGCTAAGAGGGTGGGATAGAAATTTTAATAATAATAATAATAATAATAATAATAATAATAATAATAATAATAATAATAATAATAATAATAATAAACATTTGTTTTCATAAGAGTCCAACATCCTATTTCACACAGTGGTCAACCACATGCTCCCAGAAGGTCCACCAGACAAGTCGTGGATGACTTTTGTGTCTCCCAGCACTGGTATTTAGAGGTTTACTGTCTGTGAACATTAAGCTCCCATTTAATCATTGCAGCTGTCCTCCCTGAGTCTGTCTAATCCCCTGAAGTACACTAGTAGTCATCACTACATCCTGTACAAGAGAATGCACACATTTATTATGCTTTAAGTGAGTGATCAATGCTTGTGAATTCCAGTATTATGGGAGACAAAAGAAGTTCTCTTGTCCACTTTCTCTGCTCCATGTATAATTTTATAGATATCTTTTCTCTAACTCACAAGCTTCAGACTCCTTAGCTTTCCTTGCAGGGAAGGGTTTGCAAAATCTTAATCAGTTTGATTGTCTTTTTCAGCATCTTCTCCAGTACTAAATCATTATGTTTCAGATACAGCTACCAGAACTGTGCAAAGTATTCCAAATGTGTCCACATCATAGATTTATGTAAGAGCATTAAGATATGGACCATTTTGCTTTTGATCCCTTTCCTAATCATGTCTAGATCAGAATTTGCTTTTCCTCCCCATTGTTCATGCACAGTGAGTCAACATTTTCATCAAATTATCCACTATGACCCTTAGATTTCTTTTTTGGCACCCTATGTTAGGATTGGCATCATGTAAGTTAGGATTTTTGCCCTAATATACATAATTTTACACTTATTTTTCTAGACTATGTAAACTCTTGCAGAGCCAGCAAACTGGTAACAAGTGGGATAATGTACAAAGCCAATACCTCAAGTAGTTTGGTTGCAATGGAAAAGTGTGCAGAATCGAGCACAGCAGAACAGTCCAAATTATCGTACACAGCAGCTACAAAAGAAAGAGCAAACCTTAGTAAATATATGTGACAATAAGAATGTAGTATGATTTTCATCACTCTATAGCAACTGTAACGCAAGAACAAACATGAGAACAAAAATGTATCATTTTTATAAGACATCACAATGTGACCTGCTTTAAAATGACACAGTATTTCTGGTTGGAAATAGAGGAATCTGAGGATGGTAATTTTCTTACAACCATATATGTAAAGAAGCAGAATATATACTTTAAGAAGTAGTAGTAGTGACATAGCAACAGTGGTGAAAGGAATAATTACAAAGATGCCTATAATCTCTTCCCCAAACTACAGTTCCTCATTGTTATTTCCTTCCAAAACTGTTGATTCCTATAGATGGCTACAATTTTGCATTATTCAGTGCTCCCCCCCCAATATGGCTATGTGACTGTATTTTAATACCTCAGTGACACAAACAGCTTTGAATTACTAGATTTCTCTGTAACTGAAAGGTATTTTATCACATTATATATCAAAATGCATTTAGGGTAAATGATGTGTATAATGAGGAGAATAAGCAGGTCTCCAGATGAGTACCTTTTATCTACTACTGTAGCCACATTTCCACTTCATTCACCTTTTCCAGAAAATAGTTTTTCGCTCAGGATGTAGCTTCATAGACTCCCAAACCCATAATTTTATTTTATTTTCTGTGTACATGCCTCTGACTCACCTTCAAACTCTATATTCCCCAGATGCAAAATAGCTGCCAGCAGTTTGCTGATTTCCCAGTGCTCAGAATCGGAGAACATGAGGATCTTCATAGCAGAGTGGATATGAGCATATTCCTTGGCATCATTACGACCTTCACAGGAAGTACAGTTACCCTGCAAGGCAACACAGATACAAAGCAATCCCCAAATCCGTCCCCAAACTGCAAGTTCAGGACATGGGTCTCTGCTGCTTCAACAACCTAGAACAGGGGTCATTTCGTAGAAAAAGAGCTAGGGGAACTCATTAGCATAACTCATTAGCATATGCCACACACCCTGACATCAGGGGCTTGGCGGTGGACCTGCAAGGCCGGCGGAAGTGCGAGGAAGCCCCGCCAAGGCCCTCCCTGGCCCCAGGCAGGCAGGGGTGGGGAGAGGCGGGAAGGAAGCAACTTACCCTCCCTCTTCTCCTGCCTCCTCCTGGCTGAATGAGGGCTGGAAGCGGGGCAGCCAGAAGCAGGGGGCGGGGCTTCATCGTGTGCCCCGCCCCTGCACCTCACCCGGGGGAACTGTGTTCCCCCGCGTTCCCCCCCGAAATGACCTCTGACCTAGAAAACCCCTAGGAAGGATATCCCATTTCACATCCATGCTGCTTTGACCGAAAAATCCCCATTTTAATTTTACTCTTCCTTTGTGTGAATCGAACCTGTGCTTCTTTATTTTTGTACAATTTTTTCTTCCCTCATACTAAAAATTTCCCATTAAATGTATGTACTTTTCAACATTTTGTATCACTAAATTAGTATTTTACTATAGTATTGTCTATATAAATTATGTAATTGTACATATAAATACCATATATATTATGTGTAGAAACTATAGTACGTACAAATGCAATGCAAATGAATGAAAACCAAAACCACAAACAAAAATGCACGCAATTTTTAGAAAATTTAAAAGGGAACAAAAATCATGTGGCAGGAAAAAACACACATTTTATTATGTTTATGGTTCCATGGAACTAAGTATAATTACACAGCAAGCAGAAGAGTGATGAGTTTTCTTACTGTAACGATATACATTAATGGATGCTGTGGAACAGAATCAATAGGCAGGTGGATTTATCACATCCATTAAGTGTACATATACCACACGTTTTAATGCTTTCTTCCAGTTTGCAAAAAAAATTTCTCCCTAAAAAGGGACATCTCCATCTGTTATTTCACCTAGTCTCATCACTGACCGTTGTGCTTTTACTGTGTGATTGGTTAGACAATATATAAATGAACAAAACAGGTGAATACCAATAGCAAAATCAATATTTAGGTGTTTGTTTCTCATAACAGCATCATGGGCAGACACTCATGCATGAAGGTCAAACTACAAATTATACTCAAGTGCATGGAATTGTAGGCTAGCCTGAATGCCCTGTTTTTGTTTTTTAAATCCACTTTAGAAATATAAGGGATCAAATTAAATACCCTCATGCCCATTGCTCTGAGTACCATAGCAGAAGGGTAGTTTATTAAAAGTGTAATAAGTAAACACTGTTGCACTCATTTTCCAATTGATAGAAGGAACTGGGTTGCATCCAGCACCTTGATTTCAACTGTTTGTAAGCAGTACTTGTTGATTCCTCTTCCCACTGCAGACCTCAAATCAAACCCTCCATTGTTCCCATGGAACCTCTGAATCCAGGTGTAGCTTTTTCAGGGACACGGTGGGTTGCAGTGAAGGAGAAAAGACCCATTCTGCAAGCAGAGGTTCACTAGTGGTTCACTGGATACAGTTCAATGAAGAAACTGGGAACAACCACTTACCATAGTGAGATAGGTGTACTCAGAAGCAGTGCCCAGATTTAGCTTCTTTTTCTGTTCTGGATTCATCCCCATTAACATGCAATAAAAGATGTGATAGTTCCTTTCCTCTGGAGCCTAGAATGGTAAAAGGACCTCATAAACACAATCCTGGCACACTTAAAGCAAGAACACTTAATATGTACCCCAAAAATACACCTTTACCTGGCGACAAACCCTTGACTTCTCCAGAAGGAACTGTTCTATCCTGGCTCCTTCAATCACCCCATTTTGAGTGAAGTGAATTTCAAGGTACTTCCCAAAGCGGCTTGAATTGTCATTTCTAATTGTCTTGGCATTTCCAAAAGCTACAGAGAATGAGATAGTATTCTGAAACACAGACTGATAATGTAGAGTTTTTATAAGCAGGATCATCCCTTGCCTTTACAAACTGAATGCATTTCTTTGCTTTGCATTAAACCATGCTGGGACAGCTGGCATCTTAAAGGTATAAACATTCCATTAAAACAGTCACATCACATCAAGTATTATTTGTTTTTATTTACAAAAATTATATCCCACCTAACCTTTCTGCACTCACAAGGGCTCCCAAGGTGGCTAACAATTTAAAACATACAAGATAAAATAACATTTTAAAACCATTAAAATCAACCCCCCCCAACCACACATCTTTCAAACAATTAAAAACAGAGTAAGATACATACAAGACATAAAAGCAGCAGTTTAAACACTGATTAGCAAGGAGAGATCACTGAGCAAATGCCAAACAAAACAAAAAAAGTCTTAACCCACTGGCAGAAGACAGCAACAGAAGGGGACAGATTAATCTCTCTGGGGATAGAGTTCTACAGCTTTGGCACCATGACTGAGAAAGCCAGTTCCTGGATTGCCACCTGCCTAACCTCAGAAGGTGGGGAAACCCAAAGCAGGGCCTCCAAAGGTGATCATAGTGGTTGGCAGGTTCATAAAGGAGTAGGCAGTTGTGTTGGTTCCAAACACAGGGCTTTGAAGGTCAAGACTGCAAGTTCAGAAACAAAATGGGAGCTAGTATAGATGGGCCAACTCCAGTCAACATCCTGGCTGCACATTCTGTACCAACTGAAGCTTCCAAACACTTCTCAAGGGCAGCCCCATGTAGAGTACATTGCAGTAGTCTAATCTAGATGTAACTGGGACATGCTCCACAGTTGCCAGATCTTTTCTGACAACAAAAGGCCGCAGCTGGTTAACCAGTCAAAGCTTGTAAAAGGCACTCTTGGCCACAGCTGCCACTTGCTTATGCAGTAGTAGGCCTGTCCAGAAGAGCACCCCAAGACTATGGACCTGTTCGAGGGGAAGGCAACTCCATCCAGAACAGGTGAAACCTTAAATCCCAGGTCAGACATTCTGCCCACCAGTACCACTTCTGTCTTGTTGTGATTAAGCTTCAATTTATTAGCCTGTATCTACTCCAAAATTGCCTACAGGCACTGGTTCAGGATTTCGACAGCCTCCTTCAAATCAACTGGAAGTGTGAGACAGAGCAGAGTGTCATCCGGATATTGGTGACAACCCAGCCCAAGTCTCCAGATGACCTCACTAAGGGGTTTTATATAGATGTTAAAGGGTATAAAGGATGAGATGGAACCTTGTGGGATCCCACAGGTCTAAGGCCAAGGGGCTGAGCAGCAGTCCCTCAGCACCACCTTCTGAAACCTACCCTCCAGGTAGGACTGGAACCACCGCAGAATGGTGCCTCCCAATTCCATCCTAATACAGGTAGTCTAGAAGGATACCATGATCGATGATACTGAAAGTTTCTGTGAGGTTCAGGAGAATCAGTAGAGTTTAGGGTTGCCAGGTCCCTCAGACCTGCTGGCAGGGGATGGGGGGTGAACTTACTGGAAGTGGAGAAGAACACTGAAAATAAATGCGACGTGCCTATGTGACCCAGAAGTGATGTAGGCACATCAGGGATGTCGGGGGTGGCAGCGATGCTCTGGTTTTTGGGCAAAACTCTATGGTAGAATTAGCTTGTGCCAAAGAGTTTTGCCCAAGAACCAGAGTGTCGGCCCCACCCCGACATCACTAACGTGCCTATGTTACTTCCAGGTCATGTAGGCACGTTGTGTTTCTTTTTGGCTTCTTGCCTGTTGGGGGGGTAACTGGGGGTGCCCAAAATCAGGGGATCCCCGCCCACACTAGGGGATCTGGCATCCCTAATAGAATTGTACTCCCTCTGTCCATCACCTAGTGCAAGTCAGCCACCAGAGTGACCAAGGCTGTTTCTGTCCTATAATCAGGCTTAAACCCAGCTTGGAAGGGAAATATGAGAAGTCTATACAGTTCTGCCAGCTTTTTAAATATTGACATTGTTATCAACTATACCGAGGGAGATTGACCACACTTTTAAGGCTCATCTACACAAGCCATACAGAAGTATTTGGTGGACTGTTAAGCTCATTCAAGTGGGTAGCTGTGTTGGTCTGAAGCAGTAGAACAAAGTTTGAATCCAGTAAAACCTTTAAGATCAACAAAGTTTTATTCAAGATATGAGCTTTCGTGCGCACGCACACTTCTCAGACATGGTAAGATGGAACTTACCGGTCCAGATAAATAAGTCAGAGTTTGAACAGCAAATTAGCATACAATATAATGAAATGTCTTAACAGATGCAAACAGGAATAACAAGCTAAGTTTATAAGGTCATCATTGGATTTAATTCTGGGGGAAAACAGTGAGGTAAATAAATATATATCAAAATTGGAGATAGATACAACATTTAAATAGGTCCTCAGCTTCCCAGCCACTCTGACCTGACAGAAGCCACTCATAGCCATAACCCATCTGCTATGATCTCTTACTTGCTTCCAAAGGGGGAGGGGGAGAAAACCTGGATATTTGAGCATTACCACTAGATATGCACTACATCTGCTTTCTTACTCCCACTGCAGCAAGCAATCACATGTACTGTTGTGTACCAGCTGCGGACTGCACACCCGGTTGGGTTTGCACGTGGTCATGCGAAGTAGCAAAGCTTTGCTAACTAGAACAATAGCAGGCTAGGATCCTGAAACGGACCAATCGGTTAACCCAGATACTGAACTAGACCTATGGGTGTTAGTACATTGTAAATAGCTTATCACAGGATGTGTGTGTTGGGTGTGGTGTGTTTGGGGATTTAAGCAGGACTTCGGCTCTGCTAGTTGTCTTCTGTTTGAGTGCTAAATAAACTATGAGCTGATTTCATGCTATACGCATTCAAACCCAGTATATTACATGTACATATAGCCTACCTTCTAAAATGGGATTGGCCTCTAGAATCTGCTGCTCAATCCAAGAATGTTGACCACTGACAGAAGCCAAGAACTGCAGTATCAGCTTTGTGCTTTCGGTCTTCCCAGCTCCAGATTCTCCGCTGTAATAAAATTAGAAATCTGAAAACAAACCAACAATTGGCTCTTTTGACCAACCAGAATAAGACGTGACTTCTATTTTCCTTGCTCTTGAAAATTTTTGATTAAATGTTTGAGGAAATTGATTTTACTTTCTACAATCACACTTCCTATGATTGCCCAGTATCAGAAACTGACAATCCAAGCCTGAAATATATTGACAAGCAATTTCACTAAATGGCTTCTAGGCAATAATGAGTTAAATTCACTTCTTTCCCCCAAAAATCTTAGTTACCAAAGCTACTCAGTTACATAAAGTGACATGTACTCAAAAGTGGGGATGTAGAACGAAGCCTTCTCAGTCTTACATGTACATTTTCAAATGGGTAAGTGGCAGCTCCTCAGCCATTTTAGATTGCATAGTTCACATTCTCCTTTCTGGCTGCATATCAAGGCAATGTACACTACTTCAAAATTATAAAAAAGTTTAAGATGAACCAATTAATTTCTGTTATAAATTCACCAGTGCATACTTCCACTTTCATACCTCTGTCTCTATCAGAGGTCCCCTTTCTTTGTTTATCTTTGATCAATTTAGACTGTTAGTCCTTTGGGGCAAGGACATTTTTTTTACTTTAAGTCAATCGACTATGTCTAGTACTTTATACACAAACAACCTATTAGTCTATAGCTCATTCAACGAGGGAAATGGTTGTAGAAGATGATGTCATAAGAAACAGTTCTTGTTCTCAGTTTTATTTAAGTTGGCCTTTGGTTGTCTCTCCCAATCTATCTCTATATTTTCTCTTCAGCACAACATCAGACTTCCTCTGCCACTCCTTGCCCATTACCTGATGACACAGCACTGATCTCTCTTATTTCTCTTCATGTTGAAATAACAGTTGTCAGCAATGGCAAAGACATGAGGAGGCAATTCCCCAATCCTTTTGTTACAGTAGAGTCTGATTTGTTCCATGGTATACAACGGCAACTCTTGGTATGGATTCACTGCTACTAAAATAGAGCCTGTATAGGTCTAAAATGTGAAGATACTGTTGGCATAAATTTTAACAAATTTAACAGAAGGAAAAACAAACAACTGAAACTATAAGAAGAACTGAATATGACTCTGTCTTAAGAAGCAGTAATGAATGGACATGAGTCAGTACTGAACATATTCACATGAAGCACAATGCTATTTGCTTAATTACTTCTATGTAATAAGGACACCAGGTTCACATTTAATTCGAGAATTATGTCATCTCCAGAATGAAGGTAAAACAACTGAGAAGCAGCTAATTAAATATTATTACAAAAAGCCCATTGAATTTAATGGACCAAAGTTGTACACTGAATCCTCTGAATAAATATAAAGAGAGCAAAACTTTTTTGACATATATATATATTGAAAATGTATTCAAATAACTTGTAGGTATACCAACTTGAAAAAATGCTTTTCTTCAAAAAATATATTTTTCCAGTCATTTATAATGAGATAAATACCAGACAGAATAGTTATGATTGAATTATAGATGGTGAAAATAAAAGGAAGACTAATACTGTAAATGGATGAATGGTTATAATTTAAATTATTCTACTAAAAATAAGAAGTTGCATATTTTGATAATTCATTGAAGTATTTGGACATTAAATATTGGAGTTACTTGAAGATAAGGAATGGAAGATAATATTTTATATAATATGGAGTATTTCATAAGAATGAAAAATATGTGATCAGATTTTAGTTTGTTATAGAATATAAATATATAAAATATTTACCTCCAGCATCATCTAGTCCAACCCCTGCACAATGCACTAAATTCACAAATACTCTCCCCCTACACACACACAGTGACCCCTGTTCCATGGCCAGAAGATGGCAAAAAACCTCCAGGATCACTAACCAAACTGGCCTGGAGAAAAATTGCATCCTGACCCCAAAGTGTAGAGAGCATAAAAGATTGTATTATATCTTTTGAATTTTTGAGTTGCTGTAACTTTGTAAGATTCTAAGCGCTTTTTGCACTATCTACAGCTTGTTTGTTATTTGTATGTTAAGTTCACAGAATCAGCATTACTGTCAGATGGCCATCAAGCTTCTGTTTAAAACCTCCAAAGAAGGAGAGCCCACCACCTCCCAAGGAAGCCTGTTCCGCTGAGGAACTGCTCTAACTGTAAGGAAGTTCTTCCTAATGTTAAGCTGAAAACTCTTTTGATTTAATTTCAACCCATTGGTTCTGATCTGACCTTCTGGAGCAATAGAAAACAATTCTGCACCATCCTCTTCAAGTTATCATTTCACTTCTCAGTCATCGCCTCTCCAGGCTAACCCCAGCTCCTTCAGCCATTCCTCATAGGACTTGGTCTCCAGACCCCTCACCATCTTTGTTGCCCTCCTCTGGACACATTCAAGCTTGTCTGTATCCTTCTTAAATTGTGGTGCCCAAAACTGAACACAATACTCTAGGTGAGGCAGGCCCAGGGGGCCTTTAAATAAGTTGGGGGGCACCCTGCACACCCCCCCCCAAGGTTTTGCAACAAATAAAATAAAAAAATGGAAGTTGGGGGGTCTGAACTGGCTGGGAAATTGGGGGGGTTGGTAATAAGTTGGGGGGGGCACGACGCCCCACTGTAGCTACAGGCCTGCGGTGAGGTCTAACCAGAGCAGAGCAATTGCAATAAAAGGGAAAGCAAAATTATAGGTGACGGAGAAATAGAACAACTCGGTGCCCTTCCAGCCTGCGACTCATCCCAAAGGTTGTCGGCAGTGAGGCTAGGATGAAGAACCCCTCTCCGACACTGGTGTTGTGCAACGCCAGGTCGATAAATAATAAGACCACGGTCCTGCGGGACTTTCTGTTAGATCAGAAAGCAGACCTGGTGTGTGTGACTGAGACCTGGGTGTGGGATGGGGAGACAGCAGCTCTCTCTCAGCTGCCCCCCCCGGGGTTCTGTCCTACACCAATCACGGACAAAGAGTGGCTATTTTCATTCGGGAGGCTTACTCCTTCAGGGCGCTCCCGCTGTTGGAGATCACGGGCATTAAGTGTGCCGGTCTGGAGTGGGAGGCCAAGGAGAGTTTGGCAATCTGTCTGGTGTACTGACTGCCTAATGCACCGGCCAGTAGCCTGCCGTCCCTGATGGAGGCCGTATCAGGCTGTGCGTTGGAACACCCTAGGCTATTCGTCTTGGGTGATTTCAATGTCCATGCTGATGATGCGGCATCCTGTCAGGCAGCGGACCTAGTGTCGTCCATGGTGGCTCTGGGACTCTCCCAATTCGTAACGACCCACTCACAGGGCCGGGCACACGCTCGTTTGGATCTTTGCGGCTGGGATGACGGTGGACCGGATTATTGCTTCGGCAGTACCATGGTCGAACCACCATGCTTTGAGGGCCTGTCTGATTGTTCCACCCTGACCCTGTTTAGGCGGCGAGCATATTTTAGCTCGCCCGCGGAAACAAATGGACCCTATGTGGCTCCAAATGGCTCTGCAGGATCCGATGCCCCCTGGCGGCTTGCTGGATGAGCTAGTGGAGGACTGGCATACCCGGCTCTCCGCAGCCATCTACAAGATCGCTCCCCGGCACCCTCTGCGCCCTCATTCTAGGGTTGCGCCCTGGTTTACCCAAGAGTTGCAGCTTATGAAATGAGAGCTGAGACGGCTAGAGAGACGTTGCTAGTACTTACCTTTAAAGCCCTATATGGTCAGGGTCCGACATACCTGAGGGACCACCTTTCCTCACACATACCCCAGAGAGCACTACGGTCCGGGGCACAACACCGGTTAGTGATTCCAGGGCCAGGGCCTTTTCGGTGGCGGCTCCTACCTGGTGGAAAGAGCTCCCAGAAGAGATCAGGGCCCTGCGGGACCTTGTACAGTTCCGCAGGGCCTGCAAGATGGAGCTCTTCTGCCAGGCTTTCAATTAAGAGCCGCCACCATTACCACCATTACCACCATTACCACTACTATTGCCAACCATTATAAATATTAACACCTATGGCAAGGGACTGGCCCTGCACTGAAACTGAGGCACATTACCATGGGAAGCCAGAGTACCACTGTACGGAGAGATTGATAACATGACTGATAGCACGTCATCTAAAATTTTGTAAGAACGACCATCACAATTTCACTTTGTTATTTGTTGTTGTATTGTATGATTGTTTTAACTGTTTTATACATTTTATTGTGACTTGGCATATGGTGCCAACTTATGTGAGCTGCCCTGAGCCCGTCTGCAGGGAGGGCGGGATATAAATCCAATAAATAAATAAATAAATAAATAAATAAATATTTCCCGTTATAAACGGGGGAAGGATCAGGACTCTGTCAAACCAGAAGACCTTGTGATCAGACAAAACATAAGCATTTTAACAATAAAATGTAACCTCCTTACTCACGTAGATTTTGTGCTCCTTATAGCGAAACAGGAGATTGCGCACCATGCCAGCTTCATTGAGGTCTCCAAGGCATATCATGTCTTCAACTCCTTTGACAGAGGTGGGATGCATTGGTCGTACAGCACTAATGTTTTGAGCCGTGATCCAGTGTTCCTTAAACATAACCACTTTTAACAAATCACCTTGGATTTTACATACTACCTCAGTCTATTCATTAGGAAAATATGTCCTTATGCAACATAAGATGTGGGGCCATAGATTACAGTGTTTTCAGGTGTTCATGTAAGCACTACTCCAATTATTGGGCCTTCAGATCATGGAGTTTTGGCTGATCTACCACATCACACAACACAGATCTAGTTCAGAGCAGAACTATTTCCAGAGCTCTACCAAATCCGAGGATAATGGAATCTGGGATGGTATTGGGGCCTGTCTCTAGTATTATATAACACATCTTGACCTACTGAATAACATTTTGCATACCCTACCTTGCCTTCATCATCCTCTATTAAAAACCGTCCTGATTCAGAAAACTTCACAACTGCCCCAATGGGCACATTGTATTCACTGCTTGAAGGAGGTTCCATCCATATGTGATCGCCCTGAAGAGAGGAAAGTGTAGCGATCAACTTCACAGCCCCAGGGCCACATACCTAAAGGGCCCTCCCCCCTTATCCCAAGCACCTACTATGGTCTTCAGGCTACCACCTGTTGGCTGTTCCCCTACTTAAGACAGCCCATCTGGCAGTAAACAGAGCTGATCACTTTTATTGCTGACATACAACACCCCATGTTGACATGGTGGTATGTGGTTGTGTGTCATAATCTTTCTCAGAGTTCATTTTTTAAATCCGACAGAGTCAGGAGACTGCAAGTTTAGGCAGAGGAACAATGGGGTGTATGTAAGTGAAGGGTATGCTTAATCTTTCCCTTCATTTCCGCCCTGCCTATATCTTTCCTCTACAGGAAAAAAAACCCCTCTTCCGAAAGATTCTGATGGAAACAGCTGGAAGGGCAATAAGACCTTTCTTCTTCTGGTTCCATCATAGACTCTCAGGGCTGCTACTGAATTTCTTTTTTAAAAATCAGAAAAAAAGATACAGGAGACTGCATATCTAGTTCAAGCCTTACGGTACCACTGCCTAAATGCATTTCATATCAAGGACAACAACTGGACTCACTTTTCTGAGAATCACCATCCTACTTCAAGGTGGCACACAAATCTGTGTTCTGGAAAAAACGAACACAATCAGAACAAAAAAAGGTAATAATTTTCAACAAAATGGGGGGGAATCCAATAAATAGGTTACACTAGAGAAAGGGCAGGTATAAATTCTTTGTTTAGGAGACAGAAGGTAGGTGGCATGGTGTGCAAGCTGGTGGGACTGAGACAAATACTAGAAAATATAAAGCAGCTTTGAATAGATTATGTTTTTAACATATTATCACAGATAATGTTTTAGTGTTGATATTCTGTGAGGCTCCACTCCACTTTTCAGGCACCAGATTGGGTTTCAGCAAGTCATTGCTTAAACTGAATCATACGACTGGGGCATTAAAGATAAAAAGGAAAAATATTTGATGTTGTTCTCATGTAAATTCCAATTTTAACAGCAGAAATAAGACAGTATAACCACACAATTGGTTCAAATCTAAACAAAAACAGTTTAGCATTTCTATTGTATTATTAAATGTTGGACTGATTTCAACTTAAGGCTCTTGGATATGTAGAAATATTTTTCCTATATCACAGTATGGCAACAGACACCCTAAAAGCCCCATGGCAAACTTCTCAACACATACTCAAAGAATAAGATAATCTTTGCTCCATAGCACAGCTTCAAGTATTGAGAAAATGTCTACAAAAATCAATATTTTTGCTTGCAATTCTCTTTAACTCTTGTACATTTCTGATGTAGGCGGCTACCACCTGATCCTACCCATGTTTATTACGAATTTAGTCCCACTCAGTGTTCCCTCTAAGCTGAGTTAGTGTGAGCTGGCTCACAGTTTTTTAGCCTCCAGCTCACAGATTTTTGTCTTAGCTCACGAAGGATGGCTCCAGAGCAAACTAATTTATGCAGTAGCCAAATCACTCACTCACAACTTTAATGCCAGTAGCTCACAAAGTAGAATTTTTGCTCACAAGACTCCACAGCTTAAAGGGAGCATTGGTCCCATTGTGTTCAGTCTGCCTGTTTCAAACAAATGTTATTAATTGACATGTTAGTATTAGCATTAATACAATAATGAATGAATTTTATTGTTACAGCACATAGCCAGCAATATAAAAACCATAAAAGTAAATTACAATAGCCAGATGGTAAAACTTCCAGAGTACAACAAGGTTAATAAGGGATGGCATTGTACAATCGTTTTGATCACTAAAACCAGACTTAAGAATATGCTGCAATAAAGCACAGTAAAAAAGAATAAAATAAAAATGACAAAAGTAGCAATAAAAGTTAAAATCAAGCAGTCCTAACCCAAGTGACAACCAGAACACTGATGAGCTTTTACAACCAAGGAGCAAAATTTCGCAATCTGATGGAGCGCTATATGTTCAAAGTTAGAAAACAAATTCTCTATCTTATCCTGATCTGAAGTGCCAGCCAAAAAAGGATCAATAAGTTTTGTACGAGCCTCGTCAAATAATGGGCACCTCAGGAAAACATGTTCCTGGGATTCGATCTCCCCCGACGCACACATACATAACCTCTCAATTCGGGGAAGTTTTTTGAATTTACCCTCAAGAACTGCAGTAGGTAAGGCAGAGCATCTAGCCAAAGTATACGCCCTCCTGAGTTTACGTGACTCCAGAACGGCTAAGTATGGGGCCTGTGCTGCGATGTATTTACTACCAATTGGCGCTATAAAGGTAGGAGTCGCCTGTAGATCCAATTGGCGTTCGGTGTCCTTGATCCTCTGCCTAATTGCTAACTTAGCTTGGTCCCCACCCATCTCCAGAAGCACTTGGGGAGAATACCCCAAGAGCGAAATTTTCCGATTAACAGAAATCAGCCATTCAGATTTAAAGGCATCAGTCAGAATCAAGGGCACTAGTCCGCACGGATTCAAATTAATCTTTAACCAATAAAAGATGGAGTATAAGGTAATCTTGGCTTCAACTTTCAACATGCCAGTCTCTAGCCGTACCATTGCATTGGATACACACCTAGGAACTTGGAGCACCGCTCTTAAAAATTTCGATTGGACTAGCTCTAAGGGGACATAGCAAGAGGAAGGACATTAATACAATATATAAATTATAAAGTAAGAGGAATAAAGGCCCAATCTCACAAGGAACTGTTCAGATGGCTTTGTCATAATACATGCATTTGTCCTCATCCCAAATGAATTTATTTCTCTAATAAATTATTGTATTCCACAAGACTAAAAGGAAACAACAGAGAAAACATATTACCTGTACAGAAGAGTGGTTGTGAAATCTGGCTTCCACTTTCCTCTTTCACAGAAATAGCTTAAGAAGAAGGAGGGAGCAGTGCAGAAAGCCAGTGGTGAAACCAGTGAAGAACTCTGTCCCCTGTACCAAGAGGAAGGAGGAAATGGCTGAAGCTCCTTTCACAGTTATTTATTATAGGACTTTGGCCCCAATTCAGAATATACACCATTTCTGCAGCTGGCATAGTTAGATGAGGTCAATTACTGGCTTCATGGTGCATAGTGAATGTTCCTTAAATGTTAAAACACAGAATCCAGTGGCACCTAACAACTCTATTACCACAAACGTTTTCAGGACAGGTACCTAAAGTACTCTCCTGCCAACCTAGCAGTTCGAAAGCAAGAAATTGCAAGTAGATAAATAGGCCACTACAGTGGGAAGGTAACAGCGTTCCGTGCGCCTTGGTGTTTAGTCATGCCAGCCACATGACCATGGAAATGTCTTCGGACAGCGCTGGCTCTTCGGCTTTGAAACGGAGATGAGCACCGCAACCCTAGAGTCGGATTCGAGCAAGGGAACCTTTACCTTTACCTTACATAAAGTGCTAGGCTCAGCTGGAAGATATATATGAAGAGAAAAACCATGAACCCAGAAGAGGGCAACCTAGTACTGCCAGGATGGATGATGAAAGAGCCACTGAGGCAGCCTTATTCTGGGGACCTCCAGTAACTGTGAGGCCCTGGGTAGATCTCACAATCCATCAGTGGAAGGTGCTGATGGACAGTTCCCCTCAGTAGTTCCTTTCAACCCTGGGAAAGTTGATTCTTGGGGTTACAGGTCTAACAATGGTTGCCAGGTCCCCCCTGGCCACTGACAGGGCATGGGAGGGTAGGGTTGCCAGATCCAGGTTGGAAAACGCCTGCAGATTTGGGGATGGAGCCTGGGGAGGACAGGGACCTCAGGGGGGCTACAGTGCTATAAAGTCCAGTCTCCAAAGCATCCATTTTCTCCAGGGGAACTGATCTCCGCAGCCTGGGGATAGGCTGTAATTCCAGGGGATGCCTAGGTACCACCTGGAGGCTGGCATCCTTCAGTCTCATAGCCAAATGGGTGGGAGGCTGCAAATGTGTAGGTGGAAGGGGATGTGTGAAGAAATGCATTTTTTCCTGGGAGGTTTGAGCTGAACCAAATCTCCACTGTGCATTTTAAAGGGGTTTTTCCCCTTGGGCAGAGAACAGGCAGTGGGGGAGGGGGTAAGTTCAATTGTTTCCCAGATGTACCTCAGCTCACCTTCATACTGTTGGAAATGTATGTGTTTACAAGGTCTGATGATTCAGTCATTATAGGGTTAACTTGTATTTCTAGAATTGCTATTGTTTAGACTGACCTGGAAGGGATACCTGGCACTAAACCAATGGGGAATTAGCCCGGGAAAAGTAGCTTCTACTTGTCAGGGTCCCCCTTGGCCTTCGGCAGCGCACCCCCGGTGGCCGTGGTGGGGGGTGTCTGGCGAGACGCACGGGGGGTGCGGGGTGAGCAAGCGAGAGAGTCTGAAGAAAGCAGGGGAGAGGTGGCCTCAGATTGGCAGGGGGCGGGGTTATGCGCACCCCATAGTGCCCCTCTGCCTGCACGCTGCGAATGTGCCCTTATCCCTCTCTCTGGTCCTTCGCTCTCGTGCTCTCTCTCTGTGTACCTTCGGGATCGCAACGTGCTCTCCTCCCCGGCCCTCTCTGTTTCCCCCTTTTATTCTCTTGCTCCCTCGCTCGGCCCGCTCCTTCCCCCACCATGCACCTGGCCCCGCCCCTTATATCAGTGGGAACGCCGTCAGGGCGTTCCCGGGCATGCGCTCGAACGCTGCTGGCGGTTCCTGCGGCCTCGGGGCCGTGCCACTGGCGCCGTCCAGCTGCCCTGCTCCTATGGGGCATCGCTGCAGCCGCCCTCTCCCGATGCTCCCCGTGCCGCCGCCCTTTCCCCGGGCGTGGCCGTGGGTCCCTGTCAGGCCACCGTCCCCGCCGAACGGTAAGCCGCGCGGCCCCGTCCCGTCACGTCTCCCGACGGCGTGGCCTCTCTGTGGCTCAGGGTTGCTTGCTGGGGTTGCTGGTGAGTGGTCTCGCTGCGGGTCGGGGGTGTTTGCTGGGGGTTCCGGGGTCGGTCGGGCCTGGATCGTGACCCCCGGAGCGGGACACAACTGTGATACAGATTGGTCATTTGTTTCAGGTGACTTCCTTTCTGGGGGTCAAGAAGAAGGAGAGATTCTCCATTATCTGTGTGCTAGGTTTGACTATAGACAGCTTAGAAATGTAGCTGCTAGTGTTATGTTAATTTGTAGTAATCCCGTGAACCCTTTACCCTTAGAAATAAAGGTTTTTTAAAAGCAAAGAAATCTCTTCTTTCCAATAGAGCAAGATCCATTAATAGTCTAAGTATTAAACACTTTTTGACTATTTTACAACACATACAAATGCTAATAGATCTGGCAGGAGAGATAATAGGTGGGTCAAGCTTTCCCAAGCAGGTAACAGAGATTTGAAGGAATGAAATTCAAGAGGGACTCCAGGAAGGAAATATTCTGGAGATCTCCAGGAAAAGCCTCTTTGACCTGGTATGACCTGGTCAGTGGGTGGAGAAACAGATATGATAAAAACTTCTGGCAGCAGGAAGGCGATCTCTTTCCTAGGGTGCTGATTCCGTGAAAGCACAGCATCCTCGCCACTGACAAGGCAGACATTGACCATGTGCTCCCCTAAAAAGCTGGAGCAAGCTGTAAAATAAAGACAACTCTGTAGAGATCGATAA